TATAGTGGAGTGTAGTGGAGTGTAGTTGTGTAATTGTAGTTGTGTAGTTGTAGTTGTAGTTGTAGTTGTAGTTGCAGTGTAGTGGAGTGTCGTGTAGTGTAATGTTGTGAAGTGTAGTGGAGGGTAGTGTAGTGTAGTGTAATGTAGTGTAGTGTAGTGTAATTTAGTGTAGTGTAATTTAGTGTAGTAGAGTGTAGTGGAGTGTAGTTGTGTAGTTGTAGTGTAGTAGTGTAATGTAATATCTAAACCTCCAAAAGTGGTCCGAACCCCCTAATGTTTTAAACATTTTGTTCTCGAAATGTTCTTCGCGCCACAACAACGTACACGTTTTCCACATCGGAACCTCCAAAAGTGGTCCGAACCCTAGTGTTTTATGATTTTAACTCCGAAATATGCTTCGCGCCACAACAGCGTACACTCCTTCGACATCTCAATTTCCAAAAGTGGTCCGAAAATGGTGTGTTTTGTTCATTTTAACTTAGAAATGTGCTTCGTGTCACAAGAACGTGCATTTTTTCGACATCTCAATTTCCAAAAGTAGTCCGACCATGGTGTGTTTTGTTTATTTTAATTTGGAAATGTGCTTCGCGTCACAATAGCCTACTCTGCTTTTTGTTAAAAAATTAATTTCTAAATGTCCTTCGATTATAAAAAAAATATTTATTTAAATTAATAATATTTTACATTATATTTTATTTTTTATTTCAAATTATATTTATAAAATATAATTATATTTTTAATATTTTAAATATATATAATTTTCGAATTTTAAATAATAATTATTATATTAAAAAAAAACATATTAATTTTTATTTAAATATTATTTAAAATAATACATATTTTAAATAAATTAATATAATATATATATATAATTATTTTCCAATTATATTATTAATAAAAATTTATCAACATATTTTAATTATAAGGTTTATTTTCGTTTTAAAAAAATACCTTTATTTCTGCAGGTTTTAAGCTATATTCCATTCCAATATATATTCCTTATAATCCCTTATATAGATCTTTCTAGTAGTAGCACATTTTTTGTCAATATAAATAAATAAATTTAAATTATTATAAAATATTAATATATAATAATATTAATATATAATAATATTAATATTAATATATAATTCCGAATCAAAATTATATATCGAACGTTCCGCGGTATTCCGGACGTATAAAATAAAGAGGCTTCGTAATTGATTTTGTTCCGGACCTTTGGAGAGGGATGAAATATAGGCTATATATAAATAAATAACATAAATATATATATATATTTATACATTATATGTAACATATATAATATACATCTCAAGGATATGTACGTTGAAGCTACTCCTCATCTGCACGACATCCTTGTTGTACACCTGTTCAACGCAGGTTTGCCTTGCATGGCTAGTGCTCGTGCACTAGATACGACACGACCGGTAGCCAGTGTCACCCACTGGCTACCATGTGAAGCTGTCGACTCAGCTTCAGACGTGTCACGCAAGTCCCACCTCCTACTCTTAAAACTCAGACGTCCCTAAGGCCCTACGGGGTAGATTGTGTCCCTGCATAGCAAGACTCTACCCTCCCATAACCCACGCGCAAAGGATGGCTTACGAGCAGTCTATGTGAGAACCTGCCATGTGTTCACCAGTGGGTCAGGGGTGGTACATGGGTGGTCCAGGTCTGGAACGGGTATGGAACGGTATGGAACGGGGTCTGGAACGAAACGGCCCACTCCAGCGCAGCACTGCCACCACGCAGCACATCTTTATCAAAATTCGCAGTTTGGAGCGAGAATAGCGCAGCAAGCAATTCTTAGACTGCCAGCTGGCAGCAGCCAAGCGCATCTCTACAATCAAACACCACAGCTGTGCCACAGCCTGTAGCAACTTTATGTGGTGCAGGCACAAACCTGCCACAGGTTGAGAGGGAGGGAGGGTTATAAGCAATCCATTCTTAGACTGCCAGCTGGCAGCAGCCAAGCACATCCCTACCATCACACAACAAAGTAGGTAGCAGCTGTAAGTGCTGCAGGCATGCATAGGGTTTGGTTGGATTTCTGAGATGTTCTGCATAGGTTCTGCATGGATTAGGGTTGGTTTCTGTTAGATTCTGTATGGATTTGGTTTGGTTTCTGATGGGATCTGCATGGATTCTGCATGGGGCGAGGAACCGAGGAGGAGGAGGAGAAGGAGAAGAAGGAGAAGGAGAAGGAGAAGGAGGACAACAAAATTGGAGTTGCGGAAAAAAGTTTCCACTATTGCCATGCCTGGTGCAGGTTTGTTATTGCTATTCTGGGGCTTGCAAAGGGGGTAGGGCTTGGGCATAGTAAACGTATTCTTGCATGTATGCACTCATGTATGTACGTGCGCTCATATATGTGCGTACAAATGTAAAATCAGATTGCACATAATCATATATATATATAATTGTAAATTATTATATATATAATAATTATATATAATAATATATTTAATAACGTATGGATCAGAGGTATGGAACAGAGGTATGGATTGGATCCTTCAAGGAGGTATGGAACGGGGGTATGGAACGGGTGTGGTCCCGGAGCTTGTTCCGGACCTCCTATTTTGACTTGCCCCCATATAATAATATTAATATATAATAATTATATACTATATAATATTACTATATATATGATATAAATATATTATATAAATATAATTCCAAAGGAATATATGAATATTATATGAACATATATGAATATATCTTAAGAAAACTACACATCATAATTTTATTATATAGAATTATGTAGATTTAATTTGATTGCTGATTTCCATCGGTGTTGTTCTTTGACCAAGATATTGCATTAAAAAACAGCGTCTTGGTTTGCCGACCTCAGCCAGTAGCTCACGACCGACGAAGGTGTTGAAATCCCTATGGAAATCCCATGGGTTTTCGTTGGTTTTCCCATGATTATCCCTATCCGGGGCCACAAACCACTTTGTCCATCTCAGACAGCGTAGACCTCGGTGCCATGGCGACGAAGGCACCGAAGGCAGTCGGAGAAAAGCTGGTCATTCCCAGATGCTCCATGGTGCTGGAATATTTACCTACATTTACCCCAAAAAATGACCCAGCTTTGTAGGTAAATATTCCAGCACCATGGGTTGCATATGGGACTGATAGTGTCAAACATCGACTCGTAGCATCCATTTTTGGGGGATGGGTCGATATTTTTGACCGACATGTAGGCTGTCATCAGCAAAGACCCGAGATTCCTGACCCTGGCTGCCCAATCTGTTGGGGTCACAACGCTTTGGGTTCGATGCCCATGGACATCATGGCATAGAAGTACTTCTCGGCAAACTGGGCCAGGCCAGGAAGCGGCGATGCGATGTAAATCAATATTTTTTGTGGGTACCCTCTGGTGAACTAACATAGCAATGGAAAATGGCCATTTATAGTGGATTTTCCCATTAAAAATGGTGATTTTCCATTGCTATGTTAGTTCACCAGAGGCTAAACAATAAACCATCCCCCAATTTCACCATTTTTATAGGTGGTATGGTTACCATTCCCAAATGATCCCAGTCATGGGTGGTTTATGACATGGTCAACTTCCTACATAAAATAGTAATTACCCTCTGGTAAACTAACATAACTATGGAAAATCACCATTTTTAATGGGAAAATCCACTATAAATGGCCATTTTCAATAGCTATTTTGACATAACCAGAGGGTATATCGGAGAAAATCTGATAAAACATGGTGTAAAACCAGCAATCCTACAGGTACCAACGTTGGCAAACCTTGGAACCATTGGGCCAACGAGGAGTCGCTTGCCTTGCGATGTCGGCGGTGTTTTTCCGCTATCTGCATGGGTATACCCCCATATATCCCAATATATGATGGTCATTTATTTCATCAATGATGATTCACCACTAATTTGTGGGGTACTATATTTTGAAACAACCCCATACTTTCGAAGTGCTGAACAAAATACCATCAAACCCACTTAGCGGATCCAGCTGATGTTATATCCCACAAACTCTCTCTGCGGCCGGCTAGCTTAGTTGCTGGTAGACATCACACATTTTGGTCGGAGAAATTGATCAAATTCAAATTCCCAATTTTCTTCAATGGGAGATCTCCAGGATCCTAAAATGGAGGTACGTTAGTACCATATTTCTGGCCATATTTTGGGGGGATATCCCCTTACATTGCCCTAAAAAAATAGGCCTCCATTTTAGGATCCTGAAATTCTCCAATTTTCTTCAATGGGAAATTGATCGAATTCATCAATGGATTGGTTTTCACGTTTTTTTTTTTGACATGCTTCAACCCCATGATCTTCATGGATCTCCATGGGAAAATCGATGGTTTCTGAGCTCTTCGGACGCTCTTGGTGGAGAAGTCCAGGCCATGTTGGCGACAGGCCTTAGGATCGATGACAGGCTGGTTTTTGGAGCGTCATGGAGGCCATGATGAAAGGGCTGCCATGATGTAACTATATGTAATTAACTATGGATATGTATATATATATATATAGTATGGATATAGTTATGTATGATGTAGAACTATAGTTCATGATGAAATGATGCATATTAGTTCAACTATAGCCTACAGTTCATGATTAAATAATATTAAATACCTATCAAGTACATAGTTCAACCCGTAGTTCGTGTAATGTGTTTATCGACCACAGCAGTAGCTGGATTTAACGATTGAATTGACATGGTTATTAACCTAGTATAATATATATAATTTCACATAAGGTTATCAACCTGGTGTACATATATAATCATATATATATATATACACATAATTGGATATCATTGGTATCAACCTAGTATAAGTATATGGTTATCAACCTACTTGTAGTATATATGTATATGTATAGTTATCAACCTAGTATATGTGTCTCAACCTGGTGTACGCGGTTATCAACCTGGTATATATGGTTATCAACTTTTATATTGTGTTTATCAACCAAACCATGAGTAAATCTAAACACTGGAATGGCATCACCACGGATAACCCACTTGGCTCAGCCCACTTTGAAGACCAAAGTGTAGCTGTCCTCTTGCGCTTCGAAACCTGCGGTTCAACCGCTGGCTGGAACACATCGAGAGATTCATGCGAATGACAGTGTATATATGTCACAATTTTGCAAGCTGGGTCTTGAAGACATGGGGCCCAGATTACTTCAAATTACCAAGCAAAGTTATGATCTAAGCTGGCTATGGGTCACTCGTTTTGCTCAACACGAGCAATGGTAACTTCCATGTTCTTTTCACAGCGGCAGACCCAGCCCTGGGGCAACTAGTACTCGTGGCCCTCTGTCGCCCAAGTCCCCAGCATTTTCTAACCACTTGCCCCAAGGCTTCCCTCAACGGCACCTTTGCAAACCATGTCGTTGAAGAGGTCAGCCACATGCCTTAGCCCATTGGCCCAGCATTGTTGATTACCATTGGTTGGTCATACGACCCATATCCATTGTTTTATGCCCCTATAATCCCCTAGATGCTGTCAGAGTTGTTGATCATTTGGCCACAATCTCATTCCCTCATCATGCTGGTTGCACCAAAATTCTGCTGAAACCGGCTGAAACCTAACCCTTGAGTTTAATGAGCTTTTGTTATATACATGTTACATGTATATATATATTATATTATATATATTATGATATCTATATAATTATATATATAATATAATAGTTCTATACATCCCTAGTTTTTGTTGGTTCCAGCCCGAACCAAGTGGTTACAGGCCCAGCTTGGCCATGCAGTGCCATGGGTCATAACACGCTTGACTGGTTTCTTGCCCAGATAGGCGAAACTCCAATCCCTCATCTCCAGTGCTGATCTCCCAATCCTCTGTTCTTGGTCTGTTCTAAATTGATTTTAAATTAATTTAAACAAATATCTTTTGTAAATATTGTAAATCCATCTGGATGCAAATCAGTAATCATGATGTAATATTGTAATCCCAATCTTCTGTAATCATCATAGTTCACATCAGTTCACATGTTACAAATGGCTATGAGTAAATCCCTTCTGGTCAACCTAACCCAGCTGAATTTTCTCTGCGGAACATCCACCCAATGCACCCAGCTTCCCTGGTGATTTCAATGCAAATCATCGAAGGAAATGGAGCCTTTTCCATAGAGGTTAGATGAAACCATGATGAAGCCATACTTAGGTTTTCAATAGCTAAATATAGCTAAATTACCAGAGGCTAGACGTTGTTTTGCTCTATTTCACCACCACGATGAAGCCATGTTTGATGCTTAATAAGGCTTAACACCGACACAAAGACACACCACATTCTTCTTGGTAAACTCAACTTTTCTGCTGGCAAACTGCAGGTAAACTCTAGATTATTTCAACTGTTGAAGTCAATTTTCAAATTATAGTTTTATGAAGTCCTATCCAGTCTTATCAAGTTCTATCCTGTTTCTTTCAGTCTTACCCTATGTCTATCAAGTTCGATCAGCTGTTCTACGTTTTTTTGTCCCAGTCTTGTCACAGTTCATCAACTCTATCCAGTTTTTATCATTTTTTCTACACTCTTTTCAATATTTTGTCAAGTGATGTCAAGTTTCATCCATTCAAACTATCCCAGTTGTGTAACCTTTCTATATGCTGGACGGGTCAAAACCTATGGAAATTACAATCGAAACCATCCACTATTTTGGGGAATCAGCATCCAAAAACCAGGAAAGAATTGCCACTGTTACCATTACTTCACCATTAATTCACCATTAGTTAACCACTAATCCATCTATAAACCATCATCATTAGTTAACAATTCACCATTAGTTAACTATGGAAATTTTCAGGATGGTTTATAGATTCACCATTAGTTAACCACTAATCCATGATTGGACCAAAACAAGTTTATCCATAAACCATCCTTAAGAATTCCATAAACCATCCACAAGTTTATCCATAAACCATCATGGCCACTTGGACCATTGTTCCATAAACCATTCCATTAACCATACATTAACCATTATTAACCATATATTAACCATATATTAACCATATAATAACCACTATTAACCACTATTAACCATATATTAACCATATATTAACCATGAGGACCCTCCACGGTATGTTCTTCCACGGTGACCATCCACATCCATCCACCGAGGGTCTCCAGATCACCGGCTTCCGCCGCCAGCTGCATGGCGCGATGGAAATCTTCCCTGGAAAGCTGGCTGGAGTTTTTTCTGGTGAATACCGTGGTTAATACATGGTGAATACGTGGTTAATGTATGGTTAATAGTGGTTAATAATGGTTAATCATGGTGAATAATGATGGTTAATAATGATATAATGATGGTTAATAATGTATGGTTAATGTATGGTTAATGTATGGTTAATGTATGGTTAATGTATGGTTAATATTATATATATATACATTAATATATGTGTATATATATATATATCCACATATTATCATATAGCTGGAGATTTTCTTCCATACGTAGATGGATATTAGAGCAGTTATATAATCTCTTCTCCCTATTCGTAAAACTGCCCCAATTAAGAAAAATAGTAGGAGTGGATTGCCACTTTCGTTTCTTTTGGTTGCTCACAATTGCGTGCTTAATTGTGGTAATTGAAAATCAACAGGAGAACAGGATGGTGAAATAATGGTGTGTACCCCCTATTAATAAAAATAGAACGGGACCCATAAGTTTATTATTAGGGTCCCATCAACTTTGAAACCATGTTTTTTATTCATTTTATAAAGGAAAACTTCGAAATCCAATCATTGACAATATTTTAAGAGTTTTAAACAAGGGCTCTAATTGATTTTGAAATCAATGTTTTTATTTGTTTATTAAGGTTTTTGTTTTTATTATTACCAGTAGGGGAAAGCTTCGAAATCCAATTTTTGGCAATATTTGAAAAGGAATTTAACACGGGACCTAATTGATTTTGAAATCAGAATGTTTATTTTCTTAATTAAAATTCTTGTTTTATTATGAGGGAAAAGCTTCGAAATCCAATTTTTGGCAATATTTGAAAAGGAATTTAACAAGGGACCTAATTGATTTTGACATCGGAATTGTTATTTTCTTAATTAACATTTTTGTTGTATTATTAGGGAAAAACTTCGAAATCCAATTTTTGGCAATATTTGAAAAGGATTCTAACAAGGGACCGAATTGATTTTGAAATCGGAATGTTTATCTTTTTAATTAAAGTTTTTTTTTTATTATTAGGGGAAAACTTCAAAATCCATTTTTTGGCAATATTTTAAAATATGTTAAAATGGGATTTAATTGATGTTGAAATCGATGTTGTGATTGTTTTAATTAAGGTTTTTGTTTTATTATTGGAGGCGCCCTAATACTAAATACATCTAAATACCCCCCTACTAATAAAAATAGATCACCGTGTTTAGCATTTGGGCGGTGTTTTAATATTTGTTTATTAGTTATTCAACCCTGGGAATGATCATTTGGTGTACATAGTTTACAGATCAAAAACCAAAATCGATGCATATAAATATATATATATAAATATATCTATTCTATATATATATATATCTATTCTATATATTGTATGGCGGTTGATCCAAATTCATTATCTGCAAATGGCCAGTGCCATTCTTCGCGAATAAAAACATGTTTTCGCAAATCTTTCGCACAAAATATAATTTTTCGCAAATCTTTCGCGGGGGTCTTATCTGAAAATATTTCGCAAAATCTTTCGCCTCAAAAAATATAATTTCGCTGGCTCAGAAAAAAACTTGCGCGGGGTCTCATGTTGGAACCCTGGCGGCCTTCGTAATGAACAATCTCTACATGGACGTTTAGATTGACAATCATATACATATATTATATAACATTATATAACTGATTTGCAGTTTCAGTTGATAAATTCCTTTTTGTTTCGTACAATATCATAGTTATGATACTCGAGATCTCTAGTGTTTATACGTACTTATGTCTATATAAATTATGGGCTTATATTGGTGAAAAATCACCTGATAACTAGAAAATCTTAATGACCATGATCATACAAACGTATCTGGGTATCAATGGGAAACTGTGGAATATGTTTTATATGTATATGATTCATTTGTGTTTCTGGCATTGTCTTGATATGGATATTCATCAAACAAGTAGTAATGGTAATGATCCCAAATGTTCCATCTGGAGATAGTTTTCATGAAACTGAGAAGGTCATTACCCATAGGATCCATGTATGCCATATATGGTAACATTTACCATTAATATACCCCAAATGTTAGCATATATACCATACATGGATCCTATGGGTTAATTACTGGCAAATAATTCGGGATCATTTTTCCATACTTTGCCCAGCCTCTTTTCGATGTCGGGGCTCATTCTCCACATGTAAAGTTATACCCTCCCTTTTCATGGGAAAGTGCTAAGCCCGCATTATATCCCAAAAAAAGTTCAAATCCAGCTATATCCCACCATATTCTCTTAAATCCCTTGTTTTGTCGAAAATATATATCTCATCCCATCTCCATATCCCATTGCATTCTGGATTCAACCCTCAATGAAATATCCCATCAGATCAGTCATGATTCGTCATCTCCATCCTCAGTCTGTCGTCTCTTTTGAGACCTCGCCTTTCCATGAGAACCGGTCCAGACGCCCGGAAGAGCTTCTGCCTTGGCGTTTTTCGGCGAAGCACGGCGGCTTCGCACGGCGAAGCTTCGGTGGAGGTGTTACGTAAGGGGTCCAGGATCGACCGCGACATCCACGACATAGTAACTGGTGGTTGACCTACCCCTCTGAAAAATATGAAAGTCAATGGGAAGGATTATCCCATATATTTATGTATAAATGGAAAAATAAAAAATGTTTGAAACCACCAACCAGAATAAATCAACTGAAACTGCCGAATAATGCCTAAATCCCGAAATAAAACTATGTCATAATAATAATTATGATTCATGACTCCGTCAAGCCTCAAGTTCTTCGATAGGGCAATACCAAACTTACCAAACATCCAAATTCTGGAGGATAATTGGGTGTTTCCATAAATGGGGGTACCCCCACATGGATGGCTTATAATGGAAAATCCCATTAACATGGATGATTTGGGGGTACCCCTATTTTAGGAACCCCCCAATTAGACAGATTTGTGAATTTTGAAGGTCTGTCGATTCATTTTCAAAGCGCTGATTGATCCCATGCCGGTCCGAAGCACCCGAGGCTGGGTCTACGCGCAATTTTTCCACAGTGGAAAGTCCCTGACGCTTGCGCAAGCTGACCAAATAAAGCACAGTTCTATGAAAAGTTGAACCAAGCTGCCTTACTACCCCAAATGGAAATGGCAAAAACAGTGGGAAAACAATTGAACTATCAAATTCCGCTTGTAATTGTTTGATATAGTTTGCATATATAGAACCCTAGAATTTCTTGGTAGGCATGTTTGAACCCTTCCAATTTGGACATCACTGTCCTTCAGGTGGTTACCTCATGTTTATCGTTAAATCATAATCAAATCTCTACAATTTGCTTGGCAAACTATCGAAAACAGCAGCAACAACAACAACAACCATAATTAAAACAATAATAAAAATAAATTGGTTGAAGCATGTTGAAACCTCTTTGAGGTCATTGTTTAAACATTTGCAAACTGCACTGAGGTTGCTTATCTGAAAAACAAAAATCGCCCATTGATTATTTACATTTACAAGCAACAATCAACGTCTTTGCATCTTTGCAAAGCTGTTGGCTATGGTCTCAATCAATGATTTAAACCACTTAAAATGTTTACACCCATTTTTAGTTGCCACATGTTATCAACATATAAAATCCAACAGAATATGGAATTAGTACAATAACCCCGACCATTTGTAGTTACCCATGATGTTGGTTAATTTCAAATGTTTGTCATCTGATGGGTATAGTCTAACATATCATCAATTGAAACTATGCCGCGCTGAAGCCATTCATTGAGACTATGTTTGTCATTCGAATATATATATATATATATTTCCCCTCTGGTTATTTTAACATAGCTAAATCATCATAAATCATCCATAAGTCATCCATACATCAGCCATTTTCCATCTCACTATGTTAAATCAGAGGATGGTTTCAAAACCATGCAATTGAGTCATCCAATTGGCTACCAAAACATGACCCAAACATTTTCAAACATTCAGACTCGCTATTTTAGAATACCCTCTGGTAATTTAACATAACTATGGAAAATCACCATTTAGTTCGTGAGTTTTCCCATGAAAAATGGTGGATCTTTCAATAGCTATTTTGACATAACCAGAGGGTAATCATATCAATATATCAATATAGTGCATATTTCCCATGATTAATCACCATTTAGTTCGTGAGTTTTCCCATAAATTACCAGAGGGTAATCATTTTTTCCATCCAAACATCGTTTTCATGACTTCACTGACTTCACCGCCTCAACGCCGCGGGATGCAAAGCTGGACATCACTGACGCCTCGGAGGCAAATATCACATATGTATAGCCTGTATATACTATATATCCTATCTCATAGATGTACTGTATATGTATGATATGCAATTATCATATATATATGTATCGGCATATCATATACTGTATGTAGAAATATACTTGTGACTACTTATTCTGTAAGTATTCATTATCACATTGGGTTATTGTCCGAAAATGGTAGATTCTTACCGCAAAATGGTACTTCAACAAAGAAAAGTATGACAAACATAGACAAACCCATATGTACCCACCAAACTGGAAAACCTGATTTAGAATTGCTTGAGTTCGTCTGAACATCATTACCAATGTAGTAGATATCAGAGAACAACAACCTAATTTGAGTTTTCGCGTACTCAAGACGCTTCCTCCAAACGTTCCCAAACAGCCGGTTCCAACTGGACAAGCCCTGCAGGTTTTGATTCCAAAGGTCTTTGGAAACTCTTCGATGAATGTCAGGTTTTTGGTTTTGGAATGTATGTTTTTTTAATCTTCACAAAGGCCCTGTATATAATTACCCTCTGGTTATTTAACAGTTCGCCATGGAAAATAACCATTTTTAATAGGTAAACCATATGTAAACCATCTTTAAATGGTGGATCTTTCCATGGCGAACTGTTAAATAACCAGATGGTACCCTTCTTATCCTGAATATTCGGATTATGGTCCTAAAATATTACGCACCAAGCTCCTCGGACCACCTTCCATCCCCAGAATTTTCTGGACCAAACAGTATTTTGTTCAACTACCCTTCACCACTCATTTACAATCATGTTCATCCAGATTTTGATGGTTTAAATACGGTTAAATCAAGTTTGAGCTCGATTTTGATGGTTTAAATATGGTTAAAGCAAGTTTTAGCTAGATTTTGATGGTTTAAAAATGGTTAAATCAAGTTTGAGCTAGATTTTGATAGTTAAAATATGGTTAAATCAAGTTTGAGCTAGATTTTGATGGTTTAAGTATGGTTAACGCAAGTTTTGGCTAGATTTTGATGGTTTAAACATGGTTAAATCAAGTTTGAGCTAGATTTTGATGGTTTAAATATGGTTAAAGCAAGTTTTAGCTAGATGTTGATGGCTCAAATATGTTTAAAGCAAGTTTTAGCTCGATGTTGATGGCTCAAATATGTTTAAAGCAAGTTTTAGCTAGATGTTGATGGCTCAAATATGGTTAAATCAAGTTTGGGCTAGATTTTGATGGTTTAACTATGGGTAGATCAAGTTTGAGCTAAATTGTCTGGATTAAATATGGTTGATTCAAGTTTGAATTAGATTTTGATGGTTTAAATATTGATAAATATGGTTAAATCAAGTTTTAGCTAGATGTTGATGGTTTAAAAATGGTTAAGTCAAGTTTCAGCTAGATGTTGATGGCTCAAATATGGTTAACTCAAGTTTGAGCAACATTTTGATTTTTTGAATATGGTTAAATCATGTTAAATCAAGTTTTAGCTAGCTTTTGATGGATTAAATATGGTTAAACCACCAGAATCCCGACTTGTTGTTCTTTGCGACCTGACTCGAAGCCTCTGGGGGCCCCAAGCCCAAGTGTTGAGGCTCAATTTCAAGCCCTTCCCCATGGCCTAACCATGGAAAGTCAATGGTCACCCCGAAATGGCATGAAAAACATATGGCTGTGGCTAAAAAATGGTCAAAATATGTCAAAATCATGCAAAATCAATGGTTTTCTGATTTTCTGGGCCTTAAATGTTGAATATCTGTGATTTCCTGATTTTCTGGGTCATAAATTTGATTCATACCTCGCTGTAGGATTGGAGTAATTACAGTACCAACTTTTTTTTGACCTATCTTGAGAGGATCCCCCACCTGACTAGAAAACATTTGGATCCTTACGAAGACCAGCTACCCCCGGTACAGATTGAGCACTTTTTTCTGAAAAAACCAGGGGTGAATCCATGATTTTGCCAACATCCCCAGATTTACGGGGATTCCAGGGCCTGTTGCAGCAGAATCCGCACGGGTCCAAAGTTGGGTTTCATGGTGGCCAATCTCTCAGCAATCGCTGCCTGCCGTCCCAGGCGCGCGGCGCGGAGCGGGGGTGGTTGTTTAGGAAAAGGTTGGAAAAGGTCGGCGACTTACTTGCGCACACAAAATTGACGCACTTGTACACACCGATTTTGAAACATGGTACACACACACAAAAGCCTCAGTTATACACACAAAATTGCCTCACTTGTCACAACCTTGGGGGTGGGGCTAGGGAAGAAAAGGGTAGATCTACCAGCCACACCCATTGCTAAACTTCAAAAGCGAAACTTGTCATCATGAACCTCATTATCACCATCATCGCCGTTCTCGTCATCATCATCACCATCATCGTCATCATCATCATCATCAGCATCATCATCATCCTCATCCTCATCCGCGTGCACAACTAAGTTGTTTTCGCGTGCACAACCGAGTCGGTTTCGCGTGCACAAGCGAGGCACCTTCTGGTGGAAAACCTACAGTGAAATACATGTAAGCGATATGTAAGCGATCAGCATACCCACACAAATCCATGACATATGACATATGTGACAAAACCCCAAAAAATCATGAACATCCATGAAGATTGCCTCTTTTTGAGGCTATCCATGCCGTGACTTCTCGAAGTTCAAGCAACAGGGTGAGGTCAAATGAAGAAATCCCCACACACATCCTTCCATCATCTTCTATCTGATGAAATTATAATAATTCACAAACCTGAAATCAGGGTAAATTGGGATAATGTCATGATAATGTCCCTTACTACCTTACTAACCATCATTCCAGGGCTCGGTCGCAGTGAGGTCGTTATAATTTACCAAGTTCTATATATCGTTGGTTCCACCCAAAGGATTGCTGATGAATTCTCTTTGGTCCAATGGTTGCGACCTTTGATTCACAAATCTGACATTTTCCGGTGTTAAACTAGGCTCTTTCTGCAAGTAATCAATGGCATCATATATCATTTATTGGAGCCTTGCATTGTGATGTTGGATCAAATTTCGCACATGTAGATGATGAATCATTCGTAAATCAAAATGGTCCATTCGCCCTATGACTTCTACTTCATCTAAACAAGTATGATGGCTGCTACCTCACCCACAGTACACAATTACGAAATCGGGATGCTCAATTCAGAGGTGTTGCAACCTCATTTTCTCAGAATATCATGACTCATTTTGTTTTTCGGTGCATAGCCCCTCATTCTTGCTGGTAAAATAGCACAACTTCGCCACTTTTTTGTTGGTTGTTCCAACTTGTTCTTGCATATTTTCTGGTCAATGTCCCCAAAATATGTTGTCCCATATTCATTTCTTTAAGTATTTGTTGTTAATGTCCATGTTGTTTTGATAATTGATGGCTAATCAGTTGAGATCCCTGTAAATTGTACATGGATTGTTAATATTGATACCCCATGATATCCCCATATCTCTAAGAGAGGACTGATACAAAACCACAGTATTTATATCACATCCAACAATGGCTAACTGATGATATCCCACAGCATTCCCGGTGAAACTACCAGAAATCTCGCGACCATCTCGACCTCGTAGTCATTGGCACTTGTCAAGGGAGAAGAAGCCCTTGCCCAGCGATGGCGATATGGCGATGGTACCGAAGGGTCGTGGCGTTTGTGTAACGACAACCCCGAGAGCAGGTTGGTGGTTTTAACACGTTTTAACCATCGTGAAAAATATTAGTCAATGGGAAGGATTATCCCACAGATTATGGAAAAAAACAAATGTTCCAAACCACCAACCAGTATATGTATATAATTTCATATTCATTTTCTGTGATAAGGAAATATAGGATATATCCTAAGATATACAGTTTCAATTTGTACGTTCTAAACCCAAGGTATTTGAACATCAAACTTCTCAGGATGATGACATGTATGGATGGGAATAATGATTACGGATTATACTGTGACATGTTAACCCCAAATGAATGTTGACCCGCCAAGAACACTACCGTTTTTTAGTGTTCTCTCCCCCCAATTGATCAACCTGGAATTATACAGTTGACAGTGTTGATATCAAAAAAATCAGATACATCATCCTTGAAGTAGCAGAATATACCGTATATAATCGTATAATTATACATCATCCTTGAAAAAACAGGTCATATATACCTTGCCTATCTCTCTTGGTATGCATATGGGTTTGTCTGAAAATAGTGTACCCCTACACCCAATGGTTTTGCTGATCATTATCCCTACTAAATGGCTATAATTGGGGGTATACCCCATTTTCAGACATACCCATATGGTCTTTTTTGGGGAACTTCATTGTCCCATTCCTTGGACGACAGCCACTCCTCAATGCGTCGTGGAATCTCGCAGCCCATATTGCGGTGTGCATTTGTCTGTGCCCATTGCCTCGCACCTTTCCCTTGAGAAGCGCAGTGCAAATCGAAATTTGCCAAGGTGCCGTAGTTCTCCACTGCAAACAATGAGCTTGTGCAGCATACAGATATCTATATTCTTCCCTTTTTTTCTGCAGTCATTTTCTGTTCCCACGCCTTGGTGCGAACGGTTTTTCAGCTGCCCAGCTGCCCAGCCCTCCACATCCTCCAGGGTCACATCTCGAAGGCCTTTCTGAATCAATTCATACAGCAAGGATTCGTGATGAATTGGATCCGCTTCATGCGTCCAGGACCCTCAAAGGGTACGCTCCAGTACGTAAATATGGACCTAAATAATTTTTTAACAACAATCATCCATCTTTAGATGATTTTAGGTATATTGAAATTGGGATGTAAGTGGATTTCCGGTTCCTATCTTAGGGCACCAAATGGCAACGTGATCTGAAACCACCACCCAACATAGCTAACCAGCCAAAATTCGATTACTGCACCCGCCAAATATGTTTATGCCCAACATCCATTTGCATCTACCCATGGCAAAAAAATGAAGTATTACAGACACTACCCCTCACCCGTCCATTTTTCCCCTTTTTTCATGCTTCATTTCCCATGTTTTCATTTCTTGCTTAACTACCAAGTTTGAAGTACCAAACCATCCGGACCTAATTTTGCAAGAACATCAAGAAGTAATACATCACATAGAACTGACTGTACATATGTATTATCCCCTCGAATATAATATATATATATAACCATGTATACATATACACACCATCCCTTGAGATAACCCAAGTTTCCCCACTGGCTCCCCAACCCTCCGCTCGTTCCACTCTTCACAGCGCTTGCCATCGCCCGCGGTAACTCCCTTCGGCGCTCGGCAGCCGCCGCCTGCTATAGTTCAGTATAGTGTAACTATTGAAAATCATTGTGTGGTTACATTATACTATGAACCAATGATGTAAAGATTTTGACATGAAGATCAAACAGTGTAAATTTTATATTGCTGTTAATACATGACCATTCATGATGTATTTAAATGTACTTATCCAATGTTAAATAACCGAGTAAAGTAGTTTTACATAGTAAAAACACAAATACCCCGTAGAGATTTGGATGATGGTTTTAACTTTAACCCATCCCAAAAAATAGTAGTCATTTCAACCAATCATCCCAATTATGGTTGAACAAGAAATCTTTGACCCAGCCAGGTACTGTATATGCTGGGTACATGATAAAAAAACACTTATCTGAAACAAGGCTATTTTGGGACAGCTGCCACTTGCTTACCGTCCTTCCAGTGAGGTCGCAGTGAGACAGTCATGATTTATCCAAATATGCTATGCAAATATTACATAACCATAGCGCATCAATACCGAAAATCGATGAACATCGTATATATTATGGTTGGTGGGTAGCGAAGTTGGTTCCCCAAGTGGATTCTATTGTTCGTGGTAGAAAGCACTACAGTTAACAGGGGTTAAAAACCAACAAACATAATTGGGGCCCACCTTGTGCAATATGTTGTAAGTGACTAGAAGTAGTGATTTCCAAGTGTGTTAAAACCATGTAAAACCAATATTAGTCACTTCCATGTAAAAAAATCAAACTTCCGACTTATGGACAGATGCAGCAACAGTGGTCAGAGCAGAAACAAGAGCAAGGGGTGGTCTGGGCTAGGTGTGTTGGTGGTGGTGTTGGTGCTTGCCTTTTTTTTCCCTTTGCGTTCCCCGTCACGCGTCCCCGTTAGGCATCTTCTTTTCATGTTAATTTTCATGTCACCGACCCTGCCGCAGCACGGTGTGGGTGTGTGTACCATCTGAATAGATGTGACACCTCTAATTTCTGCAGGGGGCTGCTGGGGAACATTGCAGTCAGCAGCCGATGATGAAGCTGCAATGTTCCTGTGTAGATGTACCTGTCTCTATATATTATATAGACCCGCCCCTGGGCGCATATAAGTCGCAGCTACGGGGGGCCTATAGTTTATCGATGTTGGTTTATAATGTCATTGACTCATGTGATTTGAATATTTGTGTACATATAAAAATAAATAAATATAAATAAATAAATCAATATATATATATATATATATTCATCGTGTAATTTTGTTTTTGTTCGTTGGTATCTGTTAAACACGTCCGATGCACTCCACCTTCACAAATCGATAAATTGTTCTGAGCAAGTGTGTGTGTGTAACATCTGTATAGATGTAAAACCTATCCTTTTTCTTTTTTCTCTCCTTCTTGCAGGGGGCAGTAGCACCATTGCATGTCTACTGCCAACGAAGACACTTGCAATCGGTGGTGATGCCAGACCTGATCAGTCTGGCGTACCTGCATTGCAAGTCTACTGCCAACGAAGACACTTGAAATCTGTGGTGATACCAGACCTGATCAGTCTGGCGTGCCTGCATTATTAGATTTCTCGACATGAAGGGGCTAAGCCGAGAACCCCAACAACCAAAAAATGATTTTTTTGTCGTTATGGCAAAGGGCTAAGCCGAGTACCCTACAGGAACTATGTTTTTATTTGGAACTTATTCGGTTTCTTCATCATGGCCGAGGGCTAAGCCGAGAATCCTATAACGATTATTCGTTGCAATTTGTGATCTATTTATTGAGTTTCCGGTCGAGTTTGTCTTTTTGGAGTACCTCACATTGGCCTGCGAATTCATCTATGATTACTGTTTCCTTGTCTAATTTGCATGTTAAAGGACTCGGTTCCTGATGGATCACTCAAAAGATCCAAGTTTGTCTAGTGTGACTTCCATGGTGGCTCCGACATGGTGCCATGGACCCACTTGAGGGAACCTTTCTTAAGGTGAATGTCGACTGATCGGATTACAGAATTGACACTTTTAATTTGGTAATTCGTTTAAGTAAAGTGGAACAGTCGGCCTTTCCATTTGTCTGCCTTTTTGTGCAGTCCTGCGGCTCCCGCTGTCCTTTGTGAACCTTCGGAATCTTCATCTCTTCGCGTCTGCAGCCGTGCCGAACAACCACAAACCTCTTTTTTCGCTGCAGCTCTAGCATTTGAAGTGCAACATGACATGAGCGACAGAAGGCAACAGGCATGTCTCTTTCCTGCAGGTGTGGTTGAACATATTGTGCATCTAATACGATGGAATTTGAACAGCGGTTTATGCCCACGTGGCTTGACTTGACAACGTTCCCGGTTGGGAGTAACGCACGGCTATTTAGGAAAGGACTGAGTCCTTTTAATTTAATTTAATTGTTCTGGTTGTTTTACCCTCGTCATCAACTAAGTCCCCCATCGGTCCCTAATTCTTCCCTCGTGCCCCTCTGTAATGTGTTGTGGGGTTTAGGTGTGTGCCCTGTGCTGGTTAGGTCCGTCTCGCCGTGTAGGTTGGTTCCTTCCCCCCCTGCGCTGTTTTGGCCTTATGCCCGTCGTTTGTGTCCGCTTTTTCTTCCCCTTGCCTTTCAGGGTTGTCCCGGCTCCGGCCGTGGGTGTGTGTGTGTGTGTGTAACATCTGTATAGATGTAAAACCTATCCTTTTTCTTTTTTCTCTCTTTCTTGCAGGGGGCAGTAGCACCATTGCAAGTCTACTGCCAGCGAAGACACTTGCAATCGGTGGTGATACCAGACCTGATCAGTCTGGCGTACCTGCATTATTTGATTTCTCGACATAGCAAGGGGCTAAGCCGAGAACCCCATTTTTTCGTCGTTATGGCAAAGGGCTAAGCCGAGTACCCTACAGGAACTATGTTTTTTTGTTTGGAACTTATTCGGTTTCTTCATCATGGCCGAGGGCTAAGCCGAGAACCCTATAACGATTATTCGTTGCAATTTGTGATCTATTTATTGAGTTTCCGGTCGAGTTTGTCTTTTTGGAGTACCTCACATTGGCCTGCGAATTCATCTATGATTACTGTTTCCTTGTCTAATTTGCATGTTAAAGGACTCAGTTCATGATGGATTACTTAAAAGATCCAATTTTGTCTAGTGTGTGTGTGTGTTTGTATTTCTTTACTCCTTGATAGCTTATGGTATCCACAGAAGGTGTTTCTCCATGAGTTTTGGCCTTACAGTTTGTCACACACAAGCACTCGTTCACCATAACACATTATATGTTTACTAAAACGTTCAAATCAAGCAAGATAAGTGTCAAAAAATGTGTTTTACCACTTTCCCAGCCTCGTGAAGCACAGAAAACGCTGAAGAACACAATATTTTTTTTGCATATTTTTGAAACAAAATCACATCCGTAGCAACACCCGCCGTCAAAAAAAACAGATAGACAGGGAAACAAATAGATATAGACGGAGAGAGATAGAGAGATAGAGAGAGCGAGAGAGAGACAGAGAGACAGAGAGAGAGATAGACTCAGCCACCTTGGTCCGCTCTGCCATGCATCACAACAACTCACCTCTCCTATAGATTCCTATGATTGAAATTTCCGCCGCCTTGTGCGGTACTACTGGTCCCAGTGTCCCAGTTCCATAAGGGATCTGCCGAGAAGGCACCCCACTGCCTGGCGTTTCGACTTACGAAGAAACCGAAAAGGTTCCTCAGATGCACAAGCGTGGCTTTCGAAAGGGTTTGGACAGAAACTTCTCGAGATTTTCGTGGGTTTACTGCAACAGTTTGAGATAGTTTGCGTTTTCTGCAGCTTAAGCCCTGCATCAAAATGGGGTTTCGCATCTTTTCTGTCAAGAGGTGATTTCTATTGCCATGCAAATTTGTTGCAAAGAGGATTATGCAAGCCCCTGAGACAACAACCTACTGCGGATCACCGCTTGTCCTGGATGAACCATTCCGGGATGATCAACATAGAAATCATAGAACCATCTATCATCATGTCAACAGATCAAAATCTTATAATTAGTCATCATGTCATCATGTATAATCATGTAAACAAATAAAAACTCAAGTACCTCAAGTAACCAACTTGGGAAAACCATGGAACATTTCCCCATTATTTTTCGCTGTGGGATGTTTTTCTTTTGCCCAGCGGTAAAGCGGGGCCCAGCTGCTCTCTAAGTTGACAGAACGCTTGGGAATATGGTAGATATACCCTCTGGTAAACATACAAAAAGCTATTGAAAATTGCCATTGATAGTGGGTTTAACCATTAAAAAATGTGGTTTTCCATAGTTATGTTAGTTTACCAGAGGGTATATCTGTAGTTAATGGATGTTCATGGGCTATAACTAGATTGTCTATGGTTTATGAATGTTTATAACACGTCTTTTTTCGAACCATAATGGCTTTTATGCACCAACATCACTGGGGAGCTCACTTTGTACGATTGCTCCATCTGCCGCATCCCCAGTGCGGCTTAGTTTCTGTGTGGGATAATCACAATTTAATAAATAATTTACTAACGCAAATCATTAACTATCCTATTACATAGTGACTTCCATAATGATATTACAGTGTATCATACATATATATATATACACACATAACATATACTATTGTAACCATCAAAAATCCAGGTGACCCCCCTGTGCCCTTCCCTTCATCGAGCATCTCTCAGAACTTCGGCGCTCCGATCGGCGCTCGGCACTGGCGCTAAGAGCTTCAGATCCATCAAGTGCTGGGTGAGATTTCGAATCCTGCGCGTCATCTGCTTATGGCCATATGGGCCATATGGATCCATATATGGTGGATGTCACCCGAAAAATTAGAACATTCTCATGGATGTCATTCGAAACGTTTTATCATGTGAAATGTAACGAAGACTTTGAGATGGTGATTGGAACAAGGAAATTGGTAAGCAGCAAACAATGATTATTTACCCAGTAGGCATGTTTGATTTTCCTCAGCGAACATGGTGATCAAACCTGGTGATGCGCATCTGAATCAGCAAAATCTTGGATTTCAGCAGTAGAAACAGGGATTTAACATTATTTACCATCTGGTTATTTAACATGGCCATGGAAAATCACCATTTTCAATAGGTAAACCATCTATAAACGGGCCATTTCCCATGGCTATGTTAGTCATAAACCAGAGGGTAGCCAGCCAATTTTTTACCATCTCTTTTCTGCGTGTGGGGTTCCAGTGTGGCGTTCCAACTGATTCGAATTTTACACGTTTCTACGAGTACTCAATGGGGCCGTTTTGAGTCAGGCAGGTGCAATAACCATCTTGAAAAATATGAGTTCGTCAATGGGAAGGATTATCCGATTATCCCATATATTATGGAAAAAAAACATGTTTGAAACCACCAACCAGGTACATATCAGAATTTGGATTGGATTGGCTGACCCTGAAAACCGGCCGCATGTTATCCCCACCTGGCACGTGGAGCCTTTTCGCTCGGCGCCTGTGAGATGTGGATCAATTTTCATGGATCGTGGCCACAGAAAATGAGGAAAGGATGTGTGGTGATGTTTGGCCAGCAAAAATTGAGATAGCAACCAAAAGCTGCATTTTGCCAACAATAGCTCCAAAGGCGGTCATCAAAAAACACTGATCAAATCACTTGCCAGTTGAATCATAGTGTTCCCCTCCTTTGGTTGGTGTTTACCAAGTTTCTTGGGATCAAATCAATGGAATGTATGCAAAAAACATCAGAATATCAACCATATACCCTCTGGTCATTTAACAGTTTGCTTTTGAAAATAACCCATTCAGTTCGTTGATTTACCTCTTAAAGATGGTGGATCTTTCCAGTTCGCTATAAACGTTTACCAGAGGCTTGATATGAACTTGGATACCACTCGGGATGAGCCTCTTCGACTGTCCTGACCTCGGAAGTTGGATACCTCAGTGGAATTTGGTGTCATGGAACTTGCAGCAACGGTTCCAGGTTTTAAAACGGGGAATTTAAGCTGTTTGTATAGGCTTTGACCTTGTTTCTGGGAATCATTCAGCAAAAATAAACTGTATACTTTCTACAAGATTCGCCCGGAGTTCACGCTTTGAACCCCATTTTTGCGTATTTGTCTAAGGTTTCATGAGCTCCATCAGATCATCTGGACCATACACCACTTGTATCCCAGTCATTACAAGTGGGACTTGAACAGTGTGGAAAGTCTCGAGACGACTTCACCAAGAAACATAGGATTTCAACCAACTTGGCTTTGCCCAAACAAATCCATCAAAAAACCGGCAAATATGTTTAAATACCATGAACATCCATGAACATCCACAAACAAATTATAAAAACAAAACAATCCCATTCCACTCGCCCCCCTTAAGCATCCACTCAACTCACCCTCAGCTGTCGAATGCTGTTTTTTGGCCTCAAGCAGCTTTTGGTAGTCTTTCATCAGCTGCTGTCCATTGCGGCGCAAGCAGTGCCGCGCATCGAAGTCCATGAGGAAAAGGAAGATGGGATTTTCCAAGCCTTTTGTGCGGGGTTGACAGGAGATTATACAGCAGCTTTTTGGGGGACATTTAAAGGAACCTTTTTGTCATTGAATATGGGGGTAAACCGGAAAAAATTGTACAGTAGATGTTCACTTCGTCCAATTCTGCGATTCAAACTCTTTTGGGTGGGTTTAATTCTCCTATCCCCGAGACGATAGATAGGTTCATATGTCTGAAAATGGGGGGGTGCCCTAACTGGCCGTTCAAGAAAGGGAAAACTATGACAACCACGAATAAACCATCAAATTTGTGAGATTGCGATCTGGAAGGTCTCCCAACCCACAGCTCATGGCAGGCTCTATGTGCGTTGGGGAGATGGTGATACATCTCCATTCACATAGGCTAAGGGGGATGTTTCCCCGAAAAAATCTTAGAGTCGGTTGACAACTCCCAGGAAATTGAGATATCTGGGCAGATTGTTATACCAACATATTTGAAACACAACATCCACACACGAAACAACTGGGAATCACTTTTGCTGGGTTTTCTGGGGATGTTGGATGACACGTCTGGAACCGCTCCGAACCTTATGCAAATCCCCTTGATTGAGGTCCACCTGGGTCACCTTCCAAGGCACTCACTTTGTTGCTCAAACCATCTTCCCTTGGGGCGACACGAAAGGAGGAGGGGCGACAATGGGAGGAGACCCAGCTTTCACGATATTTCTAATGGGGAATGTGTATTTATATACAATATATAATATAATATATATATAAATAATGTATATATAACTTAATTGTACACATACAAGCTGGAAACTCTTCTGAACCAGTGGGCGAACTGAGAACTGCGGCAATTTTGAGGAGTTTCACAGTATCACCTGGCTGGTCCAGGCGGATTCCGATAATGCCTGTGGTGATTTCTTGAGGTTCCCCTTACGAAACAAAAAGGCTACATTTATGGTGAGGGGTAGCTAGCACTGCTTTCCCCCTGATCCACCGTTTTTATCCATTGACATCAATTTATATTCTTTTTGAGTCAGTGCAACATATCCAGCGTACTTTCAGGTTTGCAACATATTCCAATCACTAGCATTGGTTACATCATGTTACATCCTCATGTTTTTTAGTTGAAAGTAGATACCACCATGAAGGTTGGTGAACAAAATAGCCATAGCCTGACAATGATGACCCCTCCAATGCAAAGAGATCCTTTTTCGCTTTGGCGTTTCCCCGAATGCTTAGGACACTTTGTTCTCTCCACACTCTCTAACAAAAAGGTTCTTGTTCTGAACCTCAAACACAATTCATGAATATTAATGAGGTAAGCTCATTCATATGTCACCATGCCCAATGGGGTCTTATGAAATCGGCTTTACCGCAGATCATTCTTTTTGTTCAAACGGCCAAAATCATTTTTTGCCACCAGCTCTAACTACCGCATGATCCCATAGTTATTCCACATATTCTCCCAATAAATTCATCCCCATATGTTTTTCACCCCAACATGTTGTAGAACATTTCACTAGACCTCAAGAATGTCTATTACAAGTACATTTTGTTTCAAGTACACACTCAAAAATTACGACTACCTATGGCTACCTTTAACATCTATTTAAAACAAACACACACACACTAATTAAATACATTAAAAAAAAAAACAATAAACATTTTCCCATCATCATCCCTTAATTCTTCACCATTTCCCCAGCTCCAAGGTATCCCAGTCCAAGGCGCAGCACCTTTCGTCCCAACGCCGTGAACCGCTCCTTGGGCCCGAAGCCGTTGATGTGCAACGCCGGGCGCACCGAGGGACAGCTATGGTTGCGGCTGGAGGCCGGCAGCAGGACCTGAGAATATGTGGAACAAACATGAACCAACTGATGAAATTATACTAGCATTATAATCCCTATTTTCAGGTTGTTTATGTAAACATGGTGATTTGTTTTATTGCTATGACGAGTTCCCAGAATGTCAACATATCTGATTGATGCTTTCAACTCATTCCACACATATATTAGCGACTGTGGGCGCTCATATTCAATATGGTTTAGCTGGTTAAAGATAAATCTAAGTTGAAGCACTGGATGGTCTCTGATCTTTGTCTTGCACTTTGAATGCTTGATGGGTCTTTTACCAAGCAATCAATTTCGAAAGCATGGGGCAAAACTGGGTATGCTTCAAAATTGAAGTACAATAGCCAGCAAGAAACTAGAACATCTTTGAAAAGTCATTTACCACCAAGCCAACTTACTATCTAGAGTGCAAAGGAAACTCTTGGTATCTCCAACTGGTTCCAGAAAAGATACACATACCATTGGATACACAGGGCTCCGCCATGCTCCGCCCTAACACCGACTCATTGCCCCTGTAAATGGTGTAAATGGTGAATGCGACGACTTTATTTTGGCTACAAATCCCATGAGATCTCCATTCTTGGCACTCTGGTAAACATACAAAAAACTATTGAAAATGGCCATACAAATAGTGGATTTACCCAGCAGTTATGTCAGTTTACCAGAGGCTAATTTTCTTTAACAAAGTGTCCTGGTTCACTTCGCGTCGATGCTTTGTTCTGAGGTTCCATCCCCACGGTCGATCCACCTGAGCATCCTCGATGGAAAAGAAGTAACGATCGCGGTGGAAGTACCACACGTAGTGCGAAATCCTCAGTGGTGATGCTACTTCCACCATGATCACCGAGGATTTCAACATTTTTTTGCAATATGAAATAGCACTAGTGGTACGAATACTTTTTTTTTATTGATAGCTACTATACTTCCTATAGATATATAATCGCTGGTAAATCGTAGTGGATGATTACTGCGGAATTTTATCCAGCAACAGCAACATATGGGGATATACATATAATTACATATACATGGATACAGAATTGATAAATGATGGTTGGTTGATGACGACTATATATATATATACACTATCCGATACTATCCAATAAACAATCCATGAACTGGAAAAATCTATTGACAAAGCAATAATTTCAAGGTATCAAGATGATGCCCCCCATGAATTGTAAGTTGGTTTGGGATCCCCTCACTAACTATAGATACATCTACCACAAAACACTAAGTATAAACCAACTTAGCTATCATTTGGGGGACCCACCCTCTGGACCCGCGACTGGGATCGAACGAGTGAGTGAGGTTCGAGGGTTTCCAACATTGGATGGGGATGGGATGGGGATGGGTCAATACCTACAGCACACTCTATATGCAACAATAAAAAACAATCTTTTATGAATCGGGGGGAAATGGAGAGAAGAAATGGGAAAATCATCCAGCAAAGCGCGAGCTTTGCTAACTGGTTTGAAACCGGTGTACAGTACCCATTCGAACAGGCCCATTGCCTTAAATGAAAACCCACGTCAAGATCCCTAGTCACTCTCAATGATTTACTCCTGTAAATTGTAAACACAATGCCCCAAACCATGGTGGCATCAATCCATACAAAGGCATCATAAACATCATTGCATTGGAGCGCCTGCTTGACATCATCCCCACGCAAGTGGCCAACGCCAACCAATCAACCATAGTCACCGCCTTTGTCTTCACTAGTCGGTATAACTACCCCGATCTTGATCGTGAATCCACCCTTGTTTGCACCCTTCACCATAAGTCTGCACACCACCAATCACCACACCAGCGGTGGGCTTCGCTGAGACTCAAGGTGTGAATGGAAGGGAACTCCCCCTGGTAGTTGTGATACCAGCCACGATTCAGCGCATCAAACTGCATCTGGCTCAGATATTCGCACCAGCCCGCTTCCTGAACAGCTACAACCCCAACTAATTATTAGTTCATCCCCCCCCAAAAAAATGTGGGTTTTTCCTATCGTTTTCAACCTGACCATCATGTGGGTGGGAGAACTGGCAGCGACACATGGGATGTAGTAGGATCCAGCAGCGCGAAAAATCGTAACTCCAAAGTAAAGTGAAGCTGGTAGAAATGCTGGGAGAATTCGTTGGGATTTGAAAGGATTGCCCGCCACAAACATGGTGCCAGCCACCAAATTGTTGAAATGCTATGGTTGACCCACACTGATCTCGACAAGGAACACTTTAAACATACTTCACACCACCACCAAAACAGGATAAATGGATAAATGGATCTAAAGCATCTACTCATCTACATAGGATACCCATCAATGTTTGTTTGTACAGCTGGCATGCTCGAACATCAAACTATCGGCTTGATTTCATGATTCTACGGCTTTCGTATTAAACATATTTCACAATGACGATTGCCCATCCAGCCCTGCTTGCTTGGTTAAGTTGTCACACCCATTTATGATGATCGTCCGAGTAAAACACTCCATTTAAATCATGGCTAGCCTTACTATACCATGCAGTAACTCAAAGGTTCAGCTGCTTAGTGCATCTTCCAATGGCAAACACAAAAAGATTGACCGAACGGATCCAGGTGATTCCAGGTCTCTGAACGTAGGCTTCGAACATAAATGAACATAAATGAACTACGCTTGGCCTATAGTTAATGCAACACTTTCTCATCATTTTCACCAGTCATGGAGGTTTCCTGAGTCATGGGGGTACCCCCAGTTCTCCTCAATTTTATTGGGGACCATGACAGAAACCATCCATCCATTTTGGGATACCCCCCCATTTTAGGAAACCATCAGCTCCTCTGACTCCGCACCCATGCGCTCTTGGATAAACCTTGGCCGGTCAGCTTTATCGAAGGCCGGCTCTGGTGATGAAACCTTTGGATCTCTGCGACAACTAGACGACGGATGACCCGAGAGCGTAGAGGAGCAGAGTCTTCTTTTGTTAGTATGGAGACACTATATTACAAGATAATATATTAAAGATGTATTATAGGCAGACGAGAAGAGTAGTATCAAGACAATATATGACTAGTACAAGACAATAGTTTGCATCGTATTTTTGTAAAGTTTTTCATACACAGAACTTTTTACAGACAGACTCTTTTGCACACAGAGACTTTTACACACAGAGACTTTTACACACAGAGACTTTTACACACAGACGCTTTTACACACAGACGATTTTGCTTTTACACACAAACACACATTTTTTACACACAGACGCTTTTACACACAGACGCTTTTACACACAGACGCTTTTACACACAGACGCTTTTACACACAGACACTTTTACACACAGAGACTTTTACACACAGAGACTTTTACACACAGACGCTTTTACACACAGACGATTTTGCACACAAACACTTTTACACAAACACTTTTACACACCGACGCTTTTACACACAGACGCTTTTACACACAGAAGCTTTTACACACAGAAGCTTTTACACACAGACGCTTTTACACTTTTACAGACGCTTTTACACACAGACGCTTTTACACACAAACACTTTTACACACAAACCCTTTTACACACAGACGCTTTTACACACAGACGCTTTTACACACAGACACACACAAACACTTTTACACACAGAGGCTTTTACACACAGACGCTTTTACACACAGACGCTTTTACTTTACACACAGACGCTTTTACACACAGACGCTTTTACACACGGACGCTTTGACACACAAACACTTTTATACACAGAGGCTTTTACACACAAACACTTTTACACACAAACACTTTTACACACAGACGCTTTTACTTTACACACAGACGCTTTTGCACACAGACGCTTTTACACACAGACGCTTTTTACACATAGGCTCTTTTGCACACAGACGCTTTTACACACAGACGCTTTTACAGACAGAGACTTTTACACACAAACACTTTTACACACAGAGACTCTTACACACAAACGCTTGTACACACAGACGCTTTTACACACAGACGCTTTTAATCGCTTTTACACACAGACAAGTCCGGCGCAAGTAAAATCGCAATTTTACCTCAGTTTTTGCACATCGACCCTCATTTCGTGCGAAAGGGTTGGTCCGGCACAAGTAAAATCGGAATTTTACCTCAGTTTTTGCACATCGACCCTCATTTCGTGCGAAAGGGTTGCTCCAGCACACGAAAAATCGCAATTTTACCTCAGTTTTTGCCGATCGACCCTCATTTCGTGCGAAAGGGTTGCTCCGGCACAAGTAGAATCGCAATTTTACCTCAGTTTTTGCCGATCGACCCTCATTTCGTGCGAAAGGGTTGCTCCAGCACACGAAAAATCGCAATTTTACTTCAGTTTTTGCAGATCGACCCTCATTTCGTGCGAAAGGGTTGCTCCGGCACAAGTAGAAAATCGCAATTTTACCTCAGTTTTTGCCGATCGACCCTCATTTCGTGCGAAAGGGTTGCTCCGGCACAAGTAGAAAATCGCAATTTTACCTCAGTTTTTGCCGATCGACCCTCATTTCGTGCGAAAAGGTTGCTCCGGCACAAGTAGAATCGCAATTTTACCTCAGTTTTTGCCGATCGACCCTCATTTCGTGCGAAAGGGTTGACGTTTCGTGACTCACCGCCGGTACCACCCTCGGCCTAAAGAGAGAAAGATAAAGAAGGCGAGAGAGAGAAAAGGGAGAGAAAGGAGAGAAGATGTGAAGATGAGAAGATGTGAAGAGGAGCAGATGTGAAGATGAGCCGATGTGAAGATGAGCAGATGTGAAGATGAGAAGGTGTGAGAGAAGGTGTGAAGATGAGAAGGTGTGAAGATGAGAAGGTGTGAAGATGAGATGTGAAGAAGAGCAGATGTGAAGATGAGCAGATGTGAAGATGAGCAGATGTGAAGATGAGCAGATGTGAAGATGAGGTGTGAAGATGAGAAGGTGTGAAGATGAGAAGATGTGAAGATGAGCAGGTGTAAAGATGAGCAGATGTGAAGATGAGCAGATGTGAAGATGAGCAGATGTGAAGATGAGCAGATGTGAAGATGAGAAGATGAGAAGATGTGAAGATGAGCAGATGTGAAGATGAGCAGATGTGAAGATGAGAAGATGAGATACAGACCCCCACTATTGGAAGAACCCTGCGCTCAGACGCTCTCGGGAATTGGTATTTCAACGTATATTTAATAGGGAAAAATGAACATCAACTATAGAGGCACCGCAAATCCAGCATCAGTTTCTAAACTTCCGAACTGAACTTCCACATTCTTTCCGGGTCATCCATGTCCTAGCTCCCGACTTGGCGGCCGAAGCCGTTCTACAGTGGATACTTGGTCAAACAAATGCCATGTACATGAATCAATTTACTATTTCAACTATTCTTGCAATTCCTCCCCCGGAAAGCTGCCATTCGCCGTGCAACCGCCTCACCTCCTTCAGATGCTTCAATTCCACCTTGGAATTGGATGGAAGCGTGGCTGGAACCAGGCACCGTGGCGGCATCCGAAGGCACCATCATACCCAAACTTACCATTGAATGGGGTACGTGACCATAGAAACTGGGATGCCATGGGGTACCCCATTTTCAATCAAAATCATATTGTATATGCTGCAATATGATTATTGACCCGACACTTGGGCAATTTTGACTATTGGAGCATTCCTTACCCATGCGCTTCCTATATTTTTGTGTTTTCTGTCTCAAACATATTTTACCCAACATTTGACACCAAAAATCCCAAATCCACCAATAATTATACCCTATGTTTATTTAACCCATGGAAAGAAACCATGTTTAATAGGTACATCATCATACATTTGCACATGGACCATTTTCCAGAGCTTCCCACCATGGCACCACGACTGGCATGGCATCCATGAATTCGGCCACCCAATCCATGCCTGCCAACTTCAGCGTTTTTTACGCACACAAAAAGTGATTGAAGCAATATCCATATAGTTCCAACTGCGTCGCTGTGGGCTTTAAACGACAATTTTTGAGGGCTAAAGTTACAACAACTAGGAACTGCATCTGAACAGAATAATCCCTTCCCCCTAATACTAACCCCTCCAAATAATAAACACCTCAGGTATTTTTTATCACTATAAGAGGGTATTTATTATTAGGGAACCAAAGCGGACCCTAATAATAAATTAAAACCCTTGATAAAAACAACTATTTTTTCGATTTCAAAATCAATGAAATTTCCTTTTATAACCCAATTAAAATATTGCCAAAACAATTGGATTTCGAAGCGGGCCCTAATAATAAATCAAAAAACCTAATACAACAAAAGTATTTATTTGATTTCACAATTTACTAAATGTCCTTTTATAACGCAATTAAAATATTGCGCAAAAAATTAGATTTCGGGGCGGACCCTAATAATAACTTAAAAACCCTAATGCAAAAACAACTATTTGTTTCGGACGGACCCTAATACAAAACACCCCGGGATTAACTAGTTTTTATTATTAGGGGGTGAAACCCACAAATAGTAGCTTTATGTTTAAATTGTTTTCTAAAGGGGATCAATTAAAAGTCAAATTGGCCAACCCGAAATTTGCCAAAGTTGGAACCTATTTTTCATTATTCGGGGGGGGTGTAGTATAGGGGGAAGGGATTAGCTTAGGGCCTAGGGTTTGTTCGAGGGATATAATGACATAGTGGGGCTTACGGTAATATCGCCAACATTGTGATAGGAATTGGTGATTAACCGCTCATATCACATTGACATTGGATGGCATAAGCTTCACTGGCTTCACCATCATTGAATCACTGGTGTCGATCTGATCCAAAATGGTTCTGCTTTGCCAGAGATAGTCAACATCCAAAAAAAACAAAGCAGGATTTACATTTCACCATATTTCACCACTGCACTCCAGTCTCTTGAACTGCAATCACCTTTGATCTGGTTGGTGCGTGCAACGAAGTATGAGATCAAATGCGATTTCATCGCCCCAACCATGACATTATAAAAACCTACATAGTCAATCTCCAACCATTCCTGAAAACATTCCACTGAATCAAGCAACAACCAAAAAACATGTTTGCGTTGTTTCCTCTAATCCTACCCACCAATTGTAGCAAAGTCGGCTACAGCCCGTTGACATCATTTGTTGAAGCTACCCCCAGCCACCAGCTCCCAGCCTAACGAAATGATCGTAAAGATAAACAATGGAATCTTCCAGTGGCCATACCTCAGTGGTAAGTTTGAGCATCCAAAATCCGTCATTTTTTGTGAGCCAACTGCTTCAACCATTGCGATGATAGATTTCCTGAACTGATCCAGCTGTTGGGATCCAATCGATCCATTTGATGAATTATACAATTGAATTATACAGTTCCTGTTAACCCAAATATTGGTGATTCCTGCAGATGACTTTCCCGGAAAAACCAATTCTGCGTCTGAATCTTTGTTGTTTCCAAATGTTCGAACGGCCTGGAATTGGGGTAGCCAAGAAGTCAATCGTCACATTTGGTGTCCTTTGGATTGAAACTCTCGTCCTTTGGACTGTGAACATGACAAAGAGGACACCTCACCGTTTTCGGGCTAGACAAACATTCAAAACATCAAACCGCTCACCTTTTTGCTCCGGGTCATCAATGGTCAAGGCAGACTTGTGCTTTGCTGGAACCTAGCAAATGAAGGATCACTGGTTTTCAAACATTCTATGGCCACAATTCTAAGCATTTTGGCTCAACCTGTCGGAATTATAATAACCATGGCTAATACCTAGTCGTCACCCCACCTGCGCACACAAGTGCTGTACTTGCCTGCAAATATGTTTCATTACGTTGCTGAGTTGCTGCAGGTTCCAAATCAAGCAGAAGCTCAAAAACAATGTTCGACAGACCGGGAAAGTAGTTGGAAACTAGCGTTTCCACTGTTTCCACTGACCCTACCGAGGAATCTTCATGATTCAACAGCTATATTAGATCGATATCGAAACTCAATGAAACACTTTGAAGTTTGGATTTTATCAAATCATTGAGACCCTCGGAGCCGGTCTTGACGTTCTGACATTTTCTTGGTGTCCAGGCCACCCATGCTATTTAGCACACATGCCTGCGACTGCTTGAAAAGTGATTGACAACATTTGGGCTGTTTAAAATTATGAATCCCCGAAACTAACCCTACGCCGCCCTTTCGCGCCCTTTCGGGACACGTCCATATCTGCAGATGTCACTCGGATACTTAAAGTCTTGCATGGGTTTTAGAAGGACTCCTATTTAACAACCACAATCTAAGCAGCGAGGATTCAAAGCTCATGGTAGGCTTAGCTGAAGCTGCGTTATTTGTTCCTGCAGCAAGGACTGGACGTTTGTTTCTCGCGCAACCATGCACGCAAGAAGGGCTGACAAAGGCATCTGTCTCAACGTCCGGTGTAGATGTCGGTCTCGATGGCCTTGCTGGGCAACCTCCCTTTCAATGATCTCAAGGAGCTCCGTTGCTTCGATGTGAGCATCTGCAAGAGAACGGCGGATGTGAGGCAAAAGCGTTCCAAAGAACTCGCTGGTGTCCTGCAGGCCAACTGTTACCACGATTTCCGCAAACGCACGAACAATTCCAACCCTAACTTCAAAAGAATCAAACAAATCAGCAAAACTCAGCAAACATAAGCAAAAATAAATACCAATGATCATTCCATCACAAGGTCGGCTCTGAATCAGAATTACTGTACCATCAGGTCACCATGTGGCTACTATGCTACTGGAGGTTTCTGGCGTTTTGACCAATGGCACACAACACAACAAGCAAACAAAGGCCCCCAAAAAATAGTTTAAACAGGCCAAGAAGTGTCCATGTTGTGCAATTGAAGCCGCTGGCGCTTGTCCAGGGCCGTGAAGCGCGGATGTGTGCTGTGGTGGCAATAGCCACAAGCATCTCCCACGTGGCAGTTCCCTTTGGCCAAGCGAATGCATGGCCGCGCACATAGAAAGGGATGCCCACGGCTGCCGTGGAGAAGTGCATGACGCACGGGCGTTGCCGAGGATGTTGCTGCAGCCGATTCACACTTCGGCGCATCTTCCTCTTGCCGTGTCTCTTGCCGACCCATCTCTGTCTGCAACATGTCTGCCTCAGCTGCGACGGCCTCCGTTGCTGCCATGTCTGGTAGAACTGGTTCTTCTGGCACGGACTCGGTTTCGTCTGCATCGACTGGAACTGCAACTGGTTGCACTGGCATCCCAGTCAAGGTCTGGGCCCTTTGCCATAATTCAACCACGTAGGTGGCCAGTGCATGCTGACTGTCCTGCTCATCTGCATGTTGCTGGCCGAGATGGGGACAGCTTCGATGGCGCAGCAGCTCCCCACCCATGGGCTCTTCATCAATGAAGGTGCGAAGGTATCGGAAATTCGCCATGCCAAAGTATGCCAATTTGGCAGCCCGGCAAGACTTCAAGAACGGCGAATCTGGAACCAAAAGGATTTTCATCATTCTTGTGCAAATTGCGCTGATAGATTTCCTGAACTGATCCAGCTGTTGGGATCCAATCGATCCATTTGATGAATTATATAATTGGATTATACAGTTCCTGTTAGCCCAAATATTGATGATTCCTGCAAATGACTTTCCCGGCTCCTTTGGATTGAAACTCTCGTCCTTTGGACTGTGAACATGACATGGAGGACACCTCACCGTTTTCGGGCTAGACAAACATTCAAAACATCAAACCGCTCAGCTTTTTGCTCCAGGTCATCAATGGTCAAGGCAGACTTGTGCTTTGCTGGAACCTAGCAAATGAAGGATCACTGGTTTTCAAACATTCTATGGCCACAATTCAAAGCATTTTAGCCCAACCTGTGGGAATCATTATAACCACGGCTACTACCTAGTAGTCACCCCAACTGCGCACACAAGTGCTGTACTTGCCTGCAAATATGTTTCATTACATTGCTGAGTTGCTGCAGGTTCCAAATCAAGCAGAAGCTCAAAAACAAGATTCGACAGACCGGGAAAGTAGTTGGAAACTAGCGTTTCCACTGTTTCCACTGACCCTACCGAGGAATCTTCATGATTCAACAGCTATATTAGATCGATATCGAAACTCAATGAAACACCTTGAAGTTTGGATTTTACCAAATCACTGAGACCCTCGGAGCCGGTCTTGACGTTCTGACATTTTCTTGGTGTCCAGGCCACCCATGCTATTTAGCACACATGCCTGCGACTGCTTGAAAAGTGATTGACAACATTTGGGCTGTTTAAAATTATGAATCCCCGAAACTAACCCTACGCCGCCCTTTCGCGCCCTTTCGGGACACGTCCATATCTGCAGATGTCACTCGGATACTTAAAGTCTTGCATGGGTTTTAGAAGGACTCCTATTTAACAACCACAATCTAAGCAGCGAGGATTCAAAGCTCATGGTAGGCTTAGCTGAAGCTGCGTTATTTGTTCCTGCAGCAAGGACTGGACGTTTGTTTCTCGCGCAACCATGCACGCAAGAAGGGCTGACAGAGGCATCTGTCTCAACGTCCGGTGTAGATGTCGGTCTCGATGGCCTTGCTGGGCAACCTCCCTTTCAATGATCTCGAGAAGCTCCGTTGCTTCGATGCGAGCATCTGCAAGAGAACGACGGATGTGAGGCAAAAGCGTTCCAAAGAACTCGCTGGTGTCCTGCAGGCCAACTGTTACCATGATTTCCGCAAACGCACGAACAATTCCAACCCTAACTTCAAAAGAATCAAACAAATCAGCAAAACTCAGCAAACATCAGCAAAAAATAAATACCAATGATCGTTCCATCACAAGGTCGGCTCTGAATCAGAATTACTGTACCATCAGGTCACCATGTGGCTACTATGCTACTGGAGGTTTCTGGCGTTTTGACCAATGGCACACAACACAACAAGCAAACAAAGGCCCCCAAAAAATAGTTTAAACAGGCCAAGAAGTGTCCATGTTGTGCAATTGAAGCCGCTGGCGCTTGTCCAGGGCCGTGAAGCGCGGATGTGTGCTGTGGTGGCAATAGCCACAAGCATCTCCCACGTGGCAGTTCCCTTTGGCCAAGCGAATGCATGGCCGCGCACATAGAAAGGGATGCCCACGGCTGCCGTGGAGAAGTGCATGACGCACGGGCGTTGCCGAGGATGTTGCTGCAGCCGATTCACACTTCGGCGCATCTTCCTCTTGCCGTGTCTCTTGCCGACCCATCTCTGTCTGCAACACGTCTGCCTCAGCTGCGACGGCCTCCGTTGCTGCCATGTCTGGTAGAACTGGTTCTTCTGGCACGGACTTCGTCTGCATCGACTGGAACTGCAACTGGTTGCACTGGCATCCCAGTCAAGGTCTGGGCCCTTTGCCATAATTCAACCACGTAGGTGGCCGCATGCTGACTGTCCTGCTCATCTGCATGTTGCTGGCCGAGATGGGGACAGCTTCGCGAGCGCGGGAGCTCTCCAGCCATGGGCTCTTCATCAATGAAGGTGCGAAGGTATCGGAAATTCGCCATGCCAAAGTATGCCAATTTGGCAGCCCGGCAAGACTTCAAGAACGGCGCATCTGGAACCAAAAGGATTTTCATCATTCTTGTGCAAATTGCGCTGATAGATTTCCTGAACTGATCCAGCTGTTGGGATCCAATCGATCCATTTGATGAATTATATAATTAGAACTATACAGTTCCTGTTAGCCCAAATATTGGTGATTCCTGCAGATGACTTTCCCGGGTCCTTTGGATTGAAACTCTCGTCCTTTGGACTGTGAACATGACATAGAGGACACCTCACCGTTTTCGGGCTAGACAAACATTCAAAACATCAAACCGCTCAGCTTTTTGCTCCAGGTCATCAATGGTCAAGGCAGACTTGTGCTTTGCTGGAACCTAGCAAATGAAGGATCACTGGTTTTCAAACATTCTATGGCCACAATTCTAAGCATTTTGGCCCAACCTGTCGGAATTATAATCACCATGGCTAATACCTAGTCGTCACCCCACCTGCGCACACAAGTGCTGTACTTGCCTGCAAATATGTTTCATTACGTTGCTGAGTTGCTGCAGGTTCCAAATCAAGCAGAAGCTCAAAAACAATGTTCGACAGACCGGGAAAGTAGTTGGAAACTAGCGTTTCCACTGTTTCCACTGACCCTACCGAGGAATCTTCACGATTCAACAGCTATATTAGATCGATATCGAAACTCAATGAAACACCTTGAAGTTTGGATTTTATCAAATCATTGAGACCCTCGGAGCCGGTCTTGATGTTCTGACATTTTCTTTGTGTCCAGGCCACCCTCATGCTATCTCTGTCTGCAACATGTCTGCCTCAGCTGCGACGGCCTCCGTTGCTGCCATGTCTGGTAGAACGGGTTCTTCTGGCACAGACTCGGTTTCGTCTGCATCGACTGGAACTGCAACTGGTTGCACTGGAGCTACCCTCATCCCAGTCAAGGTCTGGGCCCTTTGCCATAATAATTCAACCACGTAGGTGGCCGCATGCTGACTGTCCTGCTCATCTGCATGTTGCTGGCCGAGATGGGGACAGCTTCGCGAGTGCGGGAGCTCTCCAGCCATGGGCTCTTCATCAATGAAGGTGCGAAGGTATCGGAAATTCGCCATGCCAAAGTATGCCAATTTGGCAGCCCGGCAAGATTTCAAGAACGGCGCATCTGGAACCAAAAGGATTTTCATCATTCTTGTGCAAATTGCGCTGATAGATTTCCTGAACTGATCCAGCTGTTGGGATCCAATCGATCCATTTGATGAATTATATAATTAGAACTATACAGTTCCTGTTAGCCCAAATATTGGTGATTCCTGCAGATGACTTTCCCGGGTCCTTTGGATTGAAACTCTCGTCCTTTGGACTGTGAACATGACATAGAGGACACCTCACCGTTTTCGGGCTAGACAAACATTCAAAACATCAAACCGCTCAGCTTTTTGCTCCAGGTCATCAATGGTCAAGGCAGACTTGTGCTTTGCTGGAACCTAGCAAATGTAGGATCACTGGTTTTCAAACATTCTATGGCCACAATTCTAAGCATTTTGGCTCAACCTGTCGGAATTATAATAACCATGGCTAATACCTAGTCGTCACCCCACCTGCGCACACAAGTGCTGTACTTGCCTGCAAATATGTTTCATTACGTTGCTGAGTTGCTGCAGGTTCCAAATCAAGCAGAAGCTCAAAAACAATGTTCGACAGACCGGGAAAGTAGTTGGAAACTAGCGTTTCCACTGTTTCCACTGACCCTACCGAGGAATCTTCATGATTCAACAGCTATATTAGATCGATATCGAAACTCAATGAAACACCTTGAAGTTTGGATTTTATCAAATCATTGAGACCCTCGGAGCCGGTCTTGATGTTCTGACATTTTCTTTGTGTCCAGGCCACCCTCATGCTATCTCTGTCTGCAACATGTCTGCCTCAGCTGCGACGGCCTCCGTTGCTGCCATGTCTGGTAGAACGGGTTCTTCTGGCACAGACTCGGTTTCGTCTGCATCGACTGGAACTGCAACTGGTTGCACTGGAGCTACCCTCATCCCAGTCAAGGTCTGGGCCCTTTGCCATAATTCAACCACGTAGGTGGCCGCATGCTGACTGTCCTGCTCATCTGCATGTTGCTGGCCGAGATGGGGACAGCTTCGCGAGCGCGGGAGCTCTCCAGCCATAGGCTCTTCATCAATGAAGGTGCCAAGGTATCGGAAATTCGCCATGCCAAAGTATGCCAATTTGGCAGCCCGGCAAGAACGGCGCATCTGGAACCAAAAGGAATGTGCATTCGGTGAAATGACTTCGCCTTTTCACAAGGGTCTGAAGATGCTATCAATGTACAACGTCTGTTGTTCTCATTGTCGAACAATGCAGTTGCACCCTGAAAGACAAACCCATAAAACCATTATATTGGGTAGCCATACAGGCCCTGGTTTTACCGTTGTTTATCTGATGTCTTCCAAAAGTACGTGGGCATTCACGCACACACACGCACAAAACAGGTAACGTATTATAATGTATTTCTATATGTCATAACCACTCAAACAGATAGAACAGTCATTCACCACTATTTTGGAACTGAAATCTGTGACGTACACAACTTTTAGCGGTATTTCAATCACAAAAGTACTGGTGATCTTACAAATATGAAACTGATATCCTATTCTGGTCGGTGGTTTCAACCCCTCTGAAAAATATGAAAGTCAGTTGGAATGATTACATTCCCAAATAAAAATCCATGGTTCCAAACCACCAACCAGGTACTTAGATATTATCCACCTATATATTTTTTCATATTAGATTTTTTTTTATATGATCCATATATTATCCATGTATTATCCATATATTATCCATAATATTAATTATCCATATGTTATCTATATTATCCCATTCAATTTCATATACACCAGCACTATGCAACATTTCTACACCGGAAAAAGCCAACAGCCAAGGCAGCCAAGGCCACAGGATGGGCCGTGGCTTTGACATGGACCACTCGAAGAGCAACTCGGGCACCAGTGGCGTGTAGAAGACCACGTCCGCATCACAAATGGCGACCTCAAGATGGGCAGTTCATCCGGAAAATGTGAGATTTCTGAGATTTCGCCCAAAATCTGGCTGGGTTAAGCCGCCGAGATTTTTATCCGAGAAGTGTGTTTGTCAAGGATGTAATGGATAAGCCGATAAGCGTTAGAACATAACCCAGCTATACTTGGTACCAACCATGAATATCCATCCATCTTCACTTTAGTTGGGTGCACCCAGAAATTGGATACGTACTTCCCAGTTGTGGATGGTGGGCATCTGGATAAGTTGGCCCCAAACATCAGTGGCGAATTTCATGGGTGAACCAGGAACAAATCATTTGTCAGCACTTCAGTTGCCCAAAATATTTTTAGGGCGGTGACAATATCCTGGCAACTTAAAGACTGATAACTCAGCTTGACCATCAACCACAAATGCCATACCTTTCCTTGGACTACCACAACTGCCATATATGCCATAGCTCCTATTTCCGGTCAATCCCAGTCCGGGCGATTTCCAAAATATCCCCATGTTTGGCAACTTGGAGCGTCCGCCAACCTCCACCCCCTTTGCTTTTTGCCAGTCAAATCTTCAGTTGTTTTATAGATCCCAATTCTTCTTCGAACAACTTAATTTTTTCCTATAACTCAATCTCAGTTGCGTTCCATCATTTTCGCCGCATCCTATCGTTTGAATCCTCAACAAATCCATCAAAATCCGCCCAGGGCGACGGCGGCCACGCCACGTAGTCCGCCTCCTTCGCATAGATCTCCGCCTTCAGCAGGCTCCACATGGCTGCCGCGGCGCGCGACGGCACGTAGCGCCCGAAGCCGAAGGTCTCGCGCCGGCCGTCGCGGACGTGCGCGCCTCGGAGTTTGGGTGGGAAAAGCTGGTGGAAATCACGGAAATCTGTGCTTTCTCATCGTTTTTTCCCATGTGAAACGATGTAGTTAGGATTGTTTTTAGGATTGTTTTTAGGGACCAACAGCAGAATGTTCTGGCCATTTGACAATTTTGGACACTATGTCTGTCAATCTCTCAATTAACATTGTCTGCAGCAAAGCATATAAGTTTTTCCCCATGAACAGCTGGATCTCAGGCTACCTTGGCAGGAGGTGTCTGCGAGGAAATCAAACATCGGCTCCAAATGACATCGCAGCCCCTCGCCTGCAGGGGTCACCGGACCACCGAATACAACCGAGTAACCAACACTCAAGCATGTTTCTTCGACCATTTCAGTACGCTTATAGATATTGAATTTGGTCAACAAACCATGCTTTATCAATATTCCCATCTTTCTGGAATACCCTCTGGTAATTTAACAGTTTGCTATTGAACATGGCCCATAGAAACTGTGGTGTCTCTGTTTACAAAACAAGATTAAAATTTGCAGATTTACCGATTTATCGAATTTACCTTTGCCCGGGCACAGCAACTTTACCGATTTACCCAACTTACCATGGCCCGAAGAGCGGCGAAATTTACCAATTTACCGATTTACCAAATTTACCATTGCCCGGAGAGCGTTCTCTCCTTAGCATCATGCCTTACACAGTGACGGCTTAGGAAACAGCTGATTTACCGATTAAAGATGGTGATTTTCCAGTTCGCTATGTAAACGTTTACCAGAGGGTAGTGGGTTATCAAATGTTATAAACCCGCAAACCAATATTAACCACTTAACTAAGAAGCATTATTCACGACTACACAAACCATTATTAACAATCTTTCTGGAATATATCGCACACAATGATGTGTTTTTAAACGACGATGGGGGCTTTTCACAGTGTCCAACGATATTTTGAAGGATTGGTTGCCCAGCCCCATAGTGGATGGCTGACCACTCCATGAAATAACAAATCACTAGCAATCATCATCCATCATATATGATCTATGATGTTCTATTATATATGATGGTTTTAACCAATAAAACCCCCTATGATAATAAAACAAACATTATCCAACCATCATATATCATAGAACATCATAGAACTATAATTGATGATTAAATCCCCCCCAAAAAACACTCAACTAAAGCCCTTTCTGGGGTTGCGGCTTGGTGTCCCATCCCCCGAAATTTATCATTGTCTGGGATGGGACTACCACCTATCAACTGCTATTCACCAATTAATATGTTGATATTCCCCAATATCATCAATATAACTGGATTATTGCACCACCTATTGTATTATCATGTATTATCCCCAAGTGAGTTTAACTATTGTAATTAATGGTCATTAGATATTATCCACCTATATATTACCCACTGGTTGGTGGTTTCAACCCGTCTGAAAAATATTAGTCAATGGGAAGGATTATCCCATATACTATGGAAAGTCAAAAAAATCATGTTCCAAACCACCAACCAGGTACTTAGATATTATCCACCTATATATTATCCATATTAGAATCTTCATTATTATCCATATTATCCATGTATTTTATCCATATTATCAATTAATTATCCATATCATATGTTATCTATATTATCCCATATTACAATAGGAGATCTCGTAGGATTTTGCGCCTGCTTCGGCCTTCAGATTGGCACCGAAGGTCGAGCTCAGCTCCGAGCAGAGCCGGCGGTCCGCGTCGCTGTCGGCGTCCAGGACCACATGGATCTGCGAGCGCCTGGAAAAGATGTGGAAAATATGGGAGGAATATGGGTTTTGTACATTTTAATATGGGAGATTTATGTTATTTATGTGGAAAAAATGTTATTTATTTATCTGCACAAATTACTTTATTTCTTAGCTCGTCTCCCTCGTCAGTTAAATCTCACCATGGAATTAGCAGCTCGGCTCGTTATGTAGGGTTTTGAAATTAGTAGCTCGGCTCGTCAATTCTGCTTTAGGAATTAGCTCCCTCGTCACAGCAAGCCTGGCGGCCAGCCTCTCTTTTTTCTTCTTTTGGGCTACTTGCGCTTCTTTGGAGGGGACATTTCCCCCAAAATGTCGCTAAACTCCCGGTAACATCATGGTTTCCATTAGTGGCATTCATGGCCCCCTACCATGTCACCGACACAGGGCACCTCTATTTGAATAATACCCGTAACAAAGCCTAAACCCAGACCTCCGAACAAGTAGCCCCAAATCGATATGCATTATTTGGGGCTACTTGTTCGGAGGTCTGGGTTTAGGCTTTGTTACGGATATTATTCAAATAGAGGTGCCCTGTGTCGGTGACATGGTAGGGGGCCATGAATGCCACTAATGGAAACCATGATGTCACCAAAAACGGAGGTTTGGAGATAGCTGAAGCTTACCATCAATTTCCCAAAAAAAGTAGTCCCAAAAAACAATCTTTGGGGATTGATATGCATTATTTGGGACTACTTGTTCCAGGCTTTGTTAATATTATTCAAATAGAGGTGCCCTGTGTCAGTGACTGGTAGGGGGCCATGGCCACTAATGGAAACCATGATGTCACCAAAAACGGAGGTTTGGAGATAGCTGAAGCTTACCATCAAATTCCCAAAAAAGTAGTCCCAAAAAACCATCTTTGGGGATCGATATGCATTATTTGGGGCTACTTGTTCGGAGGTCTGGGTTTAGGCTTTGTTACGGATATTATTCAAATAGAGGTGCCCTGTGTCAGTGACATGGTAGGGGGCTAGAATGCCACTACTTCCAACTCAGAGCAAAGCAGCTTTGAACCGAAAAGCTTTTTTTGTGTTCCAAGCAACCTGAAAAAAGTAATTCCAAAATCTAAGTTTTGAACAAGAAGAAGCCCGAAACGGTACTACTTCCAAGTCAGAGCAATGCAACTTTGAGTCGAAAAGTTTTTTATGTTCCAAGCAATCTGAAAAAAAGTAGTTCCAAAATCTAAGTTTTGGAAAAAAAGCCCCAAACGGTGCTACTTCCAACTCAGAAAAAAATCACTTGTCCTTAAATTCAAGAATGCTACCTCGTCGCTGGGCTCGTTAAATCTACAAACCCTACCTCGTTCCTCGGCTGGGCCCGCTCTAATTTGTACAGATTTATGGGATAATAATGGATAATATGGGTTTTAGAACTTGGTGGCTCATCCCACGAATCGTAAGTGGGTTATAACTTATATAACCCCAGTGATTTACATGGGATTTTTGGAGCGGGTTAATCCACTTATAATTGGGGTTTTGTACATAATATTATGGGAGTAATGTTATTTATGCGGAAAATATTAGTGGAAAATATATTGGTTAGAAATATGGGTTTAGGGAGATTTGATGTACATGAAATATATAACCGGTTAAAATCCGCCCACACCGCTTTGGCGGTGAAGGCGTGCTTATTGGGGGGCAACAGCAACACTAAATGCTCAATGACATTTGTTAATTATAGCAGTCGCTATATCAGCTTTAGCTGGGGGGGGGGGCCCAAAAACGGTTTCGCACCGAGACCAGACCCCAAAAACGGTTTCGCACCGAGACCAGAATACGGTGGTGTTTTCGACATTTTTCGAGGATTTTTGGGTGTCTGAGCGCAAGAGGGTATTGAAATTGAATTTTGGGTCATTTTGGTAGCTTTCCGGCAATGGAAAAACGGCCAAAAATGAAAAAAAACATTGTACATAGCAAGATTTTGCAGGGTTTTTGGATGCCAGAGCATTGAAAACACTGCAAAAACAAGTGTTTTGGACTGACGTTATAGCAAAAAACGTGTAAATTACCGTATGCTTGACTGGAAACATTACAAAAACACTGTCAAAAGCAATGTTTTGGAAGGATTTCTTATTGAAACTTCTTAGCTTGAAGAGCCCCCACGGGGGAAAACCACCCTTAGCCCCTCTCACGGACCGAAATAAACCTGCGGTGTGGGCGGCCACCCCACGCGAAGCGGGGTGAATAACCTGCCACCGCCTGGGAGATTTGATGCTTCCCTGAGTTGTGTATGTACGAAAAATCCATGGATTACATTCCGAAACATAGAAAAAACCACTAAACCACCTGTTTTTTTTCCTGGATGGCAATCATGGTAAAAACCTTGGTTGACGCATCCATCGTATATCCATTGTCCAAAGGCACTGCCGACAGCAGCCTCCGAAAGCCCAAGGACTTGACCCAACTAGCGACCCAAGGACTGGCTCAAGTCATGGCAGAAATCTATGGCAACCCGAAACCAGTTGTCCGGGGCTATGACGGCTATGATATAATAAGCCTCTGGTGATAAAAAAGCTATGGAACATCTGGAAAAGGGTCCCATTTTTCAAAGGGTAAATGTCTCGGTCATGATCCAAATATATCCAAATGATGATGATTCACTATGATTTACTCATCTCCAGTTGGTCATGATAATAAACCATAATAAACCATCATTTTTCATCATGATTTTACATCATCTCCAGTTGGTTTCCCATCCACCAGCGGCTACCCAAGGTGAAGCCAAGGCATCCAAGGCACCACAGGGCCGTAGGCCAATGAGCCTCCAAAGACTCCAGTAGAAGCATCAGGACCTGTGGCGCTGGGCATGGGCAAAAAGCATCAGAAACATGTGTGGAATATATAGAATCTATTGAACATTATTGGAAACATATATATAGAAGACATAAAGAAAACCCACGGGAAACATTTTTGGAACAAATATACAAACAGATAGACAACTTGAAAACATATGGAACATTATGGAACCACCAAAAGATACGTTTTTTAGGCTTCGTAACCCATTAAGTATTCAAACAACAACCAAATTTGATATTTTTTCAATGGTTGGTAAGACTTCTCGAGGGCCATTTTCGGTTGGGCCCATGATGACTCGGGAGGCAAAAATCCATGGCGATCCTGCAAGACATGTTTTTCATTCTTGGAAGCTGCGAAGCTGCATAAAATCATAGATATTAATGATATATTATAAACATATATAACTATAGCATATCTGGATTATCATTATCTATGGTTATATGATATCTAAGAATATTAATGATATAACAACAACCAACCAACATATATAATTATAGCATCTCTGGTTGGTGGTTGATACAAAACCCCTCTGAAATATGTGAGAGTGAACGTCAAATAGGATTTTTGTTCCCAACTGTTTCTGGAAAGTCATTTTTTCCATTCCATGGTTCCAGTCACCACCAACCAAATATCATTAACCATCATTAAACCATTATTAACCATCATTAACCATCATTAACCATTGATTAACCATTGATTAACCATTGATTAACCATTGATTAACCATTGATTAACCATTGATTAACCATTGATTAACCATTGATTAACCATTGATTAACCATTGATTAACCATTGATTAACCATTGATTAACCATTGATTAACCATTGATTAACCATTGATAAGATTAACCATTGATTAACCATTGATTAACCATTGATTAACCATTGATTAACCATTGATTAACCATTGATTAACCATTGATTAACCATTGATTAACCATTGATAACCACCATTGATTAACCATTGATTAACCCATTGATAAACCATGGATTAACCATTGATTAACCATTGATAACCATTGATTAACCATTGATTAACCATTGATTAACCATTGATTAACCATTGATTAACCATTGATTAACCATTGATTAACCATTGATTAACCATTGATTAACCATTGATTAACCATTGATTAACCATTGATTAACCATTGATTAACCATTGATTAACCATTGATTAACCATTGATTAACCATTGATTAACCATTGATTAAACCATTGATTAACCATTGATTAACCATTGATTAACCATTGATTAACCATTGATTAACCATTGATTAACCATTGATTAACCATTGATTAACCATTGATTAACCATTGATTAACCATTGATTAACCATTGATTAACCATTGATTAAACCATTGATTAACCATTGATTAAACCATTGATTAACCATTGATTAACCATTGATTAACCATTGATTAACCATTGATTAACCATTGATTAACCACCATTGATTAACCATTGATTAACCATTGATTAACCATTGATTAACCATTGATTAACCATTGATTAAACCATTGATTAACCATTGATTAACCATTGATTAACCATTGATTAACCATTGATAAACCATTGATTAACCATTGATTAACCATTGATTAACCATTGATTTGATACCATTGATTAACCATTGATTAACCATTGATTAACCATTGATTAACCATTGATTAACCATTGATTAACCATTGATTAACCATTGATTAACCATTGATTAACCATTGATTAACCATTGATTAACCATTGATTAACCATTGATTAACCATTGATTAACCATTGATTAACCATTGATTAACCATTGATTAACCATTGATTAACCATTGATTAACCATTGATTAACCATTGATTAACCATTGATTAAACCATGGATTAACCATTGATAAACCATGGATTAACCATTGATTAACCATTGATAAGCCATTGATTAACCATTGATAAACCATTGATTAACCATTGATTAACCATTGATTATTAACCATTGATTAACCATTGATTAACCATTGATTAACCATTGATTAACCATTGATTAACCATTGATTAACCATTGATTAACCATTGATTAACCATTGATTAACCATTGATTAAACCATTGATTAACCATTGATTAACCATTGATTAACCATTGATTAACTATGAGTCGCTAGCTATCCAAGACCTTTCCCCAACCAATCCCATGGGGAACCTCACCTCGCGATCGCGGCTGAAGCTGCGTACCAAGAGGTCCTGAAGTCAGAGGTGAAATCAACCTTTTGCCATCAATTCTGCAAAAGCAGAATTCATACTGCTAAAAATAAGTATCCTCTAGTTTAAACTAATTGACTTTAAGCTAATTGGAGATAAAACATAGATAAAACAGAAGGTTGAAAAAAAAAACTTGGCAAACTATTGCCAAGATATCACTATTCCACCATTGGCTAGACAACATGATCCTCTTGTAGTTTTTGGCACTTCCACCAACGACGGTTGTGTCCCACCAAGGTGCGACTCGAAAGTTGGACCGTTCCCGCGCATCTTTGGCGCCGGGCAGCAGCGAGGGCACATGGACCCGTGGCCAGGGCGGCAGCGAACGGCGCCAGAAGATACACGCCTGCAAAATGCAGTGTGCTGTGGGCTGGGATGATGGGCCTGGCAATACTATCTTGTTTGTATATTGATATGTTATATATATATATATATGATATATATATATATATAATATAATATAAAATAAACGAATATAATATAATATGATATGATATAAAATAATATATAATAATATGATATGATAATATATATATATATGTATATTGATATAATGTATGTATGTATACTATATACTCATGTTGCAGCACCATAGACCCCAAACAGTTGGGAGACATATGATTGGAGGCAAATTGAGCCGGAAGACATTCAATGAGCCGGACACCACCAGTGACACGAGGACGGACACCTCTTAAGAAAGAATTGAGGACCCCTAATAGTAAACTGTTTGGGGAATATGATATATATATATAATGTATATATACACTATATTATATATACACTATGTTATTATATACTATACTATGTTATTATATATTATACACTATTTATATATTAGATATATATATATATATATACTATATTATATTATAATATATATAGATACGTTCACCTGTGTATTGGTAAATTCACCATGAAAGATGGTGATCTATCCCAATTTCCGGTATTGGTCGGTGAAACCATGATTCACTGCTGGTCAAAAGTTCGGTAGCCCGAAACCATCAGGATTTTCGCATGAGCAAGTGTTACAGTGTCTGCTTTTTGGCGTTTTCAACTGATCTCAGAATATATCAGATATATCCCCAACTATGTGTATACCTACACAAAAAAACGTACAATGTATGCCCAGATTTTATCTCTTTCTATACATATACCATCATATAGCCGTTATATCCCCAGTCTCCATGATGGTATATGATGGTATATATATATATATATATACAGTCTATCATATACATCTCCAAGAAACGATCAGACTCTCCCACCTGTCTCAGTTCAAGGCCGCAAGCATCGTCGCCGCAGCACAGCAAGGGGTGGTAGCCGTTGCCTCGTTCCACAACCGGCTCCTAAACCTGGGATGGTAACTGAGAAATGGCCTATCAAAAATGGGAAAATCATGGGAAAATACAGGAAAATCCTCTATAAATGGAGCTAGGAAAGTCATCTATAACTGGTAGATTTTCCAGCCATGTTTGTACCAAAGGCTATTCTAACCATGTTTAATCATGCTTATTTAGCACTTACCATCCCCACAGCAGACATTTCGAGCCTTTTTCACCACTCATCCAGTAGTCTTCCAAGCCCCAATTTTCGAGAACCCACCAGTTTTTGATCATTTTCGAGACGGGAAACCTTGTGTGTTCCACATGATATGACTTTATTCAACTATGTGACGTTTAATTCAGGGTAGCCATCTATGGTCACTATCCAAGTATATATATATATTATATTATATATTATGTATATATATATATTACATATATATGATATATATATATATATAATTATATATATCATAATATCCAAAGGATGATTTTCACCCCAAAAATGACCAATCCATGGTTATTATCCAGCTTCCTCCAAGTATTCCCCCATCTCCAAGCCATCCTCCCTCTCCAAGACACCCCACGGATGCATCACCGTCAGCAGCGGATGCTTCAAATGTAAATGTGGCATGTGACCATCTGCGCACACGTAGGGATGCGCCTGGAACCGGTGCTGCTCTTGGGCGCAAGTTGGGCTTATGCTTGATATCACCACAACATCAAGGGCACTGTTGGCTCCAAGTGACACGAACATTTGGCAAGCCAACACAACCTTACAAAACCCAGATCACAAGTTGGTGAAGCTCCATTTCTTGTACTGACCGTCGCTTTAAGGATAATCCTAATTGATCATTTGTGCAGGTATTTAATAACATAGAACCACCCTCCCAGGAGAAAAACAGATGCTAGGTTTTAATCAAATCCAATTAGAAGTACCGCAACTGACCTTTGTGAACCTTTCTTTAGGTTACAATCTGTTACAACAGTCAGGGGACATGAATTTTTTCAAAGATCTTCAAAATCTTCAGCCCAAAAAACTCCAAGCCTCCAATGACTTCATGAAAATCCAGCATTTCACCAGTCACCCTTCGGTTTTTTCAACAGTGGCTGGATAATCCACCATCGATTTTCTCGCCCACGTTGGCCTTTGCCAGAGAGTATCCCGTAAAAAACCCCATATTTGCGGATTAAATCACTATTAAATCACCAATATATTAACTCACTATTAAATCAATATTGAATCACCATTAAATCATCATTAAATCACTATTAAATCAATATTAAATCACCATTTCTCTGGACCTGCCAGAGGGAATGAAACCTGCGCGTCCGAGTCTCTCCCCGCAGGGTGCCCTTGTTCACCGTCGCAGCACTGGCCGCTGGGGCCATCGTGAGGTCCCCATGACTCCAGGCTTCGTGTCCTTGCAGTGGACGAAAGACCTACAGCCAGGCGCGCGGCTTGTTTTCACAACCATGGTGATTGTCAGAGGTATTATGATGTATTATATATGGATTATATGGATTATATATATATATGGATTATATGTATATATATGGATTATATGGATTATTTATGGATTATGATGATGATATTTCTGAATGTAGTGGATTGTTATGATGTATTGTTGGTGTATCCCATCATATTCCCATCATTTTCCCATCATATTATGATGTATTATAAATGGATTATATATGGATTATATATGGATTATTTATGGATTATATATGGATTATATATGGATTATTATTGGATTATTTATGGATTATTTATGGATTATATATTGATTATATGGATTATTTATGGATTATGATGATGATATTTCTGAATGTAGTGGATTGTTATGATGTATTGTTGGTGTATCCCATCATATTCCCATTCATTTTTTCCACTACGCTACACGGTGAAGCTGAGGTACCTATGAAACAAAAACAACATATATATCTGGTTGGTGGTTTCAACCCCTCTGAAAAATATTAGTCAGTTGGGATTATTATTCCCAATATATGGAAAAATCAAACATGTTCCAAACCAGCAACCAGACATATTTTAGCTGGTGAATGTACATTTTCCCATAGCAAACGATTAATGTATATACTAGTTGGTATCTAACCAGTCGCTTGACGCAACGGGCAAGCCACATTTTAGCAGGATATTCACAATCCTCATTCAACCAGTTGATAGGACCTTCACAATGTAAACATCAATTCAGACTCATTGCTTGCATCCATTCTTTGTAAATTCATGTTGTAATTTATGTAATTTCTATTTCTTAAAATCCCAATCGCCAAGATGGTTTCTCTCGTTTTTCCGAACAAAAAAACCGCGTTTGATCTGGAGCTTTTTGCCCGGACCTGATCCCATCCCTCTGTAGAAACAACTGCGATTTACAACTGCGAAAGGATGCCATTCGACTGGGGTCCTGTTTCGATGGGGTTGTTTGGGGGATGGGAGCATGTTATATTATGCTCATCTTCCAAATGAGGTGGTAAAACAGGCCGTGTCAACTTGCTGTTGCCTTTTTGACCTTGTCCGTTCTGCATTTCATCGTCGACCAAACCTTGAGGCAACATAAAAGCATCGGCCAGTCCGGTGCCCAATCCTGGTCAGGACAAACTTGGTTAAAATGCTTCACTGCACTGCCAAACATTCACACTGACACCCACACAAACACACAGTGCAATGTACAAAATATGATTTGCACCAGTATCATGATGCTAAAATACATATATATATATACATATACATATATATATATATACATATACATATATATATATATACATATATACAGATATCTATATATATATATATATACATATTATATATATATATGCACCAGGCCCTGCCACCCCCCCCCATGGGATGGGTCCCATATACTGGCCCCATATGAGATCTTCCCCCTCCCCCCCTGTGGTGTGGTGGGGGTGTGGTATGGTATGTTGGGTATGTATGGTGTGTATGGTCGGTGTGGTATGGCATGTTTGGAAAGTATGGTATGTTTGGTATGTATGGTAGGTATGGTATGTATGGCATGAGTGGTTGGTATTGTATGGATGGTAGGTATGGTATGTCTGTTGGGTATGGTATGTTTGAAATGACAGTATGTATGGTCTGTATGGTATGCATGGTTACTATGACGGGTATGGAATATTTCCTATGTAAGGTAGGTGTGGTATGTATGGCATGTATGTTTGCTATTGTATGTATGGTAGGTGTGGCAATTACATTTCATATGTATTGTATGTATTAGTATGTATGGTATGTATGATAGATATGATAGGTATGGTATGCATGGCATCATTGACATGTATGGTAGGTACGGTATATGTTAAACTCAGGTAGTGTTGTCAGAGTGCACAGGTAGTAAATAGGAAGTAGATACAGTAGATACAGTAGATACATAGCACATGCATATATGACTATAGGTAGCACGCAGGTACTTTGAAGGAGTATGTGTGCTATGTAGGCCGCCTAAAAGGTAGCATGTACCTAGTAACTGCGAGGTTGGTAGTCAGAAATGCTGCAAAGACCTAGCAAATACGAAGCTGGACCTCAGAAATGCTGCCAATAGCTTGCAAATAGAAGGGAATTGGGGCTGCTACCTGGGGACCCAACCCATGGGGGGGGGGGACGGGGGGGGGGCGGAGGACGGGACCATATATATATATATATAATTATATAATTATATATACATACACACATATTTAGGGAATTGTGTGTTTTTTTTCTTCCTTGCCCTTTTTACAGTGAAAGGGCCATATCCCGTAATACAGCTACCGGCTGGTGATTTTTCATGCCAAGTCATTGGATGATCAGAGGAATTTTCAAATTTTCAAACTGACCTCTTTTCTGTTAACCAGAGAGTCCACCCAAGAGTGGTTAGCAGAAAATATTACACAATTATCAATGAAAAATGGTTAATCAACCAGAATTACTAATTATCAATTACAGGATTAGCAATTTGATATTGTGTCAATTGGTTGATCTTTTTAAGTTCTTTTGCTGGTTACACGGGCAAACACCCGTATTGTTTTCAAGTGGTTGATCTTAATGGTCAGCCCCATTCAAGAATGGAAATTCCAGTGCAGCAGTGGGTATATTTTTTTCACCAAGAATTCAATGGACTGATCCCATTTATCCCAAATAAATCCCATATAAATGGATTCTAAAATCTCATCCAACTTTTAACCATGAAACATTAATGTTTTTCACTGTGTTGAGATGTTAGACCCCATGAGCGAAAATTGGGCGTTGTTGTAGGAATGGCTCTGCTCCAATAAAAAAAGACATCCAAGCTGGTTGGTATAGTCAGTTGGGATGATGACATTCCCAATATATGGAAAATCATAAAATTATATAAAATTCATGTTCTAAACCACCAACCAGCAACGAATATGAAGATGACATAACCATGACATATCCCTAAATTCCCGTTGATATTTCGCACACCCCGCTTGAAACCATGGTTTAGAATTGGACATTTGCACATATTTTTGTGGCATATTTCGATGATTAACATTAGGGGGATGGGACTGTACCAGATCAGCCCCAGTTGCAGAAAAGCTCCGATCCATGCTTCGAGCAATGCTTTTTGGATTCATAAACCAGCCGAATTCCTGGGAGAATTGGGAGATTTAATCCTGGCGGACTGGAGACCGGAATTCTCAAAACCTTAGAGATTCTCAAAACCAGGACCTGAAAAGACATCCATAGATGAATCTCCAAGTTTACGTCTGTTTGGTCTTTGGGAATTCCGGTACGGTATCTTTGGTTCTTATCCTAATGTGATGCTGACTGCTGATGCATAATTTCATACTCTTCGCGGAGTTGCTGTGAGGTCGATCGGCTTCACCAGAATCCAATCGTGGCTTAAATAACCCATGTTGGTTGGGTTGAAATGTATGGTTGAATATACACTATGTGACTATGTGTATGTATGTATAATATATATATATATATCAAGACATGCCTGTTTTTCTTTTCTGGCCAAACTCACAACCTTGGTTTAAGGCGCATTAAATCACCATTTGTCATCACCAATATAAAATGCCCAATATATCCCAATATATCCCGATATGATCATTTGGCAGTGTGTCAAAACCTTGTACCCCTGTAGTTCACATCAAAATAGCTGGGAAATGGATGTGAATAACCCACTAAAAATGGTATTAATAGGTATTGATCCATACCCATTTGTTTTTTTTCGTTTGCTCCATTTTCAACCCCATAGCCGCTATAGCTCGAGAAGAGCACCTCCCAGCCGTCGCGGTGTCCGAAGCGCGGCAACGGCCCAGCCCCGAAGCAGGCCGCGCGGGAGAGGCAGCGCTCGCGCGAGGAGAGAAAGAAACACCAGGCCTGAAGGAATTTGTGGTGTGTAACTGATGGTTAATTCGTAGTGGCTAATAATGGTTGATAGTTAAGTGATTAATAATGGTTTGTGGGTTTATAACCCCCTACCCTCTGGTAAACTAACAGTTTGCGAACTGGAAAATCATCATTTTCAATAGGTCAATCAACTATTTCTATGGCCATGCCATGTTCAATGGCTGTGTTGAATTCCCAGAGGGAAAAAACAAGTTTTGTCCAAATGAGGGAACAACAAACTCTGATGGTACGATTCAGTAATCTTGGGGTATACCACATTTCTGGATAAACCCAACATGCTAAGAAAACTCACACGTGACCGGGAAAAAAACCGTAGCTCTCTAGTGGCGAATTCCATAGTTGGCAGTTCCCAGGTGGGTTTTGGGGGTGCCAACATATTTTGGAACCCATTGAGGATGAGATTTTTTGCTTTCACTGTTTGTCTTCCGAAAAACCTGCATGTTTGCTGCTCAAATCACCATTTTGCTAGCATCCATCCTCGTTTTTTGGCGTTTAAACCCACTAGAATTCACCAAAATCCCCTTTAATTCCACAAGAATTCACCCAAATCCCATCAAAATCCCATCAAAATCCCATCAAGATCTGCCACGAAGCAATTCCATTCGCCTACCCTCTGGTAAACGTTTACATAGCGAACTGGAAAGATCCACCATTTTATAGCTGGGTAAATCCACTATTTCGACTGGGCCATTTTCAATAGCTATTTTGACATAACCAGAGGCTAACATCTACCAAAATCCCATCAAAATCCCATCAAGATCCCATCAAGATCTGGCACGAACCACAAAATCCCCTCAACATCCTTTGCTCAGGGGCCCCTTGAAAAACTGTCACGCCTTGAGGTGGCCGCAATCCAGGTGTCCCAGGAAGGCTGGCCGGAGCTGTGGCTCATCGCCCTCAGATCTGAGATATCCTGAACTATCTGTTATATGGGTATGGATCAATACCTATTAATACCATTTTTAGTGGGATGAACATCCATTTACTAGCTATTTTGATGTGAACTACAGGGGTACACGGTTTTGACACACTGCCATATTAGGTGTTATGTAAGTATTGTATAACATGGATTTTGGGATATATCATGATATATCATCTATAATATCTATACTATCCTGAGCATTCCTGAGCTATGTATATGTTTGATTTAACTGTTGTATATGTATATCTTATGTGAGAACCAGCGCGGTATCTAGTAGGGCACCAGCTGGGAGGGCAACCAATAATAAAAACAATTTAACACAAATAAACAATCCTTGGAGGGCCCGATTTATTATTATTATTGTTATTTCATGTTCATTCTAGTTTTTTTCTTTTCCTCTTATTTTTTTATTCGTTCTTATTTTTTCTTATGTTTTCTTTTTTTTCTCATTTATTTTAGTTTTTCTTAGTTTTCCTTAGGTGTTTTTAGCTGTTTTTATGTGTAATTATTTTAAAACTTTTTTTTTTAATGTTTTGATATATTTTCGTAGTTTTTCTGTTGTTTCTTATTTTTCCACCTTCTCAGGCCCCGCCCAAATAGTCCCCTACCAAATCCTGACCTCATCCTCATAATTGATGTATAATCAAGACTATGATCTTTACACACCCCAAATTGGAGTACTATATGGCATTATTGAGCCAATTGGTGTTCACATTTATATAATCCAAAAGTATCCAAAAGTTGCTTTCGTGATCACCTTTGGGGTGAATGGAGCGAAGTAATATCGAAGTGGTGTGGAGTGGTTGGAGCGGATGGGAGTGGTGTATCCAGAAATGGCCCAAATACATGGCACTTGATCTACCCTCTGGTAATTTAACGTAGCTATTGAAAATGACCATTTATAGTGGATTTTCCCATTAAAAATTGCCATTTTCAATAGCTATGTTAAATTACCAGAGGGTAATTTCATCATCTACAATCGGCCATTCTTGGCGGAACAAACATCGGTTCCACCCTGTTCCACCAAAGATCACTGGCCATGTCAGGAACCGAGAACGATTGGAGGTACCGATTCCATATATTTTTGGCCTATATATATTAGGCCTATGTAAGGGAATATCGCAGCAAAATATGTATGGCCTTATATGGTACAGTACCTCCATTTTAGGATCCTGGAATTCCCATTGAACAGAAGTTGCATTTTTTCCAGGTTTGACGCTACAAAGGTGTTGCAAATCAACCAAGAAATGCACAGCCTGAATCGTGGGCGGTAAAACAGCTCATCAAAATAAATGTTCGCCAAATCTTTCGCCAAACACAATTTACTTTCGGGAACTCAGAAAAAATAATCTCGCAGGGTCTCATGTTGCAACACTGGTGGCTGTAATAAACAATCATAAACAATCCCTTCATTGATTAGATCGACTCGTAGAAATTCATCATGGGATTCAACAGATTCAAACACAAGCTTCCACAGACAGAAGATGCGACGGGTCTTAAATTTTGTCACCAACAAAGATCATAGGGTAAAAAAGACCAGCCATGTCTTTTTAGCTTGGGATGTTACAGGCTGATCAAATTCAAAAAGCAGCTAACTGGATCACCTGGATCAAAGATGATCATTTTTGGGGGCCCAAAAACAAAAATCTGATTTTATGGTTATATAGTTGTCATAATGACATATACAATAATGGTTATGTCATTATTAATGGTTATAACCTGACAATTTTTTCATAATACACAACGACGTTTTAATGGCTTCATTCTTCCAACATCTTCCAATCCAGCTCTGAGATTCTCTGAGTTTCATTCACTTTCCCGAACAAGCCCATAACAAAACAGTTTTTACAGTATACCTGGTATACCTTCCCTATGAAAAACCCTATTCAAATTAATATAAATTAATATAAATTATCATAAATTGGTGCTTAATATAGCAATATAATGCAATAATATGCAATTTTTTTACCAATCATCCGACAAAAGCCACGTCACCTTCTGACAGAGACTTTGCACGCCCACCTGCGCCAGGTGGCGGAAGCGAAGGATGCGCGAAGGACAAGTCTTGAGGCATGGCATGGATCATTTAGAACATGTCTTGTTTTTAAAACATAATCATGGAACATAAAAAAAATTGAAGAATGGCTGGAATTTCATTGATGACAGGGTTTCTGTTTTTCAAACACATGGAATTTTCAGAAAAGAACATGGGTAGAGTGACTGTCCAGATATGGAAGAAGTACTTTTTCAGGAATCCTTGATGACCCTTGACTGGCCAAATATGTTCACCAAGTACCATCTGGTTATTTAACAGTTCGCCATGGAAAGATCCACCATTGTTAATAGGTACAGTAAACCATCTATTTCGATTAGGGCCATCTATACCATGGCTACGTTAGTCATAACCAGAGGGTAAGTATGATTGGAGAACTTTTTTCAGTAGATACCCTCTGGTAAACTAACATAACTATAGGAAAATCACCATTTTTTATGGGAAAATCCACTATAAATGCTCATTTTCAATAGCTATTTTGACATAACCAGAGGGTACCATATTGGGTCCAGTTGAGCCGCCAAAAAAAACAAGACGACGACGAAACAACCTGAAGTTCTTGGCGTTGCTCAACCGTTGGTTTTAACAAAAATACCCGGCCTGGGAAACGTTTACAAAAAACGAACTGGAAAATCACCCATTTTTCATGGGAAAAATCACTATAAATGGTGATTTTCCATAGTTATGTTGGCTAACTCAACTATTTCGACTGGGCCATGTTCAAATTTTTCAATAGCAAACTGTTAGTTTTTTTTTACCAGAATGCACTGACATATATGAACATGTACCTATTGAAAACAGTCTGGTGGAAATGACTAACAGTATTTCCATTACCCTCTGGTAATTTGTTACATAGCTATTGAAAATGGCCCAGTCGAAATAGTGGATTTTCCCATTAATAACATGGTGGATCTTTCCATAGTTATGTTAGCCCGTTTACCAGAGGGTCACTTGAAAACATGTAGCTACCTGCATTGGTAGTCCACGATCTCCACATATCACTGGCTGAGACGCCAAGTCGCACTTTCTTCCACTTTCTGGTAGAACAGTGAGCCCTCGACCAGGTCGCCTCACACCAGGGACCAATGGCTGAACAGAAAGTGTTCAGCCTTGTTGAGGAACATTCTAGGGCTGGAAAGTTCTCTAAACTTGACAATTGGATGTTCCTAATGAAATTCTCGCCAAGCTTGTTGCAGATTGAAACCTAAACAAGGGGAAAGCAACTGGGTTTTTAGATTTACCATGATTTTCCTGAAGATTTTCCTGGTGGCACGAAATTCAGGATCAAGTTCAATCGGAGCTCTGCTTTGCAAAGTTTTCGAAATGATCAGTTCACAGGAAACCGTGTGGAACATCTGGGATGTCATATATACAGTACGTAATATACAACAAAATTATATTATAATTTGATATATTCCCGTTTTACTTTATCAACAAATCAGGGAAACCAAAACAAACAGCCACTTGAAGCAGCTGCTCACTGTGGCTAGAGTGTTTCGAGGAACAAGGAGCAACAAAAATCAGTTTCCCAGTGCATCAAAACAGTTGCTCCCAGTGGAAAACAATGGACCACCACGCATTATCTGCGTGTAGTATTCTTTCGGATGCGGGGGAGCTCCATTTGGTTTTTGCTGCTTAAATCACATGAGAAGTGAACCATAGTGACGGGTAAATTTCCTTGCTGTTCCAACAGTCAAATCCCAATCAGTAGCAAATTCCATACTCAAAATATGGGGCCTTAAAAAATGCCTTAAGTGAATTAACGGTCAGGGTTTCCCTGATGATCACCTGATTTTTTTGGGAACTTCATGGATCAGAATCGAAGCGATAACTCACGCCTTCGCCGTCATGGCTTGTGTTGGCAGAGATGCGCTTCTGGAGTGGAGATGGGAAGGAACGATGGGGATATAAATGAGCATATGGATCCCGAAGGCAAGAAGAATTCCCATACAATATTCATGAGATGTTTTTTTCACTATAGTTGATAAGATTAAGAAATGGGAAACACAGCAGAAAAAAAACAAAAACAACAGTGAATATAGCATCAAACATGGGTGACAGTTGGGTGGCTTAACCATCATGGGAATTTAACCAATGAGCAACCTGGGGATACAAGGGGAATTGACGGAATAGCCAATCAACAATGCGGTGACCGGTGTATTTTAAGGGTGTTTGGCTTTGACCAAACAACGAAATGAATTTCTTCCAGTCATATACGTAATGGCTTGCGAGTACCACTAATGAATGATACAGTATAGTTGGATTTAACTAGCAATGATGGCGATAGGTAATAGAGATTAACCAACATAAATAAAGATCATAAAGATCAATGATTTAGCCAACAAATGGGTTTCCCACATGGAAAATCCTTCAGGCTTCGTTTCTGGAACTTTCATGGCGATTTGGGTTCGTTTGAGACTTGGGTAACCCCCAAGGGTTTGAAATCTCATCCTTGCTTTAAGATGACCATAAATTGGGGCACACCTGGTTTGAAAAAGAAGAAACATGATTATTTGGCTGTCCAGCCATGAGAAAATTCAGGCAACTCAGCTGTACATTTCCCATCGCGAAAAACACTAATATCCTAAATTCCAAACAAAAGTGCACTAGTCTTGGCGATCTTCGACCCTTGATGATTTCGGGGGCCATGTTCAGTCGTTTACTCTAAATCCTCCAAACATCTCCAAACAATCCAGAACATGCATCATTGATTGCTGCACTTTCTATGCAATAACTAGTGTTTTTACTGCCACTATTCCATAGTTTTTGATGTATGACCCCCCAAGAAATCAACGTCGTGTTTGTGCCAGTATTTCAATAACGAACATCCCCCAACAGACTATTCCAATAAACAGTTGATCTATGAACCCCACTTTCTGCCATGGTTTCCTCAAGTTTGGCACCCCCAAGAAATCATCGAAATCATCGTCTCTCAACGTCCATGGCCTTGGCCACAAAGCATCCGGCGACGTACGTTAAGAAACTGCTGCTGGATTGCCTGGTGATGTGCCATGGTTGGGATCCCTGAAGTTACAAACTGAAGATGGGGAGAACTAAAGAGATGGTTGGGTCTTCAAATGAAACTGATCTGAACAAGATGGGGTCTTTAAGAAACTGAAGATGGGGTCTTTTTGACTGATCTAAACTCAAAATGGAACATGCGCTCGGAGTATTTCAAAGCAATGTAAACTCACATGAGATCATGGATTCAAATGGCTATAACATGATTAAATAATGCAGAGATCCTACAGATCATTAGCGTGATAGTTGGTTGGGAGGAGAGGTGTAATGCTTTGACTCTAATTAACTGTTGCCTCTATGACCTAAGTCCGAGTTTCATTCTTAAGGAAACAAAATACACAATGTATCTTAAATAACTAAAAAACATTAACCTCCATCAAAATGGCTAAAAACAACAGGATTAAATCTCCAGATTTCTCCTATCACCGCTTTTCAAAGTTGCTTAACCATGTTTAACCGTTATGAACCATTATTGTTATTATCATATATTATTATCATATATTATTATCATTCATCATCATCATCATCATCATGTAACACTATAACCAATTATCAATCATCATTAATTAATCAGCATTATTCATCATTAAATGTCAGCAATCATCATTAATCATCATTAAAAAACTTGTCAACATGTCATTAATCATTAAACATCATTCATCATCGGCATCAGAAACAACTATCAAATCATGAGGGTTAATGGTGAATCATAAATTTTGTAACTTCATTACCATTCATCACCGTTCCTAGCCATTAATCATGTCGAATCAATAATGGCAAACCGGGTTTGTCTCAACATTGGGTACCCCATGATCCAATGGTTTCGTGTTATATTTCCATTAAACATTACCATTAAACACCAACCCTCCATTCGTTGCCTCAAATTCGTGGCGCAAACAACGTCCAGGACATCTTTCTCCTGGGCCCAAGACCTGGAAGATTCAGGTAGAGAAGGGAGAGGTACACCCAGGTTTTCCAGAGATTTTTGCCAGATTTTTCGATTTTGCCAGAGAAATAACTATAAACAATCAGATGTTTGTTTGGAGATGCCCCCGTATTCTTGATTGAACATGCAGCCATCTAATGGCTAATATAATACATGGCAATATTGGATGGTAATTGGATGCCTCAAGTAAAGGTGACTCTTTGGTACTTGGCCATAACTGGAACATCCATATTTTGATGGGAAAAATATGGGATATTGCCATCAGGATATTGGAAAGTATGGAACATATGGAACATCCAAATTTTGATTGAGCTAAACACTGGGGTACAATTTGGAATTTATTTCAAACAAATGCAAACACATTTCTTTCTTCAGAGAAACTAAGGGAAAATGATAGTGCCAACTTCCCCTCATTGGGGTGTTAATAGAGAGGTGATAAATGATGATGCGTTACGATAAACGGTGACATATGATCATAAATATATCATAAATTAACATCACATTTCATGAAGATAACATGGCAGGTTCATTGATTCCTAAGATGTTGAGCAAAAACTAAAAAAACTCCTCCCATTGGCTTCACGACAGGCTTTTCCCAGTGTAAAAATCTGTGAATTGCAAACTATATAGATATGATAAGATATGGGACATATACATATACACTAATATAATTAAATGGATATCAATGGCACCCTATAGATGAATGGGAAACAAATCAACCAGAGTTTCTTGTTTTTTCTTCAGGGGGAAGGGATGAGGCTGGTAGTACAAAGTCCAAATGGAACTGTCAGCTTTGTCTGGTTGGTGGTTGTCCTACCCCTCTGAAAAATATGAGTTCGTCAGTTGGGAATATTCTTCCCAATAGATGGAAAGTCATAAAACATTGTTCCAAACCACCAACCAATGTCTATAGACTCCCCCAGTATATCCAAGCTAGACGTGGATAGTACTTTTTGTTTATCGAGGATTATCGAGGTATCCAATCCACCAACGATGCCGCTTGATAGCCATTCCCGGAGTGCGTCAAGAACAGGAAAAACTACATACCCCAAAATTGGGTGGTTGATACTGAGAAAGAATTTGGATGAATTTGGCATCCCTTTTTCTTGTTTAATGTAATTAGAACGCAAACTAAACATGTGCATCCTCCTCCCACGCTGCAACCTTTGTTTGGGTTGTCCCAAGGTCTTCGAACCCTCGAAACTAAGCTAGTTTTCCCCCAGGTTAAGCCCTTTCCGCCGAAGTGGAGGTTCCATGTCATTCCATGTCATTCCTCAGCTCAAAACCCCAAAAATCAGGCCCAGCAACCCCAGATGGAAATCAGGGATCAGAAGCTGCGAAGCCTTTACTCCGCCGATGCAGCACACCGACAGCGAGAACAGCGCCAGCGCCATTGTTACAAGCTGCCATCTTGTTGATTTTGAGTGGGGGTAAGCATGGCCAATCTTCGAGTGCCGGTAAAGACACATTTTCCATTTCTGACAACAAAATTGTTGTACCATCTGGTTATTTAACATAGCCATGGAAAATCCCCATTTCTAATAGGCAAACCATCTATTTCTATGGGCCATCTATACCATGGCTATGTTAAATAACCACAGGGTATCATTTCTGATGAAATATATGTTGAACTATCCATCCACTCGGTTGGTTTTTGGACTTCAACGAAGTTCATATCTTGCCACATTTCACAAGCCACTTGGCCCTGCGACAGCGACGTGCATTCGCTGCCAAAGCAGCGGCCATGAACCTCTGGTGACCGGTGAAACAAAAACAAAAAGGGAACTTCCAAGGTTAAGGTGGCGCAATGCTATCTGTTATCATATTATATCAACATGACTGTATGCAGAGCTGCATATCATGCAGAGATATGCAGAGAAGCCATGAATTGATGACGTGCCCCGCCATTGCTCAGCACCACGCGGCCATGGTTTAAGCAGGAAAAGAAACACACCATCATCCTGGAGTGATGTTTTTTTGAGACCTTTTGAGACCTACGTGCCCATTCTGCTTGTATATCTTCTACATATTACTTGTTGAAAGCCCATTTTGTGGCCTCATTCCCTTTCTTCAACCACCTTTGACCTTTGTTGGTCAAAATTTGCCTACAAACAAAACATGAGTCAAAACATACCCTGTGGTAATGACTGTTACATAGCTATTGAAAATGGCCAATTTATAGTTGATTTACCCATTAAAGATGGTGTTGATTTTCCACAGCTATGTTTTATATGTTTCCCAATATATGGAAAGATTAGAATTCATGTTCCAAACCACCAAGCAGATTACAATTCCAATATATCAATGATGGTATATTAACTATATTACAGTATATAGTTGATATCCCAATGATATTCCAATGATCATATATTGATATTATTACAATGATCATCCCAGTATATAGTTGATATCCCAATTAACTATTACAGTATATACAAGTAGTTGATATCCCAATGATCATATATTGATATCAACCATCTTTGATATTAAAATGATATTCAACCATATAAATATATCAATGATATTGATATACCAATGATCATATATTGATATTATTGATGTTGTTTTGAAGCTGTTTCACCCATCTTTCCGCTGAACTCCAGATTCTGTTGGACTCGTCCCATGGGAATCCCAGCAAGAACTCCTGCGCCAATGGGTTGGCGAAGCACCAGCCGGAACCAGCCGGAAAATGAGGATCAGAACCAACAGAACATGAGGAATTTACGATCACCAACCAATTCCTCTTACATTGTGTTTCTGTCATATTGTTTCACCAAGACAATGTGTTTTTTTTTTTGCAATCTCACCGAAAAAAAAAACAGCCAGATTTGCATTTGCAGGAAGGTGGATTGGACTAATCATAGCCAACTACATTGTGAATCGTTGAAAACAAACTTTGATCAACACAAATTATGGGAAAATCACAAGCCTGCATCATCCCGATCTATTGGGCTTGTACTTTGGGCCAGCGATATTTTGTAAGGTCCGAAAACACGGAGGAACATATGGGATCTAATCGGATGATCAACCAGCAACGTATTACCCGGCCTGGTAACAACTTTTTTTACATAACGAACTGGAAAGAACATCACCATTTAAAGAGAGGATCTTTATCAACATTTTTTTCAACATAAATCATACATCAACATTTTTATCAACTATAAATCGCCATGTTCAATAGCTATCTATGTCTGTTTACCAGAGGGCTGGATGGTCGAAACCCAGTCGTTGGAAACCCTGGGCCTCAATGGATCACTAAAAAAATCCAGTGATCCATGGCTCCTCTAAAAACACAATGATATCTGGGTAATGGGTAAATTATAATATGTATATATATCACTGAATTATGCTGTAATGTATAGAATATGTATATATCTGGGTATAATGATGTTATATTTCACGTTCACCTGAATCTTGCGGCCATAAAAGGGGATGATTTCCCGAATCCTAAGCCATGATTCCAGGCTTCGGGAGAACAGGGTTCGGTCGTGATGAAATTTACCCAGAACAATTTTTTATGACTGGTCATGCCATGGTGAAATGGGATTACAAATTGCCAACCCAAGTCATCCAAGTCTATGATCGACCATGATTTATGCCGTTGTTTTTCTTGATTTAACCTTGACCTACCTTGCCACATGAAGATATCATAGGCATTAAGTGGCATTAAACCAACTGTGATCATCTGTGTAATAGAATGACGAACTAGGCAATACATTAAATAAAGAATTCAAAAACCGAAATGAAGATCTATGATGAAACATCAAGGGGCACATGCCAATAACTTTCAGATGTGAAGCACTGTTTTCAAACATTATGAGATCATTAGGGTTTTTCATGGTTTTTCCGCATTTTCAAACAATACTGTCGATTTTCCTGCTTCACGCACAGTTGCTTTCCGGACCGCTACCCACTTTCAGGATCGCATCCTCCAGTTGGCACCCGGAGAGCCTCTCGCGCCGAAGACCGAGACGGACATTGCTGTTTCGAATGGATCATCAAACAAAAACGGCGGTTTAATCCACGGACATGTTTTTTTTTTTACCAAAGGGATTTGGGATTTTTATCAACATTCATTTGTGGGATTTGAGCACCTGTTTGGAGGACGTGACGTAAGCAACTTTTTTGAGCAAAGATCTGTTTGGGTTTTAACGCAACACACATGGACATGAAAAACCAACGATGAGTTCAACCTGCCAGAAAGTTGAGCTTCACACTGTCACCTCAGGGATTCAAGCAACATATATCAAGAATATCCAACGAACATAGAACTTTCGCCAACACTGAGAACGCCCTGAACGCGTGCAAGGGGCCTTTAGATGCCTTTAGCACATAGATCATAAATCGCATCTCCAGATGCTGAGAGTCTTGGGTTATCTCAGGAACTGTTTCATGTTGCTTCTATTTTTCAAAATCGTTCCCCAAATGAAAAGCATCTTGTTGCTACATATAATCAACAATGTAGTCAAAAAATACTGATAGTAGTTTCTAGCTGTTTTCGAAATCATACAAAAATGTTTTCCAATGATACTCGAATATTAGTTTTAATATTTTTTCTTAAACAAAAACATATATTTATCAATTATGCAAGCCGTTTCCCAAAGACAATACTAAGTAAACCATATAAACCGCATAACAAATGATCATAACATATCATAATAATCTTAGATCAGAGTACATAATTACATGACATGTTTTTTCTTTAAAACATATATTAATAATAGGATCAATCAGATGGTGAGTCCACTCGTTTCTCAATCAGAAGCCTCGCCATGGTGAGCCAATGCTCGTCGTCAAAGGCCTGAGATAAACCGTGGATTTAACCGGTTTTAAACACCAGGTTTTCGGAGAAGGATCAAACTTGATCAAACAAAGGATATGCAAACGTAAAATGAGAATGGACTGTTAAACAAAATAATAGTTGAAGCATCAAACATATAAACTATAAGATACTTTAAGCTGAGAAACAGGTTTATTGATAGAACTGCTATCGGATTTAATCATCCGTTGTTTGTCATCATTTTCTGAGGTCATTATGTTCAACACATCTATGATGTTGTGGTGAGGTCGGGATTGAATCATGGCCAATCCTAGATACCATGCAAAAGAGATCTGATTTAGCCGGGCAATGTATCTATATGATATACATTGTATATATATATATATTCATGAATATATATATATATATATATTCATATAGAAAAACATATATTAATTATATTTAATTATACATTAAAATATTCATGTGGGAAAGCCTAAACCTGCCATAAACCTACCAACCATGACCGGGGATGGTAATGCCATAGAAGCCATGACCATCGTTGATGGTGTCACAAGGATCATCCATTGGATCATCATCCCAAGGAAATGTCAATCACCGAAATTTTCTGGTGGTTGACCTACCAACCAGTGGTTAATATACTGTTAATATGAATGGTTAATATATGGTTAATATACTGTCAATATTAATGGTTAATGATGATGGTTATTATATGGTTAATGATGGTTAATAATATTACTGCTTGGTGGTTGCTATACCTACCCCTCTGAAAAATGATGGAGTGAGTGAGTTCGTCAGTTGAGATGATTTTCCATTCCCAACTGAATGGAAAAAATGTTCCAAAGCACCAACTAGATTACAATCGTAAATATCTCACAAGTCAATCCCCAGTGAAATCTATCCAAAATTACAATTCAATATGAACACTATGAACACATTCAATATTACAATTCAATATTACAATTATATACCACTGGTATTACCAATACTAGATATTACAATTACAGTACCCTCTGGTAATTTAACATAGCTATTGAAAATTGCCATTTATAGTGGATTTTCCCATTAAAAATGGTGATTTTCCAGTTCGTTATGTAAACGTTTACCAGAGGGTATATACCAATGATATCACAAGTCAATCCCCAATTTGCCAATGTCAATTGAAAAAACAGATCCGACGAGGTCCGAAAGCGTCCGCGCGCCTCAATGAGAAGCCGAAAGCCTTCCTCCAGCGGTGTATCGGAGCTTAAAACCAAACGCCTCAGGGATCGATTGAACAATGGTGCTGGTTTGAACACTTTACGATTGCTCCAACTACCCGGCCTGGTAAACATACAAAAAGCGAACTGGAAAATGGCCCAGTCGAAATAGTGGATTTACCCAGCTACAAAATGGTGGATCTTTCCATAGCTATGTTAATTTACCAGAGGGTATGTTCTGATATATATATATATGGTTTCCTTGATATGGTTTGATAATGTTTGATAATGGGTTTTGATATGGCCCTAATTACAAGTGGATGAAGCTTGAGCTTACTTCTCAGTCTGCGCCAGGGCACACCTTTTCGCCAGCAGGAGAAGCAATAAGAAAGGTAACCAGTGGGGACACAACCATGGGTAAGGATTCGACTGATTCAAATGAAATATCACCATTGCATCTATGGTACGTATTATATCATTATCCATTCGTACCCACAAATATCTGCCATACACGTTGACCCATGACACTAGGCATATGCTAATAACCTCACACATCCATCCCATAAAACATTGTCATTTTACCTGTATAGATTGCAGTTTCAGTCACATCTATAATATCCTACCCTACTAATATCAAACACCCCCATTCTATGGTTACAAATATGTGATTTCATACCCTACCAACCCATGGGGTGTAGGGATTCCACCCGATCATCTAAGATTGTTGGTGATTGACTCAAAAAATATATATATATATATATAAACACTATCCCATTATATCACCATTTAGTTCGATGATTTTCCCAGCTCTAAACCTTCATTTATAGTTTATGTTCCTATATTTTCCTACGATCCTCCCAGCGAACTAAACCATCCGAATATAGGGAAAAGTCTTCCATTTGAATGGAATCCCATTCATGAATTATCATTCATGGGTCATCAAATGGATCATCAAATTCATCAAATGGAAACATATCCCATCTGGTTGGTGGTATACCTACCCCTCTGAAAAATGATGGAGTGAGTTCGTCAGTTGGGATGATGACATTCCCAATATATGAAATGGAAAGTCATAAAATTCCATGGTCCCAGTCACCACCAACCAGTAATGTTAGTAATAATCAACCACCTATATTTTGAAGGTTTATACCATCCATTCATGGTCAGTTTTGGGGGATGGTGGATCCAAACAGTTAACCGTATATCCCCCTCATGAAACTCTGGTAAACGTTTACATAACGAACTGGAACATCAGCATTTTTAATGGGAAAACTCACTATTTCCATGGCCATTTTCAATAGCTATTTTGACATAACCAGAGGGTATCTCCATTAAATCACCATTAAACCCCATTAAATCACCATTGTCCTATGGTTTTCCTATGGGTTTCCTATGGGTTTCCTATGTTCCAGTTCGCTTTTTCTATGTTTACCGTAGGCCGGGCAAACTTACTCAGGAACTTCTGGAACTTCGGAGCACGAAAAAAAATCCCAGGGTTCCAGTCACCACCAAGCAGTATTATATCACCAACAAAAACCATAGTTATTGGACTTATAAATGGAATGATATATAAATAAACCATAGTATTATTATTGGATTATTATATCTTATAAACCACTGAAAGGAAAAATAAACCCTAGTTAGAATGGAACCAACAAAAACCATAGTTAGAATGGACTTAATAAACCACTGAATGGAACCATGAATGGAAAAATCTAATCATAGATAGATCTTATCACCAACTTATAAACCACTGAATGGAAAAAATAGTTAGAATGGACTTATAAACCACTGAATAATGGTCCATTTAGTGTTTTTTTTGATCCCAAAAATAATGGTTATTCCATCTGAATGGACCACTGAAAAAATGACCCGCGCTGCCCAGTCTCCACCATTGCCCAATCGGTCTCCATCTCCCACCAGGACTCCGCGCTGAAAGATGTCCCAGACCTGACTCCGGGAGATCTGCATCGCGAGTATGTAGATATATATACATACACTATGGGTTTATAGAAAATACTAGGGTGTATATCTATAAATCTATCTATCTATCTATCTATCCATCCATCCATCCATCTATCTATCTATTTATCCATCCATCCGTATATATATATATATCTTGATAGAAACCATATTACTAGGATTCAAGTACTCAACCAGCAAGGCCAGGCCTCCTCAGATGACAGCAAGCGCGAGTCAACAGCGGCCAGGGCCTCCGGACTCGTCAAAGGATGGAGTTTCTTGGGAAAATGACGAAGGAGTTTCTGGCAGATTTGACCCAGAGCACCAAGTCTGGGAAAGTGGGAGTTTTACACATAAAACCATATTTTTCCCATTAAAAATGGTGATTTTCCATATGATCTTGTTGGATTTACCATCATTTTCCAGTGTCCGTTTTAAACCACACGGGAAAGATATACGGAACTCAGAATGAGGATGTGAAGCGCCACAACATCAGGGAGCAACCTGCGCAGCAAGCTGCATGACGTGGAGATTTCATCATGAGTTGTGAGACCTTCATTTGGCGCTACCCAGCACGGTCAAGACGTTTGGCTATCCAGCACCACTGACGGCCTGTCAACTTTTACTCATATCATCCAGGCATAGTCTAATCAGGCAAACTTATATACAGAATAATGTTTGTTATGATTATTATCATCATACCATACGACATAATCATAATGCAAAAACAAAATTGCCAATTTTTGCCAATACACAACATTACACAATATTACACAACATTACATAAGAGTAACAATACTAAGATGGCCTTAAACAAAAACACATGTTACCCTCTGGTAATTTAACATAGCTATTGAAAATGGTCATTTATGGTGGATTTCCCATGAAAGATGGTGATTTTCCATAGTTATGTTAGTTTACCAGAGGGTAAACCCTATATAATATTATATAATCATCAATCAACCATCATTTATCAACCATATCCCCAGATTGCTGATGGTTAAAACCCCCCAAACATACAATGTTGATGGGTATTATCTGGTGCATGTTCTTTTTTCTCAAATCCCATCGGCAACCATCGATCCCCATCGATCACCTTCAGAACCACTTGAAACCTCTGCCGATCGTCGCCTGCGAGGAGTTGGCACAGGATCATGTGTATGTGGAGTATATGTAGAGTATATGTAGTATATATGTACTATGATGTAGTATACATACATATATATATGTATAACTAATTAACTCTATATATATAATTATATATAATTATATATATATAATGTGAATGTCCACATTTCACCAGCACTTGCCGGGTTTTTCTCATGAGGCGTTCATCCAACGCCAATTCAGCTTGGAGTGCCGCAGGAACCGAAGGCTCAGGGAGCCCGTTGTAAGGTGCAGGGTAGGGAGGGCATAGCTTCCTTGGAGCCATAGGGCATAGCAGCTTGGTGGTCGAGGCCGACCGGATATCGCTGTGGGATCAGCGTGGTCAAAAGAAGCTTGCGAGGCAGCAGCTGGGAACTTGGTGTGACAGGTGTCACCTTGGAGGATTCTGGATTGGGAGCTACCCCCATTAACATTGGTAGCGGAGCCCTCGACACAGTGTCGAGGGTATCCAGGGGGGCTACCGACGGCACCCGACTGACACAACAGGCAGTGCCAACCTTGGCATTGGGGCGTGACAGCACATGCCGGCGGGGAGTGACGGATCGTCTGGGACGGAGGTGACAGAGACTGGAGGCAACATCTCCAGCCAACTGGCTTATCTGGTTCCAAGTTTTGACCCGAGCAAGGATGATTTGCAGTTATACCAACAAAAGGTACAACTGGTGTTCGCAGTGTGGCCACCATCGAAGGTCTCAGAGCTCATCACACGCCTAATTTTAGGCACCACTGGCACCGCCTTCGCCAAACTGCAGCTTCACCATACGGAGTTATGCACCAATGATGAGAAGGGAATCAAGAAATTGATAGAACTTCTGGGTGGACACTGGGGAAAAACAGGCCTTGAGAGGCGCTATGCAGATGCGGAGAAGGCACTTTTCCAATGCAATCAACTCAGTGACGAGAGCCACGACAGTTTCCTGGCGCGAGCTGATGTCTTATGGACAAAGTTACTGACACAGAAGCTGGAAATGGAGGACCTTCAAGCATATGTGACTCTCCGAGGGTCCCTACTGTCAGTGGAGGACAAGAAGAGGGTCATCATTGACAGTGACAATTCCCTTGAAGGAAAGTTGACGATGATCAAGGTCCGTGAGTCAATCAGAATGTTGGGGACCAACTTTTTCCAGGAAATGACCGGAGTGAAGAAGGGCACCAAGTCCAAGGTGTACGATCAGTCGCTTTTAGTGACTGAGGACATGGAGCATGCAGGAGATCACGAAGATCAAGCACATGTAGCAGGTCATGATGAGGTCATGGAAGATGATTTCATTGAAAATCTGGCGCAAGAAGGAGATGAGGACGCAGTCTTCGTGGCAGATTTTGAGATGACTGCTACGGATGTGATACAAGGTGATGAAGATCTTGCACCTGCATACACGACGTACTTGGAGGCTCGTCGAAAGCTGAGCGAGGAATACAAGGCTCGTGGTTTCTGGCCGATTTCCAAAGGGAAGTCCAAAGGATTCAAGGGAAAGTTCAAGGGCAAGTCCAATTGGACTAGCCGGAAGACGCTGCAACAGCGCATCCTGGAAAGCAATTGTAGGATTTGCGGCCGAAAGGGCCACTGGAAGAGCGAATGCCCAAATCGAGGTCAGTCAACAGCCAGTTCGACAACCTCGACAGCGCCCATCACTCTCTCCATGGGAGTATCGTCCATTCCAGCCAGCGATGTGATGTCAGCAGAGTTCATGAGCCTGCCCGAAGTTGCACCAACCGCACAGGACTCCAATGGAACACAAGCGTTTTGCTTTGTACAGACCAGTTTTTTAGGTGCCTGTGGTAAGAGTGGGGTTCATAGAGATCCGAATAACATGAGGGGTGTAAGGGAACGAATTAGGAACCATATTAAGGGTAATAAGGGGAATAATTCAAGAGTTGCATCCCTGGTGAACAGGATTGAGAGCCGCCTGTTGCCTTTCCGCGCACCACCTGCAGTGAACCGTGATGCATCCGTGTACAGACAACCCATGCCAGGGGTTCAGTGTTCCAGTCCGCCGTGCCGTAACAATGACAAGGAATCCATTTTGGATTTCAAGCCTGCGCCCAGGACAGAGGTGCCGAAGAGCCCAATGTCCAAAATCCCTGATGCAGCCGCTGAGGTACTTTTTGCAACCCATGACACATGGGGTATCCTGGATACTGGGGCCACCAAAACAGTGATGGGAAGCGATTTTGCACCAGGTTTTTTACAAAATGTTCATGCCAGTGTCAGAAACAAGATTCGCAGGTGTCCCTGTGATGTGACGTTTCGCTTTGGAAACCAAGGAACTCTCAAGTCAGCTCATGCAATGGTTGTACCAGTTGGGGGGTTTGAACTCAAAATAGCGGTGGTCCCAGGGGCAACACCGTTTTTGGTGTCCAATACCCTTTTGAGAGCCTTAGGAGCCATGATAGATACAGGTGCGAACAAGTTGATTTTGCCAAGACAAAATCATCAGATACCACTGAAGTTGTCAAGCAAGGGCCTGTATCTAATTGACATGAACATGCTGCTGCAAATGCCTCCTCAACATGAGGGAGTTTGCCAACCTGCCGAGACTTTTGCACAGGAGTCCATTGAAAAGGAGATCAAGGTTACTCCAGCGAGGGATGAACATGCCATGATGAATCAGAAAAGTCAAGCCGAAGTACAAAACTGCCTCAGAGAGAGTGATGTACAAACAATCAAAACAAATTTTCAAAGCCACAACATGAATGAAATCCCAAAAGAACAACCTGAAGTGTCACAACAGCCGAAACTTTCCGTGAACGTTTCACATCTGCCATCATCAGTTTTTCCATGTCCAAAAGAAGCTGAGATCGCCGAGAACTCTGAAGTTCAAGCCAGCATTCCCAGGGATTTCCCTGAACGAGTATCGCAGTGTCATGGGCGACTGGACCAAGAGACTCCAGCGCTTGCAATCCGAGATGCCAGCGGCCGAGACCGAATCGGTCGATCACATGTCAAAGGAGGATCTCCAGCACGAGAAGGTGACGTTCGGCAAAGTTCACATGGGCAAACTGTTCTCCGAGGTTTGGGAAACATCCCAAGACTGGGTGAAATGGTTCCTGATGCACTATCAGGACAGTACCAAGCTCGAGCACAAGAATATGATCCGGTACATCAAGTTGAAGATCGAGGAGGGAGAGGCACATGGATCTGGGGGCCCCACGGCCTCGTGTCGTCCAAAGCCAAAGCCAGCACCGAAGTCGCTGGCAACGGCCAGCCGAACCGGGCCACCGCCTCACCCGGATGCCATGCCGGAAGAGCCTGTAGAGAACCCAGAGGTGAAGACCTTGGAAAACCGCATGACCAACCTCGAGAATGCCCTGCACCAGATACTTGTGTATCTGACGCCGAACACCGCCGGTGCTCCAGTCCCATCGAACCTGGGAGAAGAGTCTCCGGAACTCCCTCTGGTTGCGGAATGGGAAGATCCATGGGAGGCATGAACTCAGAGTCCGAAGAGTGCAACTGGGCTTTGACAGCTGGAGAAATCGATGATTTCACTGACAGCCAAAACAATGAAGAACGCAAATACTTCAACAGTTTAGTCAACTTAATGGAAAGAGAGTTATCCCAAATTGAAAAGAAAAGCACTCTCAAGGGACCAAAGGTAAATCTGATTGAAGTGTTTTGCAGTGACCAAAGTACGTTGACCGAACAGGTGAATCAGCTCGGTGGAAAAGCCCTCCGCTTTGGTTTGAACCAAGGCGATCTACAGCAGTCTGAGGGGAGAAAGCGCTTGTTCGAAGCCATCTGCCGACATCGACCCGAGCATGTCTGGGTCAGTCCCACCTGTAAGCCATGGTCCAAATGGTCAAACCTGAATCAACAAAAATCACTAGAGTTGTGGGATCGTATCCATGCCGAAAGAAGGGACATGCTCAGTCAGGTCGCGCTGTGCTTGGTCGTTTGCAGGTACCAACACCGGTGTAGCCGCCATGCACATTGGGAACAGCCCAAAGGGTCCCTCATGTTCATGCTTCCCTACCTAAATGAGTTAAGTAGGTACATGGTAGATGCCAGACCTGACATGTGCACAGCTGGGGACCTCCATGATCCGGTTTCCAATCAACCAATGAAGAAGGGTATGCACATCCGTACGACATCCCAGAAAATGCAAGGTTTGTTAGATCCACTTAGGTGCCCTGGGACCCATCAGCATCAGCCGATCGAAGGTTCCACCAAGGTGCATGGCCAAGGGATTGCTCGATCTGCGTTTTCCGAAAAGTATCCACGAAAATTTGCACGAATGATCGCAAAAACCATCCTGAAGAAAAGCTTTCCACAGGAGAAACCAGTAGGCGCAATAGCCGATCCTGCCTTAATTGCTTTAGACCAATGGTTCCAGATCAGTAGTGCACTTGCCGTGGATGCTCGATTGCCGAAGCGTGCCAAACTGTCGGGGCCCCGACAGTCCAAGGCCAAATCCGCAGACAGATCACTCAGCCAGCAACTGAATGTCAAGCGATGCAAGACCCAGAAATCAGACATCACCAGTGAGCACACCACAGATCAGGTTATCCTTTCCAAAGAAATCGAGGACAAAGCCATCCAAATCATGCAGACAGTTGAACCTCTACTTCCTAGGGTGGGAAAGAAAATGATGGATACCCCTCAAATCATGAAACTTGTTCAAGAAGCATTCCCCGAAAAGATCATCAAGGGAATTTTGGCATGTAAAGGGACTGAGCGTACAATGGCTCCCCCAAATAACCTCACATCAAAAGAAGCTCCTTTTCGCCGTTCAATCATGAAACTCCGAAGCACTGGGAAGATCACCGTAGATGACTGGGAGAAATATGATGAACTTGCAAAAAGAAAAGTGATTCGAAAATCCCAACCCTGCCGAGTGAATATAACTGTCTTTGCGGCTAATCCTATCCAGACCCATCAGCCTCAAGGCGACCAAGCGAGCGTAATGCCACCATGCGAGCCCACAGTGGCTCCACAATCCCTTCCAGAGAGCTCGGATAGCCCTCTGGATTCAGAGGTAGGCAGAGAAAATCTGAAGAAGGATGCCGTAGAGTCAGAAGATGTTCAAAAGTCAGAAGATCAAATGAAGCCAAACCTCACTGAAGAGATGCCACCCTCTGAAAGCCAAGTACCGACAGATCCAGATGGCAGTCCAGCCAGACGCAGCCGATTTCTGGCGCTGCCGAAAGAAGAACAAGCCATGTTGCGGAGGGCACATCAAAACTTGTGCCACCCTCGGCCTGAACAACTCAGTCAGGTACTTCGAATGCAGGGAGCTCGCCCTGAAGTATCCCAGGCAGTGTTCGACATGAAATGTGCCACATGTGCTTCCCAACAACAACCAAAGATATCTCGTCCAAGTACCCTGAAACATGAATTAGACTTCAATGATAAGATATTCATAGATGGGATCACCTGGACCAGTAAAGGAGGGAAGACTTTTCACTTTTATCACATCCTCGATCAAGCAACAAACTTTCATGTGGCAACACCTGCCCCGAGCCGTGCCGCCGAAAATGCAGTGCAGTGTGTCGCTGAAAGCTGGTTTCAATGGGCCGGTCCACCCAACATGTTGGTAACTGATGCAGGTACTGAGTTTACCAGTAGCCTTTTCATGGAGTTTGCCCAGAAAAATGATGTGAAACTAGTGACAGCCGCACCACATGCTCATTGGCAGAACGGCCGTTGTGAAAGACACGGACAAATTTTGCAAGCGATGCTGAAAAAGGTGGACCAGGACATGCCAATCCAAACATATGTCGACCTTCAAAGGGCGTTGGCACAATGTACCCATGCAAAGAATACTCTGAGCATCCGCAAGGGGTATTCACCTGAAGTGCTTGTGTTTGGTAAAAGTTCAAGGCTGCCTGGATCACTAAGTAGCACCGATTCCATGTCCTCACTCACAAGTGCCTGCCGTGAAGATGCACATGGCATAGCGTTCCGCCAAAGCTTAGCACTCCGTGAGAAAGCCAGAGTGGCATTCCATCAGGCTGACAATGATCAGGCCCTCCGGCGGGCCTGTCTCCGCAGAACACGCCCTGATAGGAACGCCTATGAGGTGGGAGAATGGGTGATGCTATGGCAACCCGAAACAAATGGAGGACACTGGTTTGGACCCCATAAAGTAGGGCCACCCAAGGGGGAAAACTTTTCCGGAGAGCTTTGGAACATGTCCGCCCAGTGTGTTCCGCAGAGGTGAGCCAGATACCCCAAGAGGAAGAGCCTCTTAAGAATCCACAAAATCCAATTCCCCAGATTCCAGAAGTAATCCCATCAGATAACAGCCCAGAAACCACCATAACGACACCACCAATAATATCCACAGATCAAAGATCAAATTCAGATGACCACAGTCAATCCCAAGATCAACCAGACATTGAACCTGAAATCAATAATCCAAGTGCTGAAACCGCTGGGGGCCCTGAACATGACCCAGCAGTAGAAATTCCGATCCCAGAGTCAGCGAGTGACGATGAGATGATCACCACACACCTGCTATGTTGTGAGGACCTCGTCATGCATGTTGATCCCGCCGACACACCCTGTGCATGGAAATGTGAGTTGGAGATACCGTCATGGATTGATGTAAATCATTTAGATGACTGGTCCCCCGATGAACTCTTGATTGCAACAACAGAAAAGAAGCAACGCACTGAGGTGAAGTTATCAGCATTGACAGCCGAAGAACAGAAAGCATTTGCACAGGCGAAAGAAGCGGAGATCCAAAACTGGCTGAAGACCGGAACAGTATCTAGGATCTTGAAAGCAAAATTGGCCCCTGAGCAGATTTTGCGATGCCGCTGGATCCTGACTTGGAAACCACTGGAGGGGATATCCACCGATCCCAAAGAAGTCCAAAGTAAGCTCAAAACCCACAAGCCAAAGGCACGTTTGGTTGTGTTAGGTTACATGGATCCTCAAATCACCGAAGTACCAAGAGACAGCCCCACACTGGGAAAACAATCAAAGATGGTCATACTCCAATTAATAGCCTCCATGGGTTGGTCGTTGGGATCCTTTGATATTAAAGCAGCGTTTCTCCAGGGAAAACCCCAGAAAGACCGTATCATTGGACTTGACCCCGTCAGTGAACTTGCCCAAGCCATGACCTTGAAGCCAGGAGAAATTTGTAAACTAGACAAGTCAGCTTATGGCCTCATTGATGCGCCGTTCCTTTGGTTCCAGACCCTTCAGGAGGAACTCACCAATTTGGGATTCCAGTCTTGCCCATTTGACCCATGTGTGTTCGTTCTCAGACACCCGAATAGCCAAGAACTATCGGGGGTTTTGGGTATTCATGTTGATGACGGAATCTATGGTGGAGACAAGTATTTTCAAGAAAAGGTCGCGAAGCTCGAGTCCAAGTATCCTTTCGGATCCAAAAAGTCAAGGGTTTTCACTTTCACTGGCATTTACCTGAAACAGAACCAAGATAACAGCATTGAACTTTCCCAATCACAGTATGTACGAAATATCAATCCCATCATCCTGAAACCTGAACGTCGCGCTCAAGAGACTGAATCAGTGACAGAAGAAGAAAGACATCTCCTGCGTGGCCTGATAGGATCCTTGCAGTATGCGGCCGTGCACACCAGACCAGATTTAACAAGTTCACTCAGTCAACTTCAATCTCAGATCAACAATGCTACCGTAACCACATTGATCATGGCCAACAAAACGTTACACATTGCCAAAAAACACCACGATGTTACCATTCTAATCCAACCTATCAAGATTGATGAACTTCGATTCTTAGCATTCTCTGATGCATCCTTTGCATCAAAATCAAAACCTGAATCGTATGCTGGCATGATCATCATGGCGACCCAAAAAGAGATCTCAAAGAACAAATCTTGTAAAATCAGTCCTTTGTCATGGGGAACAAAAAAGATCCAACGTGTAGTGACGAGCACTTTGTCAGCAGAGGCCACGGCACTTTCGACAACCCTGGATCAACTGACCTGGATCCGAGTCTACTGGGCATGGCTGATAGACCCGAGGATTTCATGGCAAAAACCAGAGACAGTGAAAACTCTTCCAGAAGCAGTGACCGTACCCACCTTGAGGATTGATGAAAAAGATTTGGCAATCACCGATTGCAAAAGTTTATACGATCTCACGACACGTACAGCTGTCCCCAACTGCCAGGAGTTCCGTACACAATTGCTTGCTCGTTCCATCAAAGATATCCTTTCTGAAAACATTGGTTTATATTGGGTTCACTCAGGAGCACAGCTTGCAGATGCTTTAACGAAGGTAATGGAGGGACAGTTTTTGAGAGAAACCTTGCGACAAGGGTACTACTGCCTGCACGATGCCAATGAAGTCCTCAAGAGCAGAGCCAATGCTCGAAATCGACTGAAATGGTTGCGTTCGAATGCAGGTGAAATGAGTACAAACCAATAAAAGTTTTGAAATAATGGGAATGTGAATGTCCACATTTCACCAGCACTTGCCGGGTTTTTCTCATGAGGCGTTCATCCAACGCCAATTCAGCTTGGAGTGCCGCAGGAACCGAAGGCTCAGGGAGCCCGTTGTAAGGTGCAGGGTAGGGAGGGCATAGCTTCCTTGGAGCCATAGGGCATAGCAGCTTGGTGGTCGAGGCCGACCGGATATCGCTGTGGGATCAGCGTGGTCAAAAGAAGCTTGCGAGGCAGCAGCTGGGAACTTGGTGTGACAGGTGTCACTTTGGAGGATTCTGGATTGGGAGCTACCCCCATTAACAATATAATTATGTATATAATTATATATGTATATAATCTCCCTTCCCACTAATCAACAGCCCTCCTGTTCTTGTTTGAGGTCTGAATTCAGCTTCAGGGGATGTGTCGTAGTGGTGGATGGGACTGTCACATATGGTTTCAATCGGGGGCCCGCAAACAAAGCCACAAAACCAATCGAATGATATTTGAAGGGACCCATCTGTGACTTTGATTTGCAATGTAAGGATAAGGATGTACTATACTGTAACTGGTTTGAAATCGCGTCAGAAAACATGGACCTGGACAACCAGTTTCCTATAATGTTGTACAGGGTTACTCCAAACACTCCAGGTACAAGGGGGGTAAATTGCCTGAATGTAGGGGTAACATGACTCATTTACCGCCTAAAAGTGGCTAGCTTTTATGGGCCGAGCAACCCTGTACCATTGTCAGTTAGTGGGATCAGTTATAGTTAATGTGGGTAAAACAATGCCATAAACCATCCCCCAAATCACCATCAATAGGTGCTAAAAAAAAATCCCAGTCATGGATTGTTTATGGCATTGTTTCACCCACATTAACTTATTAACCTGGTTGGTGGTTTCAACCCCTCTTAAAAATATTAGTCAAAATTGGGATGATTATTCCCAATATATGGAAAGTCTTATGTTCCAAACCACCAACCAGTTAACTGTATATCCCCCTCATGAAACTCAGGATTTTCTGGAACTTCGGACCATGGACCATTCAACGCACCTGGCACCAGGAGGGACATCTCTAAATACCTGCCCACAGCTATTGGACGCGCGTCCTGTGCGGTGGGTTAAGAAACTCATCCAATATATTCATAGTTGTTCTATGGCACTATAGACTATAGTTATGGCTGAAGATGTGATATGTTCTATTTGTACATTGATAATATATACATATATATACCATAACTGTCCAATATATCCAATATGTCATGTGTTATGTGGTTTTTGTTCTTGTCTACATTCTTTTCTAACCTATCTTCTTTGGTTGTTGGCACATTGATGAACATCACGGAAATGCAACCAACTACCCTCTGGTAAACGGGCTAACATAACTACGGAAAATCACCATTTTTAATGGCGAAATCAACTATTTCTATGGCGATGTTCAATAGCAAACTGTTATTATATAGTCATTACCAGAGGGCTGGATGCTCTGATCTGGCTCTGTCTGAAAACTAACTACCCCATTTATCCAATGGTGAATCGCCATGTTCTCTATTAAAAATGAGAACATTTGAAGATATTTGAAGGCTATGCTGCTGTATACAAGTAGAATCATAGTATATATCCATAATGTATCCATCTTCAGACAGACTCATCTGTCTAGTCTCTGTCCCAAATCCACCACAACCCTTCTTTTCGCACTTCGCTGTTCGCCGTTTTCGGCGTCACTTCTGTCGATACACAGCCGTTTTCGGCTTTCCGGGGGACGAGCTACAGCATGTTGCAAGGGAGGACGGCTATGGGTGACTGGTCCATGGATCATATCTGGTTGGTGGTTGACCTACCAACCAGTGGTTAATATACTGTTCATATTAATGGTTAATGATAATGGTTATTATATGGTTAATGATGGTTAATCATATTCTGGTTGGTGATATACCTACCCCTCTCAAAAATATGAGTTCGTCAGTTGGGATCATTATTCCCAGTACATGGAAAAATAAAAACAGGTTCCAGTCACCAACCAGATATTAGTCTTAATGCAGGTTTGTCTGCGGAAAATAAAACCCCTAAATCTCAGTGTTCATCGCCATTTTCACCAATTCAGATCGCGATTCTACAGCTATCCCGGCTATTCCCCAGTCTTAGATAAAGCGATGCTGCAATACCGACCATGGACCATTGGTTCTGCAGTGGTTGGATGACCTTTTCCTTCCCGGCAACGTGCAGATCTTGATCATTTGCAGCGGCCTTTTTAGTGAAGTCCCGAAACAAATAACATGTATTTTTTGTTGTTACCCGTGATATATCATGGGATATATATTATCTACAGCAATGTCATTGTTATGGTATGCGTTAATGACACTATATATATATATATACATCATGGTGAAACAAACAACAGGGATATACGTAATGTTTTTCTTGTTGGTGGTGCGATAACCATCTTGAAAAATATGAAAGTCAATGGGAAAGATTATCCCATATATTATGGAAAATAAAAAATGATCCAAACCACCAACCAGTTTTGATACATATATATATATAAATATCCCATGATATATATTCCATTATATACATACCCCAACAAAAAAAACACACTTGGGGCATATCCCATTCACGAACAACCCCATACATCGTGGGTTGACTCTCCATGTTTAATCATTTTCTTGGTTGGAAAAAAAAACATATGGGGGCCATGGGATATCTACCATGCCTCAAATTCACATAGACCCTGAACATCCATCTTTTTTGTGGAACCAGAGCTCTTCCAATCCCCAAAAATATGTTTTAGGGTCTATGGAATTTCACTGGAGGCTTTTAATAGCATTGGATTGGTTTGTTTGGGAAAATCTTCACCGGAAACCATGGGTGTTTTTACCATGAAGATCATGGGGGGTTCCTATTACATTTTCCCTTAAACCAATCCAATGATAATAGTAGGTAATGACTAACAGTTTCCTATTGAAAAAAAAGGCCATTCATTGATTGAATTACCATGAATTACCTATGAAAAACATGGGGTAGGATTATACCATCAATATACCCCCAATGTTAGCATATATACCAGCACCATGGATCCGTCATGGGGTAGGATGAAGGGATTGCTTCGCTACGACTCGGGATCTCAAGATATCTCAAGCTTCACGACAGACCGGTTGGCGTGCGGCGTTTGTGGCACCTGCACAGCGAAGCCAGCTGAAAAATGAAAGGTGTCCTTGGGGATCGTCATTTCAAATGGATTAAGAATGATAAAGACATATACAGCTATATATAAAATATATTATATGTATTATATGTATATTATATATATAATATATTATATAAAGAACATTAGACATAAGACATATATAAGAAATATCTATAGAACCAGAATATATGATAATCTTAGACACCACCAACCGGATTCTATGGGATTCTCTTAAAATATTGAATTGTTTAACATGCTTGTTTAGATGATGAGGATATAAAATGATACAAATCAACAATGTTGAACCACAATTCCGAAGTCCCTGAACACTGTTTAACCCCTTGGCCTTACCGGCCTTACAATGGAGATCCAAACCAATCAAGGGATACGGAGTGGAGTAGCGCTACATGTTCCACTCATCCCAGAGCCCGTGGTTGCCAACCCCATGGATCCATGGATCCATGGCCTGTGTCATGAGGGTTCCAATACATGTCCTGGTCAGGAACTCGAAATTGGCATCCTGCACCGTGCGATGACCAACCCTGCAGGACATGGATAGTATGTGTCTCTGAAGATTAGGCGAAACGCAAATCCATGGGTGTATCACCATGTGCCCTATTGAAATTGCAATGGTGATCAATTTTTTGGGTATATCACATTCTCAAACACACCCAGATTTAGGACAATCGGATGGAGTGTATTATTTACCCCACCAGCAAACTGAATCAAACATGACCCCAAAGACCGCACGAACAGGACATGTTTTTGGCCCAACGGACATGGTTCCTTCGTACTGCTGAAACTACTGGCTCGTGTTCATATCCGGGATTTATTGGTAGATTATCTTTTTAAAGAACATCCAGGATTTCGACTAGATGTACCCTCCGGCAATGAAATATGGCAATGGAAAATCACTGGTACATTGAGAGTTCTAGCTGGGAAAATAATCTATAAATATCCATATTATGGATGTTCCATTCCCATGGTTGTGGTTGTTATCCTGCCATGTCTTTTTTGATTTTTTGATACCCATCAACAGCCAACAACAGGCGACCGGCGTCACCCCTGTTGGGTTTACCGCGGAACATGATCTACACATGGTGGGTTAAACTCACATCTATGTTAGTTTACAGGATGCTTTTTGGGCCTTCTGGGAGCCCTGACACCTTTTTTTTTGGTGGGGGGTCATTCTGGGCAAAAAGCACCCTGTTCGACATGGCTTGCTCTGAGTTTTTCTGCAGAATCTAGTAGTTGATCATTGTCTTCCCCATGAACAACCAGAAATAGAGGTCTACCATGGTCTACCCATGTTTCTCCAACTAACCTTGGTTACATCATGTTGGTCCTTGTCTCAACATATCCCTTTTTACATATCCCCAAAAAATCACCACTATTAATGACGTACCCCATCATCATCACACTTTCCCCATCTGGGACTAACCATGACTAACCCACATCCGGTCCTTTGGGATCCATCTCAGCCGGATTTCCTTCCTGAGTTCAGCAGGAAGAGGAAACCATGGTTTTGATCATTTTCCTGGGGAAGCATCTAAACCGGAAAGCCATGGAATGTCCGAAATCTAGAGCTTCTGATCATTTTCTTGGTATGAGCACAATTTAAATGTAGGGGAACAGTGTGGAACATATCGATTTTTTCAAAAAAAAACGGGGATGAACATCCATGAACACACCAACTATTTGGGTGTAAACACCAGGGGAGCAGGCCCTTGACTTTCCAGCGCGTTCCTAGCCCGGGTTGGGTATGACAAAACGGGAACGACATGTTGATGGCGTCCTACAACTCTATTTCGAGTATTATTGTACCACCATTTTAACTGGCTATATCCAGCAATATATTTAATATAATATATATATATATTATATACATCACCAAAAATCAGTTTCTCGCATTTCTATCTACCATCTGGTTATTTGTTACATAGCCATGGAAAGATCCACCATTGTTAAGTTCGCTAAACCATCTATTTCTATGGGCCATCTATACCATCAATGTTAGTCACTGTTAGTCATAACTAGAGGGTAATTACAGTATATTGCTGATATAAATCCCGTTAATCATATTTATCAACATATATCAACCATACATCAACAGTATATCAACCATAAATCATCATAAATCGATACGTTTCTCCTTTTCCTCAGTCCGTTGTGGCCCCCGAAACACAACAGGTGGGTCGCTGACTTTCTCCAAGAATCGCCCAAATAGATCTTACCCAACTTCTTAGCCGCGGCTGCACACTCCTCCTGAGTCCGATGGTAGGCCTCCAAAATATAGGGGGGGTTCCTGAAATATATTATATATATATGACCATTTGCCAAAAATAGTTGACAGAAGTTTTGTACTAGTTGTTGATCATTAGTGTGGACCTAGTTCTATATATAGTATATATATATAGAATCCATAGTACCCCCATATATGTCCAATGATGGTATGGCATCCATGGCTAGCCCCATTTTCGACCCAGAATTTTCACCACTCTGGTGGAGATCCCTCTGGAAAATTCATCTGTACAAAGAATGTGCTCCAGGGATATCCCAATTGAATTTCAAAGACCTCTGTTTTTGTGTTGGCGATATCCGCAATGGTTGTCTCATGTTGTATCCTCAATATTCCCATCCTTGACATCTCCGCGTCAAAATATCAGGGCCATGTTCATACCTTATGGCTTATCTCAAATACCCTGAAAAAAAAACTACCTAGCTGGTTGGCACATATTCCTCCATTTACTATAAATTTTCAAGACACATAAAAGAAGAAATCCAATTGTTACATTGGTCATTTGTTTATAAGTGGGAATTAGTGGGATACCATGAATATATTCTGGCTTCTTATATCCCTCCATTTGAACAACACAAACACCGAAGCTTCCAAACCACTGCCCGTCAAGCAACGGAGCTCTCTACCGGTGCGCCACCCGCAGGGCAATCTGCCGTGTCGGTTTCGCCCATGACGTAACTCGGATATGACAGTCGCTGCGCTGAGACGCAACGGGAATGGGGAAACAAAAAAACGTGAACCGACCTGAGAAATTCTGAATAAAAGCAGACATCTTATGATATTATGATAGAATTAAACATCTATGTATAGATATATTGTATGTTTTACTGATCACTATTAATTAAATAATTATGACTGTATATCTGAACGAATCACAAACACAACTCTTCTGCTGGAATCTCAGCCTGAATCCCTCCATTTCCAATGACACAACGACGTGGGTCGACTGGGTCGACTCTGACCATCCATAACTGCTACCCGAGCACCATGAAATAGCAACCTCCCACACACAAACAAAAACAACACCATATCCTACGGTACCTTATCTAATTGGTAAGTAATCCTAAAATGGTAAGTAGGATATGTCAAATCCTAAGTAATCCTAAGTAATCCTAATTGGTAAGTAATCCTTATATAAATAGTAAATTGTTGATCGAGTAATATCAGCAAATGTCAATCTTTACTTTCTATAGGACTTCCCAGCTCATGGATTCAAGGGATTCGACAGGGATTCCGAGTTCCATCTGCGATGAAATCCCAAAAAACCAACCAAGCAAAACATGGCGAATCTTAGATACCTGCCAAAAAGATCCTTAAAAAGCAGATGTTTTAGCTGGTTTGTACATGTTACATCATTTTACCCATTGATAGCAAAGAAATCAAGTACTAAAGAGTATCTAACCAAGGTTGATCCTCATTAAAATGCTAAAATACTCATTAAAACATCTTAAATCCCCCAAACTCATCATCAAAGAGGGATAGTATAATACTGGTTGGTGGTTTCAACCCATCTGAAAAATATGCTCGTCAGTTGGCGGGATGATCATTCCCAACTGAATGGAAAGTCATAAAAATTATGTTCCAAACCACCAACCAGAATATATATTGAAACAACCATTGTAACCATTGTAACCATGGTGATGTGGAGATCCCCCTTCTAGAAACAGCCACATGATTGACATGGTTTCTGATGGCTATAGAGGGTTAGTATAATCCCCAAACCATCAACCATCAACCCGTCGATTGATATACTATATTTATGGTTGATATACTATATTTATGGTTGATATACCATATTTATGGTTGATATACCATATTTATGGTTGATATACTATATTTATGGTTGATATACTATATTTATGGTTGATATAGTATATCAACCCAATAAATCCCAGTCACTTGAACTTGAACTCCTTGGCCGGCGCCCGCGTGGTCAGCAACGCCGCAGCCTTGGGATCTTCGCGGCACACGGGCTGCCGCGCCGCATTGGGTGCGCCCGTGTCGTGGCTGTTGAAGTAGACGTCTTGGTCGGGAGGCCGATATTGACAACCTGCAGGCTGTAGTGTTTTTTGGTGAAAAAACTGGGATTCATGGATGTATAAATGGGATTTAGAACTTATGAGCAACAGGAGTTAAACGTTGGTTTATGACAACAATAACACATTTATTTATTTTTTCCCTAAGTTCAATATGGGCTGTATCCATGTATCCCGTATATAATCCCAATGATGTACAGGATATGATATCGACATACTTTGGGGATTCACCAACCATCGACGGTTGGATGGTAATGGATATTATTGAGATGTGATGGGGGTATAACAGGCAATATGTTGGAAGAATCAGTAAATGTTTGATTTGACATTGACTGCAGCCTGAAAATGCTTGCTTTATATATCATGCAATATGTAACTTATATTTCTGGTGGATTGGCATATTTCAGATGCTTCTTACCAACTTAGAAACGAAGGGATGCACATCCAAGGAGGGAACAGGAGCAACTATGGGTATCTATACATATGTATATATATATAATTATATATATATACTGTATATAGAGAGTTTATATATACAACATGTTTCTAAAATTTGTTAAGTGACGATTCTATCTTTGAATAAGACATTACTATATATACTATATCGTATTGGTTATAGACTAATGCATGCGTCAAGGGCGGCAGCATCAGGATATGCTGGGCCAACCAACAACATGTGTACCAACGAAGCCGGGGTTCTCCCGAAAAAAACGGAAAAATGTGTCCTTGATCGAGGAATTGTGGCCTGGATTTAGAGTTCCTATGTCATGATTTTTCCATGCTATGAATAGCCTAATATCATTGACATACCATGTACGATTGATACCAAACATACCATTTACAGTATATACCAGACATATCAACAGTATATCAATTTATAGTATATCAACTGTATATCAACCATAAATCTATATTTGCATTATTTACGGTTGATATATCCCATTTACTGTAAGTATATATCAACATATATCAACCATAAATGTAAAAATATGATAAACAGTAATCCCCTATAAATGTAGGATAATGTAGGGGGGTAAAAAAAATCCTACGTTGACATGATATTGAATATATTGCTGATATATTCCGCCTGGCCGGTTGACCCTGGCACAAAATGGCACGCCCGCAGCACCTGGTGGATCGCCTTCGGCGGGGTTCAGCTCCACATACTCCTGGCGTTTTTTGGGGAAAGCCATGGAAAACACATAAACCATAGAACAACCACATAGAACACCTGATTTTTACCATAGAAACACCAGTTTAAACACATTGATTTTACCACATAAAAAACCATAGAAACCCTGACTTTCATGGGAAAGATGATGAAAAACCTCAAGATCTTCAGATATCTCAAGGATGATTTCGAAGAAAAACACATGGAGAGATTGCCATCTCAGCGGTGGCATCACGACGAATCACTTGGGGAACTTGGGGAACTGTAGCGCACCATTAGTTGAGGTCATATGTCTCTCCCACAAAATGCATCAAAATGCACTATATACATATAATATACATATAATATACATATAATATACATATACAGTATATATATATAATTATATATTATGTACATATATCAAAGAACGCGGGTTCCAAATCCATAATTTCACGTGATTTTATAGATCGCCTATCGTATTCACCCCAATCCAAATTGCATCGCTACGTCCATAAACGGTGCATGTTTTCCAGCCCGGTTTTTTAACGACGGTCACGATGATCAATACGATGGTTTCGTATACGATATATTAGTCAAACGTAAACAACTTAATAAGCAAACATAGTTATCTATAGCTGGTTGGTGGTTGACCAACCCCTCTGAAAAATGATGGACTTCGTCAGTTAGGATGATGAAATTCTCAATATATGGAAACATAGAATTCATGTTCCAAACCACCAATCAAATAGTTATAGAGTGCTTTTTTGTGTGGATGACTAATAAATGACTATAGATGTTATGTGTATATCTACATGTAAAGCATGTACACTAATAAATAGTACACATCAATAAGTAGTGATAATACCATCTGGTTACCAGACGTGGCAATTGAACATCCCCCAATTATACATGAAGGTTTCATCGAGCAAAATATTTATACCCTCTGGTTATTTAACGTAGCTATAGAAAATCACCATGTTTAATAGGTAAATCATCAAAACACATCTATTTCTATGGGCCATCTATACCATGGCTATGTTAAATAACCAAAGGGTACATGGGGAAAATTCCTGGCTGCCACGTTTGTAAAAATCGGGTGGTATATATACCACCGTTTATCATCTAGGGCCCCATGGTGACTTGGGCCCCATTTTAGGAAACCCCCAAAAAAATGAATGGTGGGATATCAATACATAGTTGGATATCTATATCATTACCATTTGGTTATTTAACATAGCCATGGAAAATCACCATTTTTAATAGGTAAACCATCTATTTCTATGGGCCATTTTGAATGGCTACGTTAAATAACCAGAGGGTAATTAAAGCACTATGTATATACCCTCTGTAAACTAAGATAACTATGGAAAATCACCATTGTTAATTGATAAATCCACTATTTCTATGGCCTTTTCAATAGCTATTTTGACAGAACCAGAGGGTAATATGTACCCTCTGGTTCTTTAACGTACCTTTGGTTCAGATCACCATTCAAACCCTAGCTAAAGCACCATTCGTAGAACTCAAAGGATAATAAAAACCATCCATTTTCCACTTCGCAAAGTGTTAAACATCACCAGAAAATATCATATTACTGGGCTGCTGTTAAGATAGGTAAGAAAAATGCAACCTCATATTTTTCATAGAATTATATATATATATTATATCATATTATATCATATTTATCTCCATTTCATATTTAGTAGATCCATATAAAACTTAAGGTATCATAATTTTGTTCATTTAGATCCCATATAAAACCAAAATCATGTGGGTAAAACAATAGTAACCACCCAGACTTGGGGAATAGTTGGCATACCACCTACAAAAATGGTGATGACTGGATGATGGTTTATCAGTGTTTTACCCACATTCATGGGATAATTTTCATGGGCTAATAGTTCATAGGTTGATGGGATAATTATCCCAAAAATCATACTGTTTTTTGTTCCCATTTGATTATAAAAGGGCTAATTACTATCACATCTTAGTTTCTTCATAAATCACCAAAAAAGTTTGGTTCATACCGTTTTTTTTACCCACTATCATTAACTTTCATAGTCATTACTATCCCCCAAATAACCATCCCACAAATAGTTTCATAGATTCTTTATCAGTGTTTTACCCACATGATCTCGTAAAAAAAAAAATACCAGATGGTAATCATTATCAACCATATATTAACCATCATTCACTACTATTAACCACTATTAACCACTATAAACAACTATGAACCACTATAAACCAATATTACCCTCTGGTAAACTAACATAACTATGGAACATCACCATTTTTCATGGGAAAATTCACGAACTAAATGGTGATTTTCCATAGTTGTGTTAAATTACCAGAGGGTAACCATATATTAACCTTCCCCAGCCGCTCCCTCGGCGTCCTTGGACAGGGCCTTGGCGGCAGCCTCGCACTGATCCTGCTCGCTCAGCGGCACGGCACCGGGCGGGCAGTCCACTTCGCCGGGCGAGCCGAAGACCTGCGGCCGGGGAAAACCATGGGTTTTTCAATGATGGAAAGTGGCGGAAAAATGGTGAAACATATCCCATAATTAGGATCCATGTAATTCTGCCATTTTTTTTTGGTGCTCCATGGATCCCATCAAGAAATACCCCGTTTTTTATTTTGGGACAGCATTAATTTCTCCCAGCACCAGCCGGATCCGTCATGGGAATCCAATGTCCCAGCCACATATTTCGCATCCGCTGCCGCCGGCGCCGCTGCCGCCGGCGCCGGAGCCGCCGGGGCATCGGTCAGCACCGGTGCCGGGGATTCCGCCGCGGCCGGGACCTGGTTTCCACCATGTGATGCGGTTTCCACTGCCCTGAAGAAATAGTGTATTTATATGTATATATATATATATGTATTTCTCTGGTTTAGATCTATCTCTATCTGATGATATCTGATGATATTTGATGATATTTGATGATATTTGACTTGGTGTTGGAACTATGGCTGAAATACATCTCTGTATTGTATATGGTTGATCTAATTAGCCTTTAATGATCTTCAAATATATTTCATGTATCAACGAAAAATTGATGGAGTGATAGTGTTCATGTATTTGCTGCCCAAGGTTGGTAGTTTTAGTCCAGGCATGGTCCCAAAAATTAAACCCAAACACAACGTCAAGACATAGTAAATATACATGCATATACTATATGCATACGTGTTCGTTCTGTATATTATATATAATATAATATATATTTATGCATCTCTCCAGCTATCTTCAGCTACATCCTATTCATGTTGACAAAATCCCAATGCTGGTTAAATTCCGGAACATTCTCATTGTTTGGTACTTCATTAAGATTCACGCCACCCATTGCTCGCAATCTTGATGTTTCTAAACTATGCATCAAAGTATTCTCAAGAACTATTGCAGAACATCTGTGATGTTAGTACCTTCTGGTTATTTAAAATAGCTATAGACAATCACCATGCATTTTTCATAGCTAAGCCACCTATTTTTATGGGCCATAGCTTCTATGGCGTAAATGATTCTGAAGCCCACTGTATTTCATGACCTGAAGCCAGCTATATATGTGGTGCCCGACTCAAGTGATAAGTGATTCAATCTGACATGGTCCCCCCCATGTATAAAATAGGTTGCAGAACATGAATCAATCCTGGGATTATCCCACATATATATATATATATATATATAGCATGAAGCAACAATCATATATCAACAGTAATTTAGTATTGGAGTATCACCACATGTTTCATAGTTAACCTAAATCATGGGCTATAAATATGGTCATTAACCAGTTGCTAAGTGGGATGATCCTCCAATTACCCTCTAGTACTTGAACAAAACTATAGAACATCATCATTTTCAAATAAAGGCAAATCATCATCCATCATCTATACATAGGCCATTTTCCATAGCGAAGTTCCACCAGCACCAGGCGTTTCGAACAACGCCCCCGCCGATGTCGCCTCGGCCAATTTCGCTGCTTTGGCCGCGGCCTTCTCCCGCTGGAACTGCGCGGTGGCGCAGACCACGTGGCGGCTCTCGTGGGGTGACCCCTCGGGGTCCTCGTTCCACAGCATGTCCTGCCGTGCAAAACGCTGGGTGCGGTGTCTTGGTGGCAGATTTTTTTTTTCGGTTTTTTAGAGGTAAACTCCACATGGGATATATACCGGATATATCATGTTTGGGCTGAATTCTTGAATTCTGCTTGTGAACTCTGACTATGCGAATTGTGATGTGAATTTTCTGACTTATTTGCGACCAGACTTGTCGAATATTTGCTGAGCATTTCATGGGATGGATCCATGTTTATGGCCTTTCCCATGATTCAATGGCCCCACACAACATTCAGCTTACCCACTTAGGTAGTCAAATATAGCAATGGAAAAACCCAATTTATAGATGATGTTCCCATTAACTCCCACTCATAGGGGATTTGAATCAACATGTTTCAATATGTTTGATAAGTAACTGTTTGGACCTATGAATCTGAGTTTTCTATACAAAGGATTATATTATTATATGTTTGTGTATTTTGTATTCACGTCGCTTCGCGACGGCAACCGCCCGCACCGCATCGTTGGGCAGCCGCTCGTAACTGCCAATGATGTCGGCCATTGAGACCAAAAACATCCGAAAGTACTGATTGTCGGAAAAAAAACGCGAAGAATTTGATAGCCATGTATAGCGGACCAACGCAGTTCAAAAAATAACGAAAAACATGAAAAAACGGCGAAATTGCTGTTATTTACAGTGTTTTTGCGCGGTGAGAAGCAGAAACCACTGCAAATACCATGGTTTTTGAGGGTCAGGTGGCCAAAAACACTGTAATTTACAGTGTTTTTTTAACCAACGTCAAAAAACACTGGTATTTACGATGTTTTCATTCACACCGTAACATAAAACAGCGTAATTTACGAGGTTTTTGGAAGTTTTGAAGCTAGCCGTCAAGCATGCAGAAAACAGAAAAACACTGTAAAAACCAGTGTTTCTGCTATCACAAAACGACGAAAATCAGTCCGAAAACGGGTCCAAAAACTCAAAAATCCGCCTCCGGGCCCGGCCACCTGCGGAACCGCAAAAAAAGATGTTGCAAACCAAAAAATTGAGGTCAAAAAGTTGAAAAACACGGGTTTTTTTCACTTTTCACTTGCCGATTTTGGACGGGCGCGTTCACGAACAGGTGTCTTCCGTACTGTTTTTTACAGTGTTTTTTGAAGGCGAGCGTCACGACCTATCAAAAACAGGAGGTTTTGGACGAAAAATGCCCCCCCCCCCAGGTAAACCTGTAACCTTTTTACGAGTGCCATCCGGAAGATCACGCCCCAGCACCTTCGGTGCGGGCGGATTTACACACAATGTGATACACATTATACACAAATACACATATAAATTTTGTGCTGAAACATTGATACATATATCCGTATTTCGAACCAGTTGTGCCAATGATTACAATGATCATTGTTACTATTATTATCACTACTTATATTATAAACAATTATTAAATAATTTATATATATATTGTCATATTGTCATGTTTAGTAAGTCATGACATATTCCGAATTCCATTTTTTTGGAACCCAAAAAGAAACGGCGGCCACCGCCCGTTTCAAAACTGCGGCGGAAACTCGTTGATTCGTCGTTCGTCTCCTGGTCAGGACCTCGAAAGACACAACCGGTTGGCTCCAGCTCCTCTTTGGCCGTGTCCTGGCGATGGACAAAAAATCATGGTTATTCATGGGATTTTCATGGGATTTTCATGGGATTATCATGGGATTTTCATGGGATTTCCATGGACAAAAAATGCTGTTGGTTTTGATGTTTTGGTTCTATTAATATGTTCTAATGGGAAAAAAACATCAAGAATTCGTAGGGATTTACAATTGGAAGTAGACATAACTGGACTGATTTGGATGGAATTTACACTAGGCAGCCAACATCGGGTCGATAAGCCATGTTTTTGACCAACAAAAGTGTTGGACTGACAGTTTACCCATGGTTTTTAGCCACATGTTGTTTGTCTTGGATTGAATGAACATTAATATATATATATATCTATTGAAACTCGGATTGAATCATAGTGAGCATGCCCTTCACCGGCATTGAACCACCAAAAAAAACACGATGCGGTGCAAAAGGATGCAAACAATGATAAACAATGATAAACAATGCACAAATATGCACTTTTCCATGACTCTCCTATTATCTTATGGTTATAATATTGTTGGCTCAAAATTTCATTATATATATATCATTAAAATTTATCACCATATCAGACCATATCTTATATCCCTAAGGTTGCCCCGAAAACCACAGGTTTCCCTGGGACGAATAGCTATTTCGCCAGCGTTTCAGCCCAGCGTCCGGCAGAAATCCCTTTGAAAAACTCTTCGCCGCCAACTGGCAATCCTACCGCGAAAACCGCCCGACCGGGGCCCCCTGGGGCAAGTTTGAACGTGAGAATCTTGACACACCAAGAGACTTCATGGGCTATGTCATGCTTTAGGGACAAACCGTGACAAAACTAAGGTTGGAGTTGGGACTCAATCAGTCTTCCTTTCTCAGGACCTACTTTTTGTATCATCTGTTGGCTTAAAATCTCAGAAGTCTGGGGTAATCTATGGGTGCCATTGGATGGCGCTTCTCTTACTGAGCACTAGATTGCATCGCCCTTTGTTCTTCCTGACACCCAGTTGGACTCTCAATTCATTCTGGAAGTTGGCACATCACTTGGAAATTGCATCGCAACAAATTATGTGTTGTACTGGTTGGTGGTATACCTACCCCTCTGAAAAATATGAATCAGTTGGGATATTTTTCCATTCCCACCTGTTTCTGGAAAGTCATAATCCGTTCCATGGTTCCAGTCACCACCAATCAGTATACATATGTAGCATTCCGTAGCAATGCTTCAGGTCGCATCAAAACAAACTGATCATACCGGGTCTCACCGGAAAATGCTCCGAAACGCCATTTGGTGCTCCTCTTTGCTTTGAAGAGGGAAACTTCCACTGGGGCAGTAGTTCGCATCCTCAATCATCCCAAGTTGGGGACACCCAACTAGCTGCAGTTGGGCGATAGTCGTGATGAGCGGAAAACATACAGCAACTGCAACAACATGCAAAAAGGACCAGGAGATACCAGGTAAGTTGCCATACGATCATGTAACTATATGTAACTATGGTATTAACATGTATTAACAGCCCTTTTTTCTCATTGAGCCACTACCAACCAGATAATTCTCCATCTCTACGAGCTTTGCCCAAGCGCGTTTCATGGTGACCAATCGATGTGTAAAGTAGTAGAATAGAATATGGTAAGCTCCAAGTTCTCAAGTTCAAAAAAACTCGCACCATTTGTTGACATGTTTTTTTTGTCAATTTTTTTCTGTGGATTGCTAACATTACTTGGTTGCAACCAACTTGCAGCCAAGCTTCTGTATCAGTGATGGCAAATCGTCCATCTTCGCTCCTATCTGAGTGCCCATTCTTCGATTACAGAGCTATTTTTGAAGTATCTAATCCTCAAGCAATCTCGGTAAAATGTCATTAATACAATCTAAAATTGGAGACTACTCTCCAGCTGCTACCATCCACGCACGGTTTAAGGTGACGCTGCGCCAGAGGTAACTTGCCGATGGCCATGAAGAACTTTTGTAAATCATTGGTAAACCACCCATTTACTTGCCCAAACAGAACATTGTTCTTTATATACACTACAAACATCTTGCAGTATTGTATCATAAAAACATATAGAAACTATATCCCCTATCAATCCCCCAACAAAAATCTTGCTTACATCCCCAGTTCTATCACCACTTGAATCATTTTTCATGCATCACTCAGCATTTCTGATGCTTTGAACACGCTGAAAAACCGTTGAACCATGCATGGATTTTTCATGGCTTTTCCTGTGGCTTTTCCATCACCGGAGCCTCATCTTCAACGTCACCTCCTCCGTCCCCGTGGGCTGCGCCGGCGCCGGCGCCGCCGCCACCGGTGCGGCCGCGGGAGCCGGGACAGGGGCGGGAGCGGCGAGGCTGGAAGCCTTGGTGCCATCATCATGGTGCCCATGGAAAATCCCAACCATAACTGGAGGGTTAGTTCGCTGGGAAAATCCTCTATTTCGATAAATGGGCCATCGAAAAACCATGGCTAAAATAACCAGAGGGTAATAGATGATTTTCATTGATTTTCCCAAGGCAATAAATGGTGATCATGGTGAAAATGATCGTTAACTATAATGGTTAATAACCAATGTATGATGAATAAAACTAATAATACTGTTGTGAATGATAATATGATAGATGATACCAAGATTGGTGATGACATGATTGATGATCTTTATCTATAGTAATAGTAATCTATTACCAATGGTTGGAAGAATAATGAACCATCCGCATTTTTGATGGTTGGAATCCCACCCATAAAAATGGTAAACTGGGGGATGGTTTATTGTTGCTTTAACTACATTATACCCTCTGGTAATAGATTATTCTCCAAACCCTGAACCTCCATTGTAAAAAAAGCAAAATATGATGGGGACACAACATGAACATAGAGACAATGGCGATGACCGTGGGGAATCTGATATTAGTATCTGGTTGGTGGTTTCAACCTAACCCTCTGAAAAATGATGGACTTCGTCAGTTGGGATGATTTTCCATTCCCAACTGAATGGAAAGTCATAATCCATTCCATGGTTCCAGTCACCACCAACCAGATCATCATCATATTCCCATTGTTGCTGGTATTATACCCTATTAACCACTATTTTCATATCACTATGTTCCAGTCACCACCCAGATTAAATCTCCATTTTTCTTGGTTAAATCACAATTTTCTGATGGTTTTCCCATGGTTTTGATGTTCCAGTCACCACCAACCAGGTTCTTATGTTGAAATGGGGATATGTCATGGGATACATCAAGGCACCGGCAGGGAGGCGACGTCCAAGCACACCACCTTCCGCACCACGCTGGCGGCACCGCCCTGGCAAAACGCAACAGATGTTTTTACAGATATCAATGGTTTATTCATGATTAATATGGCTTCACAATGGTTGATCATTTCTAGTTGATCATGGAAAACATATTGGTGATTCATAGTGATTAGTGGTTATATAATGATCATGATGATCATGATGATTAATGGTATTTAATTGTTATATATAATATATATACCCTCTGGTGAACTAACATAGCAATGGAACATCACCATTTTTAATGGGAAAATCCACTATAAATGGCCATTTTCAATTGCTATGTTAGTTCACCAGAGGGTAATTGTGGTGTTGGAAAATATATGGCGGTTTCCTAAGTCATTTTTGGGTACCTCCAAATCATCCAGTCCATGACTTTTTTTGAAAAACCGACTTGGTGACGACTGGAGATCCCCCATTTTTAAGAAACCACCAAATGAAGGCAATCCAGCACAATCCAAATACTTGTGTTGCTTGAATGGAGATTCAATAGCAATAACTTACTGCAGTTGTCGATTGTGAATTATTCTTGCCATGGATATTTGAGTATTGGTTGACCGTTTATGTTTTATCGTTTGGAGAATATTACACTAATCAACAACAAGGATTCAGCCAACCAAAGTTTGGATTCCATCAACCATTGTGGTAAAAATATAAAATCATAATAGCAAATAATCGTAAACGTTAGTTTCGAGCAAAAGACTGATAGTCCAATGATTGTCCAATGACTTTAATCACTAGTAAAAGGTGAATAGTCAACCGCCCAGCATTTTTTCTACTGGACATGGTTTTTAGTCATTGGTTAGCTGTACCATCCTCGGAGGCATCGAGGATGCATTCCTTGCCGCCTAGCTGCTGGTTTCAAGCCATCCCAAGTGTTTGTCAAAACATGGCATATGAAGCCGTCAACTGGGATAATCATCTCTGGCTGGTGGTTTTAACCATCTTGAAAAATATTAGTCAATGGAAAGGATTATCCCATATATGATTATATGGTTAATGATGGTTAATAATCATCTCTGGTTGGTGGTTCAGCCCTACCCCTCTGAAAAATGTGAAAGTCAAATGGGAGTATGAAATTCCCAATATATGGGAAAAAACATGTTCCAAACCCCCAACCAGAAGTCAACTGGGATAATCATCTCAATTTCTTACGGTATTACGAACAAAAAAACAGCAAGTCGTATAATAATTATAAACAAAAACACCAGCAAACTGTTGATAGTTTTTCTACCTGTTGATGCTTGGAGTTAGCATTCTGGAAAATATGATTGTCGTGGCTTGTTACACCTTGTTACTTAAGTGGAGCTAGTGACCCACATCCTTGGCAAATAAAAAACCACCTGGTGGGTTGTTGATCCACGCATCCCCATATGGTGTTGGGGATAATCATTCCAAGTAGGCTAGAACATGTAGAATATGTATATATAATTATACATGTATATATTATAAGCTATATCAACAAGCACATTAGTGTGACATGAAACTTGACCAATGCGGTCACTGATCTTTGGTTTCCCTTTCAGGAACCAATTCCCACTGCCGAGGACTGAACCTGTTCCTGGTTCCACAGGATGTCTTTGTCCGGCGTTCTATACCTGGTCATAGGGAAACATTGGAAACATTGGAAACATACCACCAAATCTAGAAAATCCCGTGTTTTTTCATCCAGTTCCAGGCATCCTGCCTAATGTGGGCAACCCAGCGATAAAATGACAACGACCATTTGGGGATGGTTGGAATCTCATCCGTAGAAATGGTGATGACTGGGGGATGGTTTATGGCATTGGGTTCAGTACATTATGATCGCCAATTCCATTAATCGCCATTCATAAACCATGATTCACAATTCGTAGCCATTCACTATTATCTACTATTATTCCTGTAACCATTAACCACTATATTCACCATTAACCACTATATTCACCATTAATTATTCTTCATTAATAACCATTGTCATTAACCATTGTTTCTCCCTGACAAAAACGCAACCGCGCCATGTGACAAACATCCCGTGGGATCCGTCGCGAAGCGTTGTTCTCCAGTGTACCTGGCCAAAAAAAGATGCCATAAACTACCATCTGGAAGCCATGGCCCATAGAAATAGATGGTTTCCCGAAATGAAAAATTATGTTATTTATGGATGATACCAACTGGTTATTTTACACATAGCCATGGAAAATCCCAACCATAAATGGAGGTCGGATAAAGCTGGGGAAATCATCTATTTCGATTAGGGCCATCTATACCACGGCTATGTTAAATATCCAGAGGGCACACCAAAAATGACCATAATTCCAACAAACGGTGAATTTTATTGATTCTGCAACATATCATAAAAATGCACAAAGCTCTAAAATATCACTTTATCAACTGGAATTAGGATTTAGGAAACAACAAATGACGCATCCTTATAACATCATTGTTGTCGCTAAGGTCAACGGTCATCGCAGTCGTTCGCAGTCGTTGGTGATGTGAAGAAACATCTCTAAGGTCATTTAATCAGGTCTGACATATCTCTGTTGGATTCTGTTGGTCAGAATACTGCGCAACAATCTTCCTTTGTACATCGTTTTTGTTCCCCATTTCTTGAAACCATAGGATTCATTGATCTTTTTGGCCATAGGAAGTGGTAAACCTCGGCTGATCTCCGGCTCACTTCACCCGCAGCACTTCCGAGGCAATCTCGCAACTCTCGGGGTTTTCTAAGGGCTTGGAACCCCTGGGGCAATCGACGCCTGGGTGTTTTTTTTGCTGCGCCATGGGGAATGGGAAAAGGGAAAAGTGACATATATGGCACGAGCAGCCATACGCAACGCCTAGGGCCTAGTTAAGCAACAAAGTCATGGAGTCGAGGAATATGAAAGGTATCTAAGTTTCAAAGTCATGGTGAATCAGTCAGTAGAATACAAGATATGTAGATCATCGGTACCAGTGGTAGCAGTGGTAACCCCTGGATGATCGTTGTGGGATGATTCGGGACCCAGTCGAAATACACCCATTTTCGTCGACATTGAAAGGGAGCCTAGCCTCGCAAGCACAAAATCATCCCAAGCATCGGGGAAAAACATGGAAAAACAACGACTTCACAAATCGCAAGTAGGTTGGACGGTGACTATATGGCAGTGTCAAAATAGCTGGGATTTATGGATGTTCATTCCCTAAAAATGGTATTAATAGGTATTGATCCATACCCATATGTGACTATTCTTACGGATCCCTTTTCAGTTGTTTTCACTTGATATTAGTCCCGGATAAATCAACGGCGCCTAATAATTGGCCGGGCTGCCGCGCACTAGGATGCCAACATGTCAAATCAACAGGATGCAAAGAACTGAGATGAACGGAGACTCTGGAGACTCTGGATGTGACTACCCAAACTATTACACAATATATATATATGTACGATGGACCTTTATGTACTATTTGAACGTTTGCATGTCGAAAGGATTTTATTGAAATTATACCTCTTTCTGGAGAATCCCTACTAGTTAATCTATATACCAAAAAGAAAGAAATGGAATTCAAAAAATTCAAAAAATTCAAAAAAAAAATGAATACATATTTTTTTTGAATTTTTTGAATTTTTTGAATTTTTTGAATTCCATTTCTTTCTTTTTGGGACTTTCATTTTTTTTTTGAATTTTTTGAATTTTTTGAATTCAAAAAAAAATATGCATTCACTTTTTTTTTGAATTTTTTGAATTCAAAAAATTCAAAAAATTCAAAAAATTCAAAAAAAATTATGTATTCACTTTTTTTTTGAATTTTTTGAAAAAATTCAAAAAATTCAAAAAACAAATGAAAGTCCCAAAAAGAAAGAAATGGAATTCAAAAAATTCAAAAAATTCAAAAAATTCAAAAAATTCAAAAAAAATTATGTATTCATTTTTTTTTGAATTTTTTGAATTCCATTTCTTTCTTTTTGGGACTTTCATTTTTTTTTTGAATTTTTTGAATTTTTTGAATTCAAAAAATTCAAAAAATTCAAAAAAAAAAGTGAATACATATTTTTTTTTGATTTTTTTGAATTCAAAAAATTCAAAAAAAAATGAATACATATTTTTTTTTGAATTTTTTGAATTTTTTGAATTCCATTTCTTTCTTTTTGGGACTTTCATTTTTTTTTTTGAATTTTTTGAATTCAAAAAATTCAAAAAAAATGAATACATAATTTTTTTTGAATTTTTTGAATTTTTTGAATTCCATTTCTTTCTTTTTGGGACTTTGTCCCAAAAAGAAAGAAATGGAATTCAAAAAATTCAAAAAATTCAAAAAAAAAATGAATACATATTTTTTTTTGATTTTTTTGAATTTTTTGAATTCCATTTCTTTCTTTTTGGGACTTTCATTTTTTTTTGAATTTTTTGAATTTATTCAAAAAATTCAAAAAAAAAGTGAATACATATTTTTTTTGATAGAGAAATAAGGAGACAAGTTGGGAACAGACAAGGAGACAAGTATGGAAACCAATGGGAGGCAAGAAGAATCCTTCGCCATCGAGCAACCACGAAGAGTCACGAAGAGTATCCTGTGCCCAGAAGCACCCAGGAAGAAGAACAGTAACAGGGAGGGACAAAAAGAAATGAAGAGAGGAGACTGCAATTATGGCCCCAAAGCACCTGAAGGTCCTAAAGCCTAGACCACACAGTAAGTAGGAAAAAACTGGCTGAATAAGGACACAGATGGGAACACATGGGAGACAAGGGGAATCTTGGGTCCCAAAAGCGAGAACAACAGGAATGAGGAGAGAAGTGAAGAAAGCGCTGGGAAAGACTACAGGGACAAGGAAGGAAAGAAAGGAAAGAGGAGAAAAACTATCCTCTCCCTCCCAAATGCCGGAGACCTGGAAAGAAGCACGGTAGTGGAGAGAGGATAAGGAGACAAGTTGGAGACAAGTAGGAAGGTAAGTAGGGTAACATGGGGTAGAGACCGAGGGTAAGGGAATGTGACCTGAACAAAGGAAGAAAAGTTAAGGAGAAACACAAGAGGCCAGGAAATCCATTCTTCTCCAAGCAGCAGCAGCAATGAGGAGGGAATTAAGGATACACGTTGGAGGGAACAAGAAAGGGCAAGTGAGGAACCGGAGAGAATCATGTGTCCAAATAAGCACCTAGAGAGAAGAACAGCAAGAGAGAGAGAGAGAGAGAAGTAAGGGCATGAGTTGGAGAGAACAAGGGGGACAAGCACGGAGAGACAAGCACGGAGACAGACAGAGGACTAGGAGCATACTGTGCCCCGGAAGCACCCAGAGAGAACAGCCACATATGAGAGTGAAGTAGAGAGACGAGTACGAAAACAGATGGGACTTGAGTCCTGTCCCCAAAGCCACCAGAACGAAGAACACTGAGCAATGGAGAGAGAAGTGAGGAACGGGAGACAAGCAGATTCCTTTGACCGAAAGCACCCAGAGAGAAGAATCGCAATGGAGATAGAGAAATAAGGAGACAAGTTGGGAACAGACAAGGAGACAAGTATGGAA